TATAGAACTACTATAGCTACTTTAAAATACTTATAGATTAGATTAGCTTAAATAAGAACTTTTAAAACGCTTTATACTATATACTAATAGCTTTTATAAAAGTTAATTATTTCTTTATATACTACCCTTATAAGCCTAGCTACACCTATTAGTTAAAGCTTAAGGCCTATAGCTACTTTATATTTTTAGTAGAATTAGTTAAAAACTCTAATACTATATTAAAATATAACTCTAACTTAGTAATCTTATAGAAACTTAGCCTTAAAAAGAAGCTACTATTATAGTTTAGACTTAGTGTTTCTTAGTATTTAGATCTTTAGTTATTCTAGAGTTATATAATTAAATTATATACTTTACTTATAGAGTTATCTTTCTATTTTTCTTACTATACCTTTTAACCTTAAATTATTTTAGGTTAAAAGGTATAGTAAGAAAAATAGAAAGATAACTCAGTTATATAATTAAATTATATACTTTACTTATAGAGTTATCTTTCTATTTTTCTTACTATACCTTCTAACCTTATATAATATCTTATATATTACTCTAATAAATTAAGTTCTAGTATTAAGCCTTTCTATATTATAATAGTATTACTAGTAGAAAGTCTAGAATATATCTAATACTCTCTTTTATATCTTATAGTAAGGGGCGTAAACTAGATTCTTAACTTATAGAACTACTATAGCTACTTTAAAATACTTATAGATTAGATTAGCTTAAATAAGAACTTTTAAAACGCTTTATACTATATACTAATAGCTTTTATAAAAGTTAATTATTTCTTTATATACTACCCTTATAAGCCTAGCTACACCTATTAGTTAAAGCTTAAGGCCTATAGCTACTTTATATTTTTAGTAGAATTAGTTAAAAACTCTAATACTATATTAAAATATAACTCTAACTTAGTAATCTTATAGAAACTTAGCCTTAAAAAGAAGCTACTATTATAGTTTAGACTTAGTATTTCTTAGTATTTAGATCTTTAGTTATTCTAGAGTTATATAATTAAATTATATACTTTACTTATAGAGTTATCTTTCTATTTTTCTTACTATACCTTTTAACCTTCTATAATATCTTATATATTACTCTAATAAATTAAGTTTTAGTATTAAGCCTTTCTATATTATAATAGTATTACTAGTAGAAAGTCTAGAATATATCTAATACTCTCTTTTATATCTTATAGTAAGGCTATAAGGCTATAAGACTATAAGACTATAAAGTATCTATCCTTAGTCTTAGGTACTATGTAGTAAAACCGGTTAATTAATAATTAAGTTTACCACTAAAGATTCTACTGGATTCTAGAAGATTTTACAAGGTTCTATAAGGTTCTAGAATACTCTAGATGGGTAGAATTTATAATTTAGATTACTAATTATAGAATAAAAGATTAGTAAGATTAGTAAGATAGAATCTACTAGAAAGTAGTAAGATCTAGAGGATTTAGATATATATAGATAGTAGTTTCTTATCTTGGATAGTAATTAAGCTTTTTAATTAATATATTCTAATATTTAGCTCTATTAGTATAGCAACTAGATTAAGTTCTGAGTAATTAAAATTATTAAGTATTTTATCTAGAAAAGCTTTTTAGAAGAGGTATATAATACGCTTAGCCCTTTAGTATATTATTTCGATGCTAAGGTAGAAGTAGTACGGTTCTAAATTATATATTTTAAAACAAGTACTTTAACTACGTTTTAATCGAGTTGATTTTAGCTTTTTTAAGTCTAAAAAGAAGTAAGTTATCCACGTGGATAGCTATTATAATAGTAATTTCCGTATAGATAAAACTCTTTTATCTAGCTCTAACTATCTAAAACTAATCTTACTTAGGTGAGCTTCTAAGATTTTATTCTATACACGTGCAGCTTGTTCTAGGCTATATAAGGCACTATTTCGCTTACATATATAGTTTAGTTTTTTAGTATCCTTAAATCTAGTTAGTTGCCCTATATAGATTATATCAGATAATGAACTATTTAAAAATACTATTTTAACTCTTACTTAGTTAATTCCCTAGTCCAGAATAGCTACTAAGCTAAACAAAAGCTTATAGCTTATTAGTTTAATAATTAGAGTAAAGGAGTCGAAATAATTAACCCTCTTAATTTAAGTAAGTCCGTTTACTACCTACTAAGCTTTATATTTCAAAACTTCTCCTTTAGAGCCTTGTTTTAAAGTATATACTTAGCGTCCTCGTAAGATATTTCCTGTTTTAGGGGGGTCCACGAGTGTCTAAGTATTTTTTTCTAGTAATAAATTAATCTTACTAAGTATAGCTTATTCCTATTAATTTTTAAGACGAGATTTAATAGCCTAATTATAAGATTTAAGTCTATTACTATTAGTAATAGACTAAAAAACGCGCCGCCTTAGGTTAGCTAGACTAGCTACCTTATCTTTCAAGCTAGAATTATCTCTAGTATTTTCTCGGGATCTTACCCTAAATAGGCTTAGACTTAGTTTAATCTTGCTAGATTAATACCTTCTGGAATATTATAAATAGTAAATTAGTTATTTTCAACCGATTCGCTATTTTAAAACGACTTGCTATTTCTATCCGGGTTATTATTTAGATCAAAGTCGAATAAAATAGCGCTGTTAACTAAACTACTCTATAAGCTCTCACATGATCCTATTGATAAATTAATAGAGTAATTAATCTAGTTTAGAGTAGATTCTACCGATTTTTCGAAATAAGTAAATAAGCGGTTATTACTAGAATTTCGTTTTGAGTTTTTATAATAGTAGCTATTATGATTTTCGAAATAAAAATTTTCGTCTAAATTATTTAAGTTAGCTGAATTTTCTATTTTACTTCTACTCGGTATATTATACTCGTTAAAAGCGACTAAACTTTTAGTTCTTACGTAATCTCTAGCTAAATTATATAGCTAGTAGATATTACAATATATTAATTAAAGAGCTTTATTTCTATCTAAGATGGGAAACTACTATCTATATATATATCTAAATCCTCTAGATTTTACTACCTTCTAGTAGGTTCTATCTTACTAATTTATAGAATATTTTATTCTATGATTAGTAGACTATATTACTAATTCTATCTATTTAGAATATTCTAGAATATTCTAGAACCTTATAGAATCTACTAGAATCTAGTAGAATCTTTAGTAGTAAACTTAATTATTAATTAACTAGTTCTACTCCTTAGTATCTAAGGCTAAGAATAGATACCTTATAGCCTTATAGCCTTATAGCTCTAGCGGGCTATAGACTAAGAACTTTAGAGATTAACTTGTAATAGTAGATACTATTTCCTGAGTAGCTAATAAGAATATATTTTAATACTCTTAGATTAAGTTTTCTAGCTCCTTACTTAGCTATATTAGTATAAGCTACATACTCTAGTATCTTTAGATAACTAAAGCTAGGCGGTCTATTATAGAATATCTTATAAGAAGTTTTATTTCCTAGCACTAATCTACTTAGGCTTAGATTTCGTAGGTAATTAATTGTAGTAATTAATATTAGGATTTCAGATCCTTAGGTAGTAGGAACTAAATTAGTAGAGAGCTTAGTTTTATATCTAGTAGGAGAGACCTTCTATCTATATACCTCTTTTACTTACTTCTAAAGTAAAACTTATCAAGTTTTACTTATAAGTTTATCTAGACGGACGTAAATAGAGGCTTTATTAAAAATAGTAAGAGCTAAAGACTCTATTAGAAATAGACGGAAATAAATAGAACTTAGAGCTCTATTTTAAAATAGAAGCTCTAATTTAGAATAGAAGCCCTATTTAAAAATAAAAAACATAAAACTTTATATTTTACTAGTAGTGAAATTCTTACTAAGGAAATACTAAGGAAATACTAAGCTAAGAACTTTAGAAATCGAATTCTAATATCTATTAGAGTATCTTAGTATTAGTTAATGGAACGCTTTAGTATTATATTATAATAACAATATAGCTATTATAGCTATAAAAAACTTAGCTAATTACTTATATATTAAGTATACTAATATATGTTATTACTTTATTTAAGAGATGATTAAAAGAGATAAACTATAGACTCTTTTCCTAGAAGAAGCTAATTAAATTATAGATAGATTTACTAAGAGCTTATTTAAGCTAAAACTCTAGGAATTCTATAACTAGATTAGGCTAGTTAAATATTACTAGTTGTAGATTTACTATTATCAGATTATTAAAAATAGTAGAGTTACGATTTATAGAAGATTTTAATAAAAGACTAGTTAAACTAGTTAACTAATTAAGAAATTACTATTTTTGAAGACTTTTAGGCTTAAGGAGAATTATTAGAATTTAATTTCTAAAGCTTTTAGCTTAGTATTATCTTAGTATTTCTTTAGCAAGAATTTTACTACTAGTTAAATATAGAGTTTCAAGTTTTCTATTTTTAAATAGAGCTTCTACCTACAAGTAAAGCTTCTATTTTAAACTAAAGCGAGTCTTAGTATACTAAATCTTACTTAATTATTACTAAAAATTATTAGAAAAAGCTTTAAGTCCAATTTAACTAGTAGAATAGAGAAGATATATAATAGAGTAAGTTTAGGGAGTAAACTTTCGATAGAAAAAATTATTATCTACTTAATTTTTAAAAATATAGATATATTACCTATTTTTGCAGGGGAGTAAAAGTTAAGCGAGAAAGGAAGCTCTAAGATCTTTTATATAATTTATATTTTCTTTACTTACTAAGTAATCTGTAACCGCTCTAAGTGCTTTAGTAAGCGCTCTAAGCGCGCTCTAAGCGCCTTGGATATTCTAGACTAAAGCTAATTTCACGAGCGCCTGAATTTCTCTTAATATATAGCCTAGAGTATCGAATTAAAGCTTCACTTCAAGTTTCACCTATAGAAATAGTTCAACGAAACTTTTTTAGTAGAACCGTAATAGCTTTGCAAAACTACGTAAGTTAATAAGCAAATAGAATAATAAGCAATCATGCTAATTTGGAAATAGTCCAAAATTAGACAGACACAATTCCCCTATATCAAACACCCATATTGATTTTGATTGTCTTTGCTTGAAGATACGCCTCCAGGCCAGCCTTCCCAGACTCACGACCAGTACCAGACTGCTTGTAACCACCAAATGGGGTCTGCGCATCTGGAAAGTAGGACGCATTGATTGCAAGTGTGCCGACTTTGAGCTTTGTCGCTACGCGCAAGGCGCGCGACATGCTTGCCGTGTAGATAGCAGCTGTAGATTTGCGTTAGCTATATTCAAGGCCAATAGCAGCAGAAGTGAGGAAATGGGTTGATCTACCTGAAAGTCCATAGCTGGTATCATTCGCAAGCTCGACAGCTTCATCTTCTGTCTCAAACGAACGAATCGTCAACACAGGCCCAAATATCTCCTCTCGCAAGATCTTCGCGTCGCTCTTGGGGTTCAAGAAGATGGTTGGCTGAACGAAGCATCCCTTCTCGCCGATTTGACCACCCCCGGTAACGAGTTCAGCTCCTGACTCAGTCTTGCCAGACTCAAGGTACGATGTCACGCGATCGAGCTGTTTTTTGTCTGCTAGAGGGCCAAGTGCAGTCGTTGGAACGGCAGGATCGTCGCCCATCGTGGAGCTGGCGGCTTCAAAACGCGCTTTGAGGCCTTCGATGAACGTTGGAGCGATTGAGCTGTGGACGAACACGCGAGTGGCGGCTGCGCACAGCTGTGAGCAAGGATAAAGGTTTCAGGAATGGGTAACTAACTGACCTAGGCAGACTTGCCCGCTGTTGAGGAGGAGGCCTTCTGCATTGCTGCTCAGGGGTCAGCATACTTCACGATGTCCGAACGGGTATCGGTTTTCTACACTCACTTCTTCAAGGCATTCTCGAGTTCCGCATCAGCGAAGATTATTGACGGAGACTTCCCACCCAATTCGAGCGTAACTTTCTTCATGTTGCTTTTTATTGCAGCATCTTGAATCTTGCGGCCGGTCATTCCAGACCCAGTAAAGCTGATCTTGTCGATGTCCATGTGCGCAGCGAGCAAGGCACCTGTCGAACCGCCACCGGAGATGAAGTTCACTACCCCTGGAGGGAAACCTGCTTCTTTGAAGAATGGGGCAACCACTAGTGGGCCGAAGGGAGACTTCTCAGAAGCCTTGAACACAAACTGTCCCAGAGCGGTTAGTGGAGGTGTTTTCTGAATGAAGCATCGAACCCACAGTGTTACCCGCCGCGAGGGCTGGCGCAATCTTCCATGCAACGAAGCTGCAATTGTCAGCCGCAAGCGATTGAGAGATCGGATCAACACTAACACCAACGTCGCATTCCAAGCCGCTATACCAGCGCAGACCCCAATCGGCTCATACTGTACGATCTTGTAGAACCCGTCCTCTTCTTTGTAGCTTTCTCCTGCGATCTTATCCGCATATCCAGCATAATCTAGCACATGGTCAACTACTAACCAGTGGAAGGGCAAGAAACACGCAATCCGTACACCTGATGCTTGCCACACAGGTCGGTATTATCGCCCCTTTTGCAACCGCGACCGGCTGCCCCATGCTTGCAGCCTCCAACTTCGCAAGCTCATCAGTCTTCTGTTCAATCAGGTCTGCCAGTTTCAGCATGCACTTTGCACGCTGGGCGCTGGTGAATGTGCACCATGGACCCGTCTCATAGGCTTTGCGAGCGGCGGATACCGCGGCGTCGACTACGTGCTCGTCTGCGACCGGGATTGTGCCAACGATGGAGTCGTCGTATGGGGAGCGAATTGTTATCGTCTCCTTCGCGGAGGATTCGACGAACTAGATTGGAGGCGTCAGATGTCTTGATCTGGAAGGTTGCTTCTACCTCGTCGTCTTAATGGCCTGGAACTTACCTCATTGTTGATGAAATGCCTCGTTTCGAGGTTCGACAACCCGTTTACAGCCATGCTATGTCCTTTCACTCTTGCCCGAAAGATGTAGGAATTGGCCTATCCTCAATCACTAGGTTGTGAACAGCCATTTTTAGCTGATTGAGACCTGTATACCCCGCAGTAAGCTGACTGTGTTTGGTGCAGTAAGCAAGTCACATTTGAACAGGAGCTTACTCGTACCGGACCATGTTATTCGTCGAGCTTGGTCACGCGGTGTTGTGGTAGGTGACTGCTACGAGTAAGGTGCTCTATGAATGCATCGAAGCAAACGGCTATGGACCAGGTTTCCTTCCTCCAGCTACGCCACCGCAAGGCACGGATGAGGTGTAGCTATAACGGTAGTGGAAGTATCTCCCCACACGGCGGAAATCGACCTCGCTTGATAAGACCTTCTAGTGCAGGCTTTAGACAGGGGAGAAGGGCTTATTTCTACTGCGCAACGGGGGTTTGGGTGCGGGGCGCGAGGGATGATATCACTATCTAACTATCTCAGTCTTAGAGCGTGGAAGGAGTTCTTGTAGAGACTGAGCCCATCCCCGTTACGGTATACTTAAAGCCCATGTCTAGAGCTGCAGTAGAGGTCTTGTCAAGCGAGGTCGATTTACGCAGTGTGAGGAGATAGTCATCTCGGTAGTAACCAGACAGAAAGGACGGTGAATTGATGCAGAGGGTACGCAGGGTACATCGGGTTCTGTGTAGGTAGCAAGCTAAGCGAATCTCACCTCTCCCTGCATAGAACATGTCACGCTTGGATAACCCTAACCCTAAGCCGATATGCAACAGTCAAGGGGAGTGTAAGCGGCGTTCCGGGAAGGACGAAGGGGTGGCGCGCAGGCCACCTCTACCTAGCCAAGCAAGCTGAGCCCTGCTCCGGTTCAGGCATCCCCGCCAACCAATGACCCTTCCAGACAACTGCCCATCGACGATCAAGTAGAGTCGATCGAAGGGCGCGTTAACCTATACGACGGATGCTCGACCTGGGACCACCCAAGAGGCTATATAAAGTAGCTTGCCGTTCGAGGCTCTATCTTACATCCCCTCGATGTCACAGCTGTTGCCGCGGTGGCGGCTTTGACAGCCCACGAGAAGCACCACTATCAAAATGACACCTAGCCAATAGCTACAGTCACCATGCAGCGCAGCCCGGTTCAAGCCACCGGTAAAACCTTGGCCCTTAAAACCTTCTCCCTCAATCCACCCAGCCGCTGTACCGCATCCTTATGCCTCTCGCACGAAACTGTCCAATGCATCCTGACCCTCTCATCCTCCGTAAGGGCCTGCAGATAGCTCTTGAAACCGCCCTTCTCGCCCTCGCCCTTCGCTCCCAGCCAACCACCGCCTTCGCGCTTAGGATGATGAGGGTTAACGGGGCTCATCAGCATCTCGGCCGCCGCTTGTCTGGCCTCGAAGTGGTTCAGCATGTTGCGGTTGTATTTGTTCCATTCGATCATGTAGGCGCTGAAGTAGCCGAGGTGGTCTGCCCAGCTCTTTTGCGTTAACCGCTCAGGTGGCGTTGGCGCTTTCGGAGGTTGAGGCAAAGGCAGTTCCTTTGGTGCGAATGACTTGGTTGGGTGGTTGGGAGATGGGTTGGATTCGAAGGGCAGAGAGGAGGCGAGATCATCTGTGCTTTGCAGGCCGGATGCACTGGCGGCGAAGGGAGCAACACTTTTCAGGTCGGTAAGGTTAACGGTATTCTTTGAGGGCTCGGTGGGAGAGAAGACCGTAGTAGGGACTTTGGAATCGCGCATGGAGGCTGAATCATCACGCCACTCTGGACGGGTTGGCTGAACAGGTACCAGGCGAGGACCTGCGGTCGCCGGGGCAGACGTAGTGGTAGAAAGGGTTGCTGGTGGCGGCCCTGGAGGCGGTGGCGGCATGCTGTTGCTGACGGAAGGCCTGGGACTCTCAGTGTCAATGTCCATGGCGTTACTGTCTCTGCTCGCAGTCGCGTAGAGGCCTTCAGGGTCTCGGGATGTGGTGCGATTCGGTTCCTCAAAGTCATCGACGGCATCGCTCACACTTGTTGGCTGTGGTATGGACGAGCTCTTCGGTTTACTGGTAGATGCCTTCCGTACTGCTGGAGTTTTCGTCCTCCGTCCAGTTGATGAGGGTCTGGTAGGAGATGGTGCCTTTGGCGGCGGATAAACCCAGCTAGGCTCTTTAAAGGTCTTGGCCCACTCTTCCTGCGAAAACTTGACACCCCCTGGTAAGCTATCAGAAGACACGTTGTATGGGCTGTTGACAGCCCCGTTCATAGGTGGCCGAAGTCCGGACTTCGAATTCAGATCCTCGGTGCTCCGCGGAGGCGGAGGTGGTACCGGCACGGCTCTGCTCTGTGTCCGGCCTCTTGTGGGCGAGACTCTTGCTCTACTCTCTTTCCGGGCAGTTGGCGGAGGTTGGGCGAAATAGTCCGGAGCTCCAGTGAATTTTCCATCCCAGTCGCTTGGGCTGAAAGTCGTGTTGACGCTTTCATGGCTACGACTCTTAAAAGTCTGGGCTTGGGATGGTGAGAACGTGTTGTCGGTAGCAAGGAAGTCGAAGCTGCTGATGATATACCCGTTAGCCATACAGCTGCACTCAAAAGGTGATAAAGTGAAATCGCCCGCAGCATCTGCTAAGGGTTCGCTGGTCGGCACAAACTCTGACTTGAAAATGGGGTCCATCGGCAAACCTGAAGGGCGATTTGGTGCCCCTGACGAAGTGACCGAGGTCTTCAGAAGTGGCGATAAGAGATGAGAATGATCAGACAGAAGAGTGGAAGAGCAACCAGCGGCTTGTTGAGAAGCCGCTGGTGTTGCTGCGCTATTCGCTTCCTTTTTTGCCGGCGAGACACTGGACGGAATAGCCCAGTATGGTGGCCGCGGTGGGCTTGTTGAAGCTCCTGCTGCGCGCTTTTTCGAACCGAACGGCCACTTCTTTGACCACGGCATTGATATTCGAGAGAAATGAGTTGAACTACTGTCGACTGGCGAAGGAAGATGACCACTAGTGAAAGGTGATGCATACATATTGGATTGACTCTTCTGTTCCATACCGTTGGCAGGGGCGGCTGTTCCTCCATTGGTGCCGTTCTGCGCCGGGTACGCTGGTGCCGGTGGCGATCGATGGTCTTGCTTTTGCCACGACGGGGCGGGTGCGGCTTTGGGTCGGTACGTCTGATCCGTGTATTGCTTGTCTTCATTCGGAGTAGGCCTAGTCTCCCAAGGACGAGGTGCGCCAGACCTCCGCCTTTGATCAGTGTCGCTTTCTTCGTCGCTGGAGCTATGCCTGAAGAATGGTTTCGTAGCATTGCCGCTTAGTCGATCTCGAGTATGCGCGGAGCTGGCCGAAGGGAATGGCGGTGGAACTTGAGATTTCGGGGAGAATGGTTGCTCATCTGGTCGTGCTCTCGAGCTGGGGCTCGCGCTGCGGTGACGGTGTGGGCGGAAGGAATCTGGGGTCTCTGACGACTCTGGTCGATGCGGCGAACTGCGGACACTAGCAGAGCGGCCTAGGAAAGTTCTTTCGCCGCTGCTGTTCGCATACGGCGTTCTGTCTCTGTTGCCTTCAGCAAAAGGAACATCGTCGAACAATCTGTCACGGAGATGGTCCATAGGGTCAGGTCTACGAGCCGTTGGAGGTGCACCGGCTGCTCGGGGGGGTGTAGGAGGAACCTCTGGCCGGACATGGGGAGGCGGCGCTGGCCGGTCCGAGTACCGTGAATTTGTGTAGTAAGACGACGCATTTCCTGCTTGACGCTCGTCGCCCTCGGCGGTAGGATCAAAGCCTGATTTCTTTGGCGTCCTGGTGGTGTTGCTCCTGCCCATACCAGGCTTTGCTGTGTTGAAATTCTCCCACGCAGTCCTACCCTTGTCTGCTTGATCCTCCTGGTCGGAGGCCGAGCGGTACCTGGCTGTCCCAGCTGGGGGCGGTGGTCCTGGGCCAGGTCCTGCACCTGCCGCATGTTTGCCCGGTTTCATGTTTTGCCAGGCATTGCGGACATTCGCCTTTGCTTCTGCATCCTCCCTTGCCGCTCGTGCTGAGGGGGGCGGTCGAGGAAAATTCGTGAACCGACTGGCGCCAGCGGATGATGGGGTGGAGGCGAAGGCCGGCCTACGAGGAGTAGTCTCAGACGGGTTCGTCCGTCGCGGCGGAGGCGGGAAGTTGGTGTTGGCAGTGTAGGAGGCCCGCGGCGGGCCATTGGGTCTTGCGAGATTGGGGTAGATGTTAAGTCGACTTCGCTCCGCGTCGTATTTGTGCCGCTCGGCAGGGTCGCCCAGGACCTCGTGAGCGGCTTGGATAGCCTGGAACTTGGGCACGCATTCCGCTTCTCGGCCTGGGTTGCGGTCTGGGTGGTATATGAGAGCTGGTCGAGGTCAGCGCAGGCGCAGGCACAAACACAAGCTGCGCCGCAAGCCCGGCGGCCGCTCACCTAGCTTCCGGAACTGCTTCCTGATTTCCTCTGTGTCGGCACCTGGCTGGAGGTCCAAGTCGGCGTAGTAGTTCCTCTTGGGGTCTGCCTTCACCATGTTTGCGCTACCGGGGCGACATGAAGGAAGCGGAGGGCTGTTGTTCGCGGGGGGGGCGAGACGCAGCGATTGGTGGAAGGTATTTCAAGGTAGCTAGGTATGCTGCGCGCGAGGTGACGGCGGATGCGGGCGAGGAAGGACGATGCAGGTGCGCTGGCGGACGGTCGAACCAGTGACTGCAGTTGTTAGGTTGGACGTCACTGGTGCGCGCAGCGCTCGTGTTTGGTGTCGCTCGCTACGGTTGTGGCTGCCCGTGGGTTCAAGCTGGCGACAGACACGGAGTGTGAAGTTGGGATGGTGAAGTGTGAAGTGTGAAGTGTGAAGTGTGAAGTGTGAAGTGTGAAGTGTGAAGTGTGAAGTGTGAAGTGTGAAGTGGTGCGCAAGTCAACAGGGTCAACAGTCGAGTTTACGAAGCACGCTCAAGCACGCTCTACGGCAAAGGGTCACATCAGCGGCACGCACTCAGCAAGCTAGTTATGTCGCGTAGAGTGGATGTGCGAGGTTGCGAGGCTGTAAGGGCGACGGCCAGCGACTTCGCTGGCAATGGTCGATACCTAGGTAGGCATGATCGACGAGGGCCCTCGGGATGCTCGTTGGCCTTCCCGCCGACGGTCAACACCTTAAGAGGTCGCCCATTTTGGCACCGTTGCTGGAGGGAAGGGCAGGCAACGTCTTCTTTTATTGAACGTTGCCCCTCTGCCTCGTAAACCCCCGGCAAATCTACAAACGACCAGCATCATCATGCATCGATTTGCTCTGGAGAGCTGGTTTTTTGGGCCATCCACCGCACTGGTGTAACTCCGTCACCATCATGCGACTTGACATCTTGCATTGGCTTTGTTTTATGCCCGTCTGAACCGCAGAACTACTCGTGCCTGCAACTCTCAAGACTCTTCTGCAAGAGGCGGCCTAGAACTCCGTTTCCTCGGTTCCTTGAAGCATCGCCAGAAGACAGCAGGTGCACATCAGCCACGGATCCAAATTACAAACTCCGCTTGCCATCTTGCTCAGAGAGCCCAATGCCGTGCATCCGTGCCGTGGCAATTCCCATTAGTGGCCCTGTGGCTCCGCCTTAGAACCGCCAACGCCAGTCGTACAGTCGTCCCATCGTCAACAGCACCCCTATTTCAGCCCAAACCCCTCACTCTCGCACACAGCCCTCCAAAGCTTCTCCACCAGCTTCCGCCTGCTCTTGTACCGGTAGAGCTGCACCATATCAAAGCAAGTCCTCGCAACGGGAAACCTTTCGCAGTCCTCCCCAAGACAAGTGATCTTGATGACCAGGTTCGTCGCGCCCACTGCCGGAATCCTGTCCGAGCCGGTGATGAAGCTCAGAATCTTGCGCTGGTCCTTTGCGTCCGCCGCGCCAAAGAATTCCCAGAACCATCGGATCACCGGCTCGGTCTCCTCGGGATGCGGGATCTTATGGTTAGAGGCGTCGCGCCAGTTCTCGTAAACAGCGACTGCTTTGATTGAGGCGACATCGAGAGGTTCGTCTGAGCCGCGGACCAGTAATTCGATCTCCTCTGGTCGAAAGAGGGAGAGAGCGTTGCCGCCGCAGACGGTAAAGAAGCCGCGCTTGAAGGGTTCGAACTGGCGAGACACCGATGTGTCGAGAAGGTAGCGAACGTAGAGGTCGACAAACTCTTGTCTGTTCTCGTTCGTGACCGGCCTCTTCGCTCCATTCGGGCACAGAGGTACCTGTGTTACTGCGCCGTACCGCTCGACGTCTGCGACAAAGTCTCGGCAGAAGTCCATCTCGACGTCGCCGTCATGGTCGAGGAGGGCGCGCAGGCCGCGGGCGAGGGCGGGCCGGAACTCGGCGAGATCTTCAAGCGTGTAGTGCAACGGTTGGCGGACAGAGGGCACTGCGGTAGTAGAATTGGGCGCTGATGCGAGCAGCTTCTTGAACGCGAAAGGGGGAAGAGCTACGTCGAGGATGGTGGAGTTGTAGATAGCGAGACCGAGAAGGGCACCGACAAGGAAGTACTGATCGGATGTCTCGAATGAATTCGGATTGAAGTAGCAGAAGTGCGAGTCCTCGTCATATACGAACATGCCGTGATTGGGATCGAAGATATCCCGAACTAGGAGCAAGAACCACTCCTTCCTCAGTCCACCAGCATCGACGCCTTCTTCACCGACAAACTGCACTCGAAGTCCCTTCTTGATCTCCTCTTGACCGCCACCGACCACTTCACTGATGCGGCGAAGACTGTCGTCTACCATGCATTCTCGGCGGACGCGCAGGTGGAAATGCTGCTCCACCTGCCGACTGCTCATGATGCTGTCGAAGAAGGCTTCCCTTGCTTTGTTCTCCATTTGACGCCGGGCGTCGTGTTCCATAATACGGATCTTGGCGCCGATCGATAGGAAGAAGGGATACTGACAGAAGGAGAAGCGACCGCGGCGAGATTCCCAGGCCTCAAAGTCACCAATCAGGTCCGAATAGTCCAATAGCGTATTGTAGAAGCCAGAGGTCGGCAGCAACTGACCGTGGCTTCTGGCTCGTTGGCACGCAGCAAGGCCAGCGCTTGGCTGGCCGGCGACGGACGGCGGAAGTTTCACAGGGTCAGACCTCTTGTTGAAATAGATGTTGTTGGCGGCGAAGAGGAGAGCCATGACCTTAGATGCGACCTTGAGCTGCCAGTCGTCGCTGTACACCATCGGTTCTGGTTTCCCATCATCGGCCTTTTTCAGTGCTGATGGAAACCCTAATGCAGCGTGTAGCTGCGCCGAGGTGCCGCTTGGCCCCATGCTTGTAAGATCTGGCACCAGAGTGCCGCCAAGGGTCTGGCTGTGACTCCTATTACGGCCCTGCTGGCGAGTCAGGCGATAGGTGACAAAGCTGCCGACTAGATCGACCAGCCGACGAAAGTGATTCTCCTCCAACCTCGAGAACCAGGTAATAAGGTGGCGGTGGCATTCGTTGGGGAGGTTCGCCATAAGCCCCAAGATTCTTTTGACGATGCCGGAGTGCTGTCCGACATCCCGCTTGGCTGAATTTGGCTGTCTTTGCGATGGAGATCGACCCGGACTACCAGAACTCTTCGACTGGTCCAGGGCTGCGCGATGGTAGTTCTCTTGACCTTCTGGCCCTAGAGCAAAGCGCGTGGCGTTCGATGGGTACAACAAGGGGTTCGACAGTATGATTAATAGAAATCGGATGTGTTCTGGTTCTTGCAACGGTCGCCCCGGACGCTTGAGGAGGTTCTCCGTAACCTTCAGCAGCGTTCTCTGGGCATGTATTCTGGCTTCTGTAATTTCTTCACTTATGCTATGCAACTCTGCTTCGTTCAGACGTTCAATCTCGGTATCCGATAAGGACGCCTTAACGATGGAGAGCTTGTCGAACCACGAATGACCGGCTCTCAGGATAGTGTCGTACCAAAGCGCAAGGTCTGACCAAGCAATACAGGGCGATCGGGAAGTTACGGTGCGTCGTGGATTATTAACAGTCAACCCACGTCGATGGAACGTTTTATCAGATCGGTTGCGCTCCAACCCGCTCCACCAAGATCCGTTCTCAGCGAAATCACCAAGCAGAAGCGTCTTCGCGTCCAGCTCGGAGAACGGGATGCCAGGGCGTTCAGACTGCGAAAGCTCGACAGCCGGAGCAGCTATGGTTGCTGACCCTTCGCTACGTGTGCGGCCGCCGTTGCTTGGTCGTGCCGTTGAAAAAGACGAGTTGAGGCAATCGAAGCTGCCAAAGCTGCTGATAATGTGATCTTCCAAGGGCTTGAAGACAATTTTGATACTGTCGTGGCGGCGCCGCTGCTCGATCTGTTCGGCCGTTAGCCGTGGACTTGGCTCCAGCGGTAGACCGGGGCTTGGTATTGGTCTCGCGCCATGGTTGTCCCACGATGGGCCCGCAGAGCAGGTAGATTCGGTGGCAGTTCCTGGTCTCTGAATTGGCGGTGGCGGGGGTTTGCGGGTTGGTCTAGCAGGAGTATTCGTTCGAGCATCAATGTGTTCAGCGGGAGCAGGGCTTGGTAATGGAATCCCTGCTGGTCGCCTTCGAGTAGGAGAGGGTAAGGCCTTTGGCGAAGGGGCTAGCGCAGCATCGAATACATTGCGGTCGTCTTCAAGCGCGGGTGGTGATAGTGATATGGGTGGGGTGTCAGGCGCAAAGTTCGGCTTATGTTGCAGCCTCTGTGGTCCGGGAAGCGGCCTAGCGCTCGTTGAAAGCTGGTTCTCTAGGGTATTCGGATCGGCAGATGGCCGTCGTGAAGGAGAGTGGCTCAGCTCGGGCCGTGCAATTCGGGCTTGCAAGTAGTCGGTCAAGCATTTATCGATGATTCTTCTGGCGGTCTCCACAGACAGAGGTAGGGCTGCTTGACGGTCAGTAGAAGTCGTGATAACCGTCGGTTCAAGCTGACCTCTGCGGGTTAGAACAGGGCGCGTGTGTGCCCCTGACCTGCTTGCCGGCTGGGTTGCGCTTTGCTGGTCTTGTCCTATCGAGGCAGCATTGCAGAGACTGGCGGGCTCAAGGTCGTTGATCATAAGGCAGGCTGCGCACCGAAACACGTTGAGATTCTTCGGCCATCTAACCTTGGAGTCGCAGGTCATGCATTTCCCAGTTTCGAGATCTGCATCTTCGGCCTTGTTGGGTGCGTTCCCGCGAGGCATCGTGTCAAATGCTGATCCGTCGGGATCCGCGGTGTGTCCATCGTCTCCCGTCGCGTCCTGATCGAAAGCTCTGCTCAGGTTGCCGCTGCTTTTCTTCTTGCTGAACAAACCGGGAAACGGGTGGCTTATAGATCGGGCATGCTGTCTAGCCTTGGCCGGCTTAGGCTGCGGCTGCGGTGGATTACGGCTCGGCGAATGTAGTGTAGGAAAGGCGGCGTTCGGGCTGTAGTAGGTCGTTGCTGTAGGATTGCGCTCCAGAGAAGAGGCTGGCTGGGGAGTGCCGTGAAGGATGCGGGAGGACCACGAAGGCATTGGAGGTTTCAGATAGGGTAATAGGGTAGCTCATCCGTTGTCTACAAGATAAGTCAGACTTGGCGGGCATCCATCTAGCCGATGGATTTTGGGTGTTCAGCCAGCCATGCAGCGGACTACGAAGCAGTAGTTCATTGAGGAAGCGCTGTTCGGGTACAGTAGGCGGGCTCGGCGGTGGCCGAGAACGGTGGTTGAGTTTTGAGTGAGTTCTTGGAAGTCTCACCCTGAAAACGATGTAACGTTATATGAATGAGCTGACGAGGACATGTGTCGATGGAGACGGTCGTTCCAAGCATGGCTTTCGGCCTTCGGGCGAGGGACGATTTGGCAGCGATACGACGGCTCTACGGACGTCGCACAGCCTTTACGAGGTAGGGACGAGGGACGTCGCTCCTCAGCGGCATCTGCAGGGGAAAACATCAGAAACATCAGCTATTTTCGGCGCCGAGACACCAGGAACAGCCAGGAACAGCCACGAGCAGCCACGAGCAGCCACGAGCAGCCACGAGCAGCCACGAGCAGCCAAGAGGATCTGTCATCTGTCTCCAAGTTGGAAGCGTGAAGGTTTGGAGCGGTGCCCGCTAGCGATCCGTGGCAGAGGCTTGTAGAAATTGGAAGCGTGATGTGGGGGAAAGGGTAGGGCCATGCAGATCCAATTTGCTTGTCTACAACCTCACTCTGGCTGGCGTGTCTTTTGAATACAGTAGATATGCTCTATCCACGATAGCAGGTAAAGCCCGGCTTCCTCTTGGTAGTCACGAGAAGCTCTTGAAGAGGGAATTTTTGCTAAGCTTAATCATACGCCCCGCAAGACAAATAGAGCTCTTCCGCCGTTGGCAACCTTGAACCTTCACCAACCTTACCGTAAGACAGTTTGGGCAACGCTAAACCCGTGTAAACCCAGGTCCTCGTATCACTTTAATCAAACGCGGCACTATCTTGGGTCTTCTTCAAGGAGTATTTCGCTGTTCAACGGTTGCAAGGCTCGCCTCGAGACGTGAAAGAAGTATCTATTAACAACAGTGCTCGAGAATGCCGCCATGGGAATACTGGAACATCACTCAGAAAAAGCATGGAGTAGACATGCAATGTCAGGAAAGAATAGCTTCTAGACTCCAAGACACGCATATAGTACGCTAAAAATTATCCGTCCCGTTGCTCCACCAGAAATGCAAGAGTCCTCTTCTCGGCTCCACCACCCATTCGTTCCGGTCATGTCGCGTTGCGGTCGTAGGCTTGCTATGTGCTTTGATGCTGTACTACCCCCATCTCTTATGTCCGGCCACTCGCTTCGGGCCTTACCACGTGTATATACGGGCAAAACCCCCTTCTACGGATATCCATACCCTGAGTACCCGCCACCATGGCCGTAAGGTCCATATCCCGGATGGATCGGCGGTGTCGGAACCACTGGCGGTGCATTCTGCCTTGGAAAGTGATTGCTATCCCTCCTCTCGCGCCTCGGCCGCTCCGGCGCCGGCGTCTCGTCACGAACTTTCTTCTTCTTCTTCCCCTCTTTCGGGCTCCGCTGATCGTAACCCTGGTCCGCGTATCCAGCCCTCGCAAACGGCGGGTTGACCACCTCTGCGCTCCGGTCGCCGGGCAGCTTCAGCTCCACGAGGCTGTAGAAGTAGTCGAGAACTTCTGGGTACCGTAGCACGGATGCTCGCCAGTCGGCATCGATACCGCGCTTGAGCTCAGCGTGTGCTTCGGCTATCTGGGCTTGCAGCTGAGCCATGGCTTGTGGGTGCAGAGGTGGGCGGCCGGAGTATTGCATGTATATCGCGTAATGGGGAAGTGAGGACAGGTAGGCGGTATGAGCGGCTTTGCGGGCGGAAGTGAGGCGTGTGAATGCGTGTAGGATGTGTATGCGAGAGTGTTCTATGACCCATTCCCTACGACGTTCAAGTCGGCAATGCGCTCTCGGGCGCGTGATACACCTGCAGAGGGTTTGGTCTTTGCTTACCGGATGTGTTTCAGCTGCTCGTCCATGCGCCGACGCTCTGCTTGCTCGACGGCGATTGCAAGGCGCTCAGATTCACATGGACATGTGTCCGGCGGGGCGTAGCAGATTGCACAGCTCGGCGACGGATCGCTCATGTTCGTGGGTTACTCGACGAAACATCCAACGACTAGGAACAGAAAACAATCCTTTGGAAGTGAGGCTGCCACCTCCACACACAGGGAGGAGAGCACCGGAGTTTATGGCGTAAGGTGAAGAGTGATCCCCGGCTTACAGCATAGGCGGGCACCATAAAGAGGGTCGGTGAGGATGCGGGCCTCCATGCTGCAAGAATCTGTTGAAGAGACAAACTACGAAGCAGTACGTATCAAGGAGCGAGTCCGGTGACGCCGTCGCAGTCCGTTGGCAGGCAGCTCTTGTTGTGATTCGCCCCTGTCCGGGTGGTCAAGCCGCTACGGTGAGATTCGTTGTTCCTGCCGCTGGAGTCCTCATGCAATAAGTTGGATGTCACGTGGTGCAGTATGGGCCAACTGCGCCTTCGCCTCCTCACCTTCGAATACTCCGTGACGAAGGAGAAGTAAGATGGGACTACCTAGTATACATGTATACTCATCCCGCTGTGCCCGGACGAGGGTATACACGGCAACAATACTGACGGCAGTGTGCTCTAAAGTCCGTGCGATCGACACCGCAGTTTTCACTCTACCTCCTGAGGGCTTCGCCCTCATGGTGGAATATCTTCATACTCCCAGTATCTATGCAGAAACCCAGGAACAACGCCAAACCCGTAAGTTCCCTTTGACAGCAATGCTTACGTCCAAGCCCTTAGCGATCGACTTGTAGGAACATGACAGCATAAAAGCTTCCGACACTTAGCGGCTGGGATACCCCTATACCAGCGCAGGAGAATGCGACGACGACCATTAGCTGTCGGGACCGTGGTTATCCTAGTCGACGAAAACCACAACCATGCCAAGTAACAAAGACGTAGGGGGTTCCTCGTGGGCAATTACGTTCTTGGTCCTTTCTTAGTCTTCAGGTGAGCAGATGTAGGACACTGGCATCAAGCCTCGCCGAGACACAGCAGTAAGCCGGCTATGACACGCACCGGCGTGCCTGGGGAGTTGACGAACTCCTGCTCGGAAGGCTTATTCTGAGGCGGCACGGTAACTACCGATATTGCATCTTGATAACCGTGGGACGTGAGGAGCTACCAGAATTGACTATTGGGAAGGCGGGAAACTTCCCCGGATTCTAGAGCGATGTTGAGACGGTGGAAGGCCTGCAGAGCAGCGTCCATTAAACCTTAGGGAGAGGGCTCCCTTTATGATCTCAATAGCCTACATATCTCATTAAGCTCTTCTTCGTGTAGCCTGTCTCCTGTATAGGTAGTGATAAGTATACTGTCCAGAACAAAGGACGTCAATAAAGTCGAAGCACCCTTTCCCCCGGTGGACAACTCGAAAGATCCCTGTCGGGTGTGCGTGCTGCGTTATTTCCTCCTGTTACAGTGCGAAGAATACCACTATATGGTAGGAGAGACTGTCATGAGGAACCCATGTAGTCGTAGTCACGTGCCATAAGTGGTTGCAAGCCTTGGTAGCGAGATCTGCCATGTCGTTGTCGACCATCGGAGGCATGCTGTAGCTAGGGCATCACAACGTATGTAGCTGAGGTCGTACCGTGGAACAGATGCTGCGTCCACCCAAGATTCGGAAGAGCGGATTGAGAGGTGACATTCGACATGCCCAAAACGCTGGGGATCACTGCCTGCATAGAACTGAGAGATGAAACATTCGACGCCAACCTCAACTCACCCGAGACCGGCTACCAACTCCTTCCAGTGTGCGATCGTGATCCAAGACAATGCTAAGGGATTTTAGTCCCCAAAGCGAATGACGGTCGAGTCCGCAGGCTGAGACCATTCAGCGGAGACGGGCTGGTCTATGGATGGTCGCTGTGCGTCTGGAACCCGTGGGCAAGCATCCATTAGGGTCCAGAAGCAACAGCAGTCGTTCTACGAAACATTGACGAATTTCCTCATACGGCAGTAACCCGCTTGTCGCCCACGGGTGATAGGTTTAGCATCCATGGTGCAAATGAAGAGCGGCTTGCAGTAATGCGACGCACATCTGCGACGAGCAAGCTGGTTGCCGATCAACGGATGCTCTGGCTCACGCTAGGAGAAATTGATGCTGGAGTCTCAATACCATGGGACAACGACGTGGCCATAAACTCTATCACACGTGCGAAGCGGACCAACAGCGATTCAACACGATTACTTAGAGACCCAGATACCAGCTCCGAGTTTACTATAGCTAGTCCAACCAAGAGAAGCCGGATTCATCAAAAGCGCTCAGCCAAAATATCAACAAGAAGCTATCCATCCATCAAATCGACAAGCCAAACAGCAAAATAGCCAACCACTTTCTACTTCCGCCTCAAGTCCCCTGACCAATCCCCACGTTAGGCGCAGCACTCACGCTCCTCTTCCCCCAAAACCACCCTCCACCCCCACTAGCCGGCGTCTTCGCCTGCGGCCCCCTCTCCGCCGGCGGCGTGGGTAGACTAAGATTCATGTAGCTCTTCCCGCCCTCGCTCGGACTGACTTTGTGACCCAGCCTAGCAATCCCAGGACTCGGAGTCGACACGTCCAGCATCTTCTTCATGCTGTCGAACTTCGCCTTCATCTCCTCGAGTTCCTGTTTCGCGACCGCCTCGCTCGTCTTTGCGTTCACGAGCTCAAGGAGGAGCGCGTCCTCGCTGGCTGGCGCGTGGTTGTCCGTCGAAAGCACCGCTTGGGTGGCGAGGGAGGAGGAGCGTTTGGAGAAAGTCACCTGGCTTGAGCGGGTGGAGGCGGAGCGCGAGAGTTTGAACTCGCGGAGGCCGGTTGTGCTGGGGGTAGAGGCTGTCGTTGTCGCTGAGGTGGTAAGTTCCGCTGTGTCTGAACCTGTTAGACTCGAGAGATCGGGGGTTAACCCGGTTCTCGCACCAGTGGGTCGCAGGCCGTCGCGGCGGAGGTCTTGAATGGTTTTCTCGAGCCGTTGACGCTCGGTATGGCTTTCACGGAGTTGACGACGTGTGTCTTTAAGCTGATCTCGGGCGGTGTTCGCTTCCACGACTTGATCTGAAAGTTGCCGTGACAGGGAGGTGGAGCGAGAAACTTCGTCGTGAAGTTGGTCTTTGGTCCGGGCAAGTGCATCGCGGAGGGTAGCTTTCGTTTCAAAGGCCGAGGACATCCGGGAGTGTCGTGTTTGTGGGAAGTGGTTGTCGAGGGAACAGAGAACTGATGGTACGATTGACGGAATTGCAGCAGATGCACCACCAACGTTTTCTCCATAAGCCGCAGTCCTCCTTCGCATTTTGGGGGGATCAGGCACTGCGCATTGGCCCTCCTTCAGGCGGCCCAATACTGACCGGACAACACGATAGTCATCGTTTCGCTCTTCCCGCTCCTTCTGCAGCTGAGCTGCAAGTAAGGCATGCTCCTGCTGCACGTTGCTTAGAGCCGTGAGCAAGCCCTCTATCTGGCCATGCAGGTCCCGATCGTGGCTTGACACCGTATGCATTATTGAAGGACGCATCGATTCGGTGTGCGATTTGATGGATACGCCGTCCGCGGAGGAATCTCGCGATAGGTCACTGACTTCCGTGATCGGTGTACTGGCATGGCTGGTCGCGCTGTTCGACCCGTTCACCTCCGCAGAGCTGATTGTCGAAGCCAGGCTCTGCCTCGAAATCGTTCGGTTGAGCAAGCTCAGTGGCCTCGAAGGTGTAGTAGCATGCGGACTGAGCGAAGCAGATTTTGTTGACGAATTTGATGGAGTCCACAAACGACCGAGGAATCTAGCCGCAGCCGTTTGAACTCCGGGCAAGAACCCGGCACTGGTGCCATTGTCTTCACTCTGAGCTTCCCTGAAGTTCGCTTCCAGGTTCTGCAGGGCCTCTCGGGTCACAAGGCCAGTCAGGCTTACGAAGTCGTTCACAAGCTCGTCGGCGGACTTGGCGTGACAGCCGTAAGGATCCCAAAGGGCTCGAGAAAGCAGAAGCTGCATTACATCTTCGAACTCCGTAAAGGCTAGGATTCTCCTCTCGTTCCGGCGCATGATTGATAGAGCAACACGCATGACCGTTTCAGATGCACCCTCGGCGAACAGGACGTCGTAGATCCGGAAGAGCATCGGTAGTGGACACGTAGAAGCGAAAAGTGAGAGAAACCATGGCGCCAAATAGGCTGCTTCGACCTGTAATCCGTCAAGATGCGCAGCGAGGTCCGGAAGATGCTGACGGAGGAGATGCTGGAACTGGTAGATGCGAAGATGAAGTCCAGAGAGATCGGGCAGGAAACACGATCGTAGGTCATAGTCTTCCATCAACCTGTAATCCAATCAGTAACAACGACACGTGCCATATTCGTGTCGCCCGACTTACCGCACAAGCACGCAAAATGCCTCCTTATCGCCCATCTGCATGAGCAGAGGTCCAACAAGAAAGCCCAGTCCCTGGCAGTATCCGATCTTTTGGTCATACAAGCTGAAGCACTTGAGGACTCTGCCAAGCATCTCCTGCCCTTCCTTTTCGCGAAACATCTCCACGCCGGGAAAAGTGCGTCCAAGGTCCTTCCCTATGATGTTTTCATAGGGGCTTGGTTCGCCGCAAAGGTTGTCGTACTGAGACTCGATAAGTTTATTCCGAGCCTGAGCCAAGCTGATCCAAGTCACGCCGCGGAGAGGTGCTGGTATGCCACCTCTGATCTTGTTCGCTGTGAGCGTCGGAAGACGCTGTGCGGTTTGTGGGTAGTCCCTAACAAGCGCCGCCCAGAACTCGAGTTCAGTCATTGGAGGGGCAGGTAACAGCGAGAAGCGTGAGGACGGATCCTTAACGAGCTTCTTGAGCTGCTGAATAGACGGCGGACGTGACTGGCCGCGCGCCCGTGTTTTGAGGCCAGACTTGGGATCGGTCGCTAGGGCGTTGTTCTCCTGCTCGAGTCTGGCGAGCAGCAATGCCATCGACTACCGCGCGTCAGCTGAGCCTTCCACAGTGTATAGAGCAACATAAGCCCTCACCTCATCGGAGATGTCATCCATCGGTACTTGTTGCTCTGTCTTCTGGAGCTGCTCCCAATCGACACCAGCGCTGTCCTCAGATGCTGAGCTCTCGCTTCGCGAGCGATCGCCATACACAACAGGCATACCCTCAGCTTCTCTGAGGTCTTTTGCTGGGTCGCCCACATCGATAGTGGTGGTATGTCTGATATCATCGGTGACTGATGTGATTCTTCTAGGGGGCGTAGAGTCTATTCCTCGCGTGATGTCCAGCGAATTGGGTCGTGAGCTGACCGCCTCCTCTTCTAGACTGTGTTTGACAGCAGACTCTTCCTCTAGCTCAACGGCCTGGTTCGCGTCCGAAAGGCTGACGGTGACCATTGAGTCGGTCGGCAATGGTTCGCTGTTGATGTGTTTCCGAGGCGAGCGGCTCGTCGAAGGCCCGCCAGCAGTCTGGAGCTCGTTTTCGCTCATGGTCGGTTGAAGAGGCGGTGATGAGAGCGCTGTTCCGTTTGGTTGCGACTGCATGGAGTGAAGTAGAGCGCTGTATCGGCTTCGTGTAATCCTAGGGATGCAAGGGGCTGGTGAACGGATATCGAACAGAACGTCGCGCTACTTATAACGAAGTTGAAGCTGGTCGGCTCCGCGGCCTCATTCCTTTCGCTCTACTGGCGAAGCTTGCATCGTAGGCGTTTCAAAGGACGGTAGTTCAGTCCATGGAAAGGACTGGCAGTGGGGTGTTTCAGGCGGGCAGAAAGAATGAAGTGTCGCGCAGGAGCGTGGGTGAAGGATCTGAGTGAGTCAATGAACGAATGAATGAATGAGTGAGTGAGTGAGTGAGTGAGTGACTATGATGCAGATACAAAGAGGGTCAGAAGAAAGTGGCAGGATAACTAGGCGGGCAGGTCAAGGCATGGGGTAGAGCGTCTTGGAGATTCAACGCCCTTCAGGAGGCTTGCGGCTACAGTAGATTACGCAGGGATCATACAGGGATCATACAGGGATCAGGGATCAGAAACAAGGGTCGTCGCGGAGGCTAATCGCGTGGTCACGGGACCAGCACGAGAAACTCTGTCTCACCACCAATAACACCCTACAAATGCAATGGTTGGTCCAGCAGGATGGTTATATAGTTATCCATGGTGAGCATTGTTTCGGTAGAGACCACTCGAGCACTGGCTAGGTAATGTCTTGGTCTCAGTACTGTGTTGACGCTGGTGCAGCAATTATCCACATCGAGCCGCTCACGAACATTCAGAATCGAATCGCTCCACGGTACAAACATGACGAAAAGAGCGCTCGACGCATGGATAACCTCGGACTGAATCGCTGCCTGAGGTCGAGCCTCTAATGCAGCGTCCTTGAGTACGCGTTTGGCACTTTCCATCTGCTCGAGCTGGCTGTCTTTCGGCTTGGACCGACGATCCCTTTGCGCCGAGTCGTTCTTCGGCGAGCCCGAGTGCATTAGCACTGGCACTAGTTACCAAATGCTAGTGACCGTTGGAGGACACGCGGGCTGCTGCAGGGCTGGACAGAACTGGTTGCTTCTTGCAGACAGAATACTCTTACTGCCGTTTTTCGTATCCTATGGCTACAAAAGGGATGAGAAAAGATTGGGCACGGGCGATGCTTTAAAAGACAGCGCCCTCCCAAAAGCGCCCGATGCAACGCCCAGCAGCATCTAAACCGCCATGAGCTGGATGCCGTCCTGTCCTTATGATGCTGCAGGGACGCTCTCCACGCTTGACAGAAGAGCACAATATGCAAGCCACCAAAAAACGCACGGCCGAGGGCCAATTGTCCCTGGCCTTGCAGCCAGCGTCATCGTCGTTCGCACGAAAGCACCTGGACAGCCCCGGAGCATCGCGTGGCAGGCCCCGCATCTGGATGATCAACCGCGCAGGCAGTCTCAGGGTCCGGCTATGAAGAAACATGAGACTTCTCAACGAAAGGGACTGCCTTTGCCTGGGTGCTCTAAGTCTGCAAGGGGAATACGAGGACCGCGCCACGCAGTGCAGCTGCTTCTGACGTCTTCCTGCGCAGCACTGCCACCCGTCACCGAACCATGACGGTGCCATAGACCGGACGAAGAATGGGCGGTGGGGAGGGTTTACCAAGACTATTAGCACCTTCTTACGCCGATCCTTGGGCCTCCGGTGAAATTGACGGTTCACGCCAGCACACGAAGCTCTTTCCTCTCTCAACCCACGTACACACAACTCATAATCAACCACGAAGTGCAGTCCGCAGCGTGTCTTCCGTCTCGTTCTGTCCCGCCCCGTCTCGTCTTGGTATAGGTATTGTTGATGCACACTGAGTACATCGACGCAAGCTCCAGCGCCAGCTACAAGCTGGAGGCATGGCATCCGCTAGTATGATCTCACCTCTTTGTACACTGTGTGTTTCATAGCTTATGCTATCAAAGCCGCGAATCCGTCCTCCAACCTTCCAGAGCCACTGAATCAACATGCCACGCTAGGCATCGAGATGACCGAGCTCGTCAGTCAACCACCCTTACACAGGGTCGACACCAATGCGTCCGGGAGCGCATCCGCCGACACTGCTGATTCCGCAGAGGCCGTACAAAGCGCGTGGGGTACGATACAGGCAGTGAGCACCGAGCCAACATCCGCAGGCTTGAGTCAGCCACCACCCGAAGACGACGCCAAGGACGATGGCGGAAGAGAAGCTGCGCCGTCTACGATCTCTTCTGTTGCAGCCTTCCATGGGAGCAGTGGAGAGTCAGACGATGCCTCGACCATCGGCGGCAGTGCCATCGACACGGACACAAACAATCAACACCAACTGATCGAACACTCGGTAGGATTCGTCGGCGGGGTTTTCGAGACCGAGGCGATTGGCAGTGGCCAGGCCCCTGGACCCTTTGAAATCAGCGACGATGAGATAGATACGGAAGGCATGGCCGGAGATACTGCTAGACCCTCATCCGAGGTGGAGGTTACTGGACGTGAGCTACAGGCAGTGCCACCAGAGGAAAACCCGATAGGTACGACGGGGATCCCTACCGGGTACGCTCCCGCGGCTCGTCTGCCCAATGGTTAGTCCTTCCACTCCCTCAGTCGAGACTTCTACTAACAGCGCCGGCAGACTCAGGCCACTCCCTCCGCCGTCGGCCAACGGCTCAGCAGGACAATGGCTCCCGGCTCGCTGAAGAAGGGCGAGCATCGGAGGTAGCCCACACCAATGGCAACGAACAGCTGTCGCCTTGCCGTAGAGCTGTGATAGCGTTCTTTGCACTCGTGGGAATTCTCAGCATTGCTCTCACTGTCTGGCAGCTAACTTGTCGAGTATCGTATAATTCAATCGCTGCCAAGCGCTGGCTGGCTGGCTGCACTGGTACTGCATTCTTATCGGGGGCGGGAATGATGATAGCATATCCGAAACCGTTACTGGAGATCTTAGTCATGGGCATTCTGGTTATGAGCGTTGGCGGATTGTTCATTAGGGAGGTTGCCTTGGAGAAGACTGTCCAGCATGTTGGATGATGATCATATCAAGCCGGAGGTCCTTTTGCGTTCTGTCTTCTTGGATCTTTTGGATTGAAAAGTGTGCCGTCACTGGCGCATCGATGCAGCCGTCCGGCTTGGGTTCTCGTCACCGCTGGCACTCTATAATAGCATATAGATAGATATTTCAACGCCAATTGCATTAAACTTGCTCCCTCCAAAACCATGAGCCATCCCGCTCTAGTAGCCGGCATCACGGGTGCGAGGCGGCGGAAAGCATCCGGTTTCTCGCTACGCACCGGCGCCCCCTTCCGCGGACGATCAAACCACAACTTTGTTTTACCCATTCACTGCAGAAGCACACCGTATCTACCTGCTGGACTCGCGGCTCTGAGACGACATGAACAGCGACATCCATAAATCTTCCCCATCGGCGGAAACAACGGCGAGTTTCAACAGGTTGATCAGCCCAGCGCGCCAGCTAATTCATCATCAACAGCCCACTTTACATTGAGCCTGAACCGGCTTCGTCGCCAGCCATGTGCACATGTGGCAAGAGGTCAGACTTACCCGGATCGTCGTATTCTCTATGCCCACTCTTCGCCGTGTCGATCGACAGACTATTACCGGCGGGCGTTTAGTCACTTTACGAATGATAGGATATTTACAATTACTGAAGAAGCGGCGGCCGCCTGACCACCATCTAATACCATCAAGAAACACTAACATACGATCTATGTGATTTACATCTGAAACTTCCATTGATTGAAGATGTACCTAATGAGCTAGTCCATCCATAGGCACCGAAATACTTGGTTGAGAGCCTGAGAAGCCTTATAGTCGCGCGCCGTTAAGCGGCCGCTTCCTCCGTAAGTTAACTATACCCTCTTTCGTAGCGGAAGTGGTCAAGTGTCCCATCGCTATCAAATAGCTCAAGTCTTATCATCCGTTAGAGAAGGGGCATGCGCGTCCAGCATACGGTCAACAAGAGTCTTGTTGTTAACCCACAGATACTTGCTTAAGTCGTGCGTATACTTCCCAACCCGATCCGCCGCTAGCACATCGTTCTGGGCGTCTCAGTTGGCAACCGCGTTCAATGTCGTGCTCTATAGAAGTTACAGTACCGCATTTGAAGAGCACTAATCACTGTGTATAAGGGGCTACGGCATGTGAAAACCCTTAGTGAGCTGACAAAGACAACAATGAATGGCAGCGAAGCTAACCGCGACGACAATCAGGCACGGCAATACTCAAACCTCGTCAAACAACAAAGGCCTTGTCGGCAAAGACAATAGGATTGTCGTTTACTTAGCCTTCTTCGGTCCCAGGTTTTTGACCTTCTCTTCTCTTCCTCGACTTTTCCCTTCAATCTCATTTTTGAAGCGTTTCGAGTCAACTCCGCGCGCTGGCGCACGACGTCTAACGATTTTAATCTCGTGCTCTCTTTCTCAAGCGTCTCTTTCTTTACATTCTCTCGCTCCCACGATCGCAGTCATCATGTTAGACGAAACACATCTGGTATCAACGAATTTGTCAGCCTCAGACGTGCCTGAGGCTCAGCCATCCCAAGCACCTCCCTCAACGATCACTCCGCAACTTCAAAACGTGGTCGCAACCGCAAATCTCGAGATTCGCATCGACCTTAACATAGTCGCCCGTCAAGCACGCAACGCTGACTACAAACCGAAGCGGTTCACAGCAGTTGTGTTGCGGATCCGCGAACCCAAGGCCACCGCGCTCATTTTCGCGTCCGGCAAGATGGTCATCACTGGCGCAAGAAGCGAACTCGACGCCAGGCTTGCGGGCCGCAAGTTCGCCAGAATCGTCGCGAAGTGCGGCTATCACCCGAAGTTCCTCGACTTCAAGGTCCAGAACATTGTCGGCAGTGCGGATGTGGGCCACTGCATTCGGTTGGAGGGCGTGGAAAGACACATTCGCTTGGAAGATGTGGACAAACCCGTCAACCAGAGAAGGGGCGCGGCTTACGATCCGGACATATTCCCCGGGCTCGTCTTGCGCTGGATGGATCCGAGAGTGGTCTTCTTGGTGTTCGTTAGTGGTAGAGTCGTGATTACGGGAGCGAAGACCCGTGAACAGCTCTACGAAGGATTCAGGAAGGTGCTGCCGTACCTGAAGTATTACGTGATTGAAGGATTGGCCCAGCCGGTAAGAAAGAAGAAGAAGAAGAAGAAGCAGCACAGCCAGGACTGAGAAGCACGCCCCTGATTGTTGGTTCAGCCGGTCTGAAGCAGCGCAGAACTTGGGCGCTCAGAGCCTTTCGCGTGTCTTATTGTGGACACGTCCTTTCGGGCTCACGCGAGTGGGAAAGTGCTTACCGCGAATGTAGAAAGTCGGGGCTGCATCGACCACAAAGCTCCCTTCACGATCATTGTAATATACCAGAGTACGGTCTAAATAGCTGGCTCAACGTTCATTGTACTATTTTTCGCTCTTGAAAATTTACTTTAGCGGCTGAACGTGGATTATTGTATAAAATTCATGGTGAACGAGCGCTAGGCTGCCGTCGCGGCGAGGCCTTTTCCTCGTTCGACTGCGTCTCAACCTGTTTCTCAGCTGTAGTGTTACGGACCCGCGAATCCAAGGCCACTGCGCTAATTTTTAGAACTCCCGGCGTGTAAGCCCGACTTGTGAGTTTAGAAGACGCGATGCCCCCAAGCCCGCTAAAGCAGGCGAGGACGAGTCAACGCCAGACGCGCCTCGCAGCATACGACCATCCGATGTGCAGTCAAGCCGCCAGATCGATCATCGGGATACACTAGATCGTAGTAAGCACTGCCCGAAGAGATTGCCGTTAAATAAGGAGTTTCCCGACAAACAACTCGACAAACTGAACGCGACTATCGAAAGGGGTGAGAGGGACTCAGACTTCACTCAAGTAGTCGTCGAGCAACCAACTGGGCCTCGTCAAGTCGCCGCCAGGCTACTTCTACGGCAATGATGCCGTCTTACTTGGCTAGTGGAGAAAGTACTTCGGTCGAACCTTTGAGTGCCTTCAACCCTGTCTCCAATCTATCAGCTATGGGCAACCGCCATGAGATTTTGCGTGGCCCAACTACGTATATGGAATGCCCCATCCGCCGGAGCAAAGACCAGGGCCAAGTCTTCGAGGATTCAGGAAAGTGCTACTGTATCTGATGTATTTTGTGATTGGAGGAATGGCCTAGCCGGTGAAGAAGAAAGAAAATGACTGGTAAGGGCCATCTGAGAAGTCCGGTGCTGTACAGAAACCCAATCGTGGTTCTAAAGGTGGACAGCCTAAGTACACGGCCTAAAGATCGAAGACACCTCAGGCGATCGGTGCACTAAAGAGCTAACTGATGAGCATCGTTTGCTCTCTGTCACATGAAACCATCTAGCTGCTCCATAATGGACAGAATCATGAGACTAGTTCACTCGTAAATCTGGTATGCTACGAGCCTACGGCTTCTTGGTGACATGCACAACAATCTTTCCCCTCGCCCTTCCCGTCTTCAACTTCTCGAACGCTCTCGGCGCATCCTCGTACTCAAAGATGGAGTCAATAACCGCCCTGATCTTCCCTTCCTTCATCAACCTCCCAATCTCCGCAAGATCATCATGGCTGTTCTTCGCGACGAAAAAGTGATACGGCCGTTTCCCTCCTCCCAAGAAGCTCGGCAGTAGCATATTTGAGGCAACAGTCGCAGTGCCACTGAAACTCATAGGTCCCCCAACCTGTTCAAATATGCCTTCAGGCTTGAGGAAGTTGGCTGAGTCTTTGTAGAGGTTCAAAGGTGTGCCGGCGTTGTCGACCACGAGATCGAAGATCTGGCCGCGGGCTACCAACTCTTGGTATACGTCGGTTGTCTTGTAGTCGATCACATCATCCGCGCCCAACTCCTGACATAGGGACACGTTGGGCGCCGAGCAGGTTGTCGTGACGTGACAACCCGCATTTTTGGCGATTTGAATGCCGAACGTTCCGACGCCTCCGGAACCGCCGTTGATGAACACCTTGCTGCCTGCCTTGACATAAGGTACGATGGATTGGTACGCAGTCAGGCCCGCGGTCCCAATTGCGGCCGCATGGTCCGGGTCAACGCCATCAGGTAGGCTTGCACAATCCTCGTGAGTGACGACGACATATTGGCCCAGGGTACCAAACTTAGTCGGCTTTTCGAGCTTGCCGAAGATAATCTCCCCAATCCTGACACTATCGACGACTGTACCGGTGGCAACGACACGGCCACAGTAGTCCAGTCCGGGGGACGCAGGAGTGGAGATTAGGGCCTTTGCAACGAAGCCGAGCTCAGGCAACTTGGCGTCCGCTGGGTTGACCGACATACTAATTACCTCAACTAGTATCTCGTTCTTGAAGAGCGGCTGCCGTGGCTGGGGGGCATTGAGATTCAGCTGGAGGTTCTTCTCTAATCCGCCGGTGGCACTGGAGTACAGCCACGCTTTCATCGTTGCGGGTTGGTGAGAAGCCATGATTCGCTAGCTGATGTACAGTGCTTCTTTGCAGAACTCAATGGCAATGGTACAACTCGTGGTTGAGCGATGTGTACGTTTGTGTCTTATGGAGAAGTGGAGCATCATCGTTTGACCTACCCCGGACGAGGGTAATTTAGTCCCTTGGTCCGTGCTGTGGCCCGCAAGTGGTTTGTGTTGAAGGGCCCCTCCTGAAATCCTATGGCTGCTACTTGCTCGATACCAGATTCACGGCTGAGCTGGACTTGTAATCATATCAGAGGTTTACAACGATACCGGTCTTAGGTGATAGAGACCAAGGTTTGCTTGGCATCATCAGGCTTGAATACATCGAACATCTGAGGTGCCTTAGGTCTACAAAATTGCGTTTGGGTCATCCGGCTTGAAGTCCGCGAGCGTCTTTCGATGCGGAGATGTGTTGTCTAGAACGAAACTTTCATCCTCTTGCAATCCACCTACTCACCCATTGCATATGTGAGCAAGGTCTTAAGAGTAAATTCAGTATACGTAAACTTATTTGTCGAATGTAACTCACGATCACCACAAGCAGCACACGTGTTAGCACAACTAGACACACCTGCGAAGTAAATGCGAACTGTTAATTGTAGAACATAATATATTAGTGAGTCTGCTAAGGGCATGGCAGCTATATACATGCCCTCAAACAAAACGGTAAGGAATCATATCCTTCCTTCCTCAGCAATCTTCTCCTGGCTAACCTGTCCCTCATGATTCAGCGTAGCAACAATCTTGCCGCTCATCAATTCGTCCGTGTTGGGTGCAAAGAATGTCAAAATAAGCGCAATGCCTGTGAAAGCAATCGTGCTCAGGTACACCGTGCTGTACGCATCCGCATTCGCCTCCTGGTACGCCCTAGTGCCGATAGCAATTATCTCCGCCGTAACACCAGGGACCGCCGCAAATGCCTCCGCAGTTCCTACTGTAAACGCGGAAAGGAAGTCCACTACACTCGTCGCTGGAAGTCCGGCACTGACGATTGCAGGTGGGACTTGCGTGGAAACGGTTTCTGTGAGACGATTTGTGAGGATCGAAACGTAGACGGTGGTCAGGATGGCGCAGATGCCTGAGCGCACGGAACCCGCGACACCGCCTGCGACTCCGATTTCGCGCTGATCGTGGACCAGTATGGTGGCATTGGCGAGGCAGATGGTCTCATTCCAGCCGATGAAGAAGCAGCCGATGTAGATGAGTGCAATCTGAACATTTTTATTATCGGGCGTACACGTTGCAGCGCCTACGGGGCAAGAAGGTTAGCGAATTGATCTAAGGGCCACCGGAGAGAAGAGAGACGAGTCAGAACTTACAAGCCAGGAACAGACCGCCAATGGCAAAGACCACCATGCATTGATACCTCGTCTTCCCGATCTTCTTCGCGAGCACTCCGCAAAGGACCTGGCCGCTAATGATGCCCATGCCGACAATGACAGAGACCGCTCCGACATACATCAGGTTTCCGCCACCATAAAGCACAGCGACTTGCAGTGGCCAGATGATGGCGAAGGCGTAGTAGACACCTGCACCAAGTCCGAGCAAGACAACAGCCGCGGTCCAGCGCATGCTTTTGAAAAGATGCATTGGAATCAACGGCTCCTTGGGCACATAGATCTCGTAGAGAACGAAGATTACCAGGACGATGATCCCAACGACGATCGGAGCAATGGTCGATGCAGATTTCCATGGATATATGGAACCGCCAAAGCTGAGCCCGAGAAGGAAGGAGACGAAACCGCCAGCGAACAGGAGAGTCCCGAGGTAGTCGAAGTTCTTTACCCAGTACATTTTGCTGTCGATGTCGCGTTTGTGCTTCTCATGGAAGGTTGGTGGGTAGTAAAACAGAACCCAGCAAAGAAGAGCGAGACTGTTGACGGCAAGTAGAAGCCAGTATGGTCCGCGCCAACCGACGCGGGGGTAGTACGTAACGAACGCCGTTGCAATGACGGGACCCATACCGGAGCCGGGTATACAGAAGATGTACAAGAAAGCGTTACCCATGTATCTGTACTTCATGGGAACGAGCTCGCCCATGACGAAATGGAAGGAGAGTTGGGTTGCTGTCGCGATACCGAGCAGTACCTGAAAATATGTTAGTCTCCCACGTTGCAGCAGCGCTAACCTGGACGACCTACATTCCCACCAATGAGCATCGGAATACTCGTAGCGGTAGCACAAACAATAGAGCCCGCCACAGATATCACACCACCGCCTATGAAGAACCATCGACGTCCGAAAATATCACTCAAGCGGCCGACAGGTGCCAGACAGACGGCCAAGCAAGCATTGTAGACCAGCGAGACCCAGGTGAACCGAGGATCCGGACCAAGATCGTTATTGATCTGTGTGAGGATGGCTGCAGCGTAGCCAAAGGCGCCTACGCCGCACATCAACCCGAGACCTGTGGCCAGCATGGACCCGAGGAAGAATCGGCTGGTGAAATAGCCTTTGGGTAGAGTGGCCTCATCGGCCTCAAACCCAATGATCTCATCGTTGTTGGCACTAATATCGGACGCGAGGGTGTCCGTCTTCTCCATCTCTTGGTGTTCGACAACGGGCTTGATGTCCATAACCGTCGCCGTGGATGGAAAGTGAAGCCTTGGAGAGCAGGCTTGGGGAAGAGGAGGGGAGATGGAAAGAGAAGGCGAACTGATTGAGACGGAGGTACGGATAGACAGAACTCAGATAGAAAGTGAAAGCGGCAAGGATGCTTTATCTCGTCGACGTGGATACTCTGGATTGTGGGGGAAGATAGTATCCGACAGAGTGGATGTCAGGCAACCCCTGGAAGCTGTGCCTTGACTCGGATCCCCCTGACCTTGCACGCATTGCAGAAAGCAAGCCATCGCTGCATCCATTCAGACCTGTCAGATCTAGCCCTAAGGAAGCTCGAAAGGGAACAATCGCATGGACCGGAACATCTCAAGAGTCTGGATGCACTGCAGCTGGCCTCTCGCGTGTGCTCGGATGGAGACCGATGCCCTGCACGAGCGCCACGTGGAGGTGAATCCGGGGAAGATCACGCCCCAAAAGCCTGAAGCGGGCTAGATGGCACGCGGATGGCTTCAGCTGTCATGGAGTAAGCGAGTTTGCATGAGGACAAATTTGGGGTGAGCTCGGCTTGCTGCCGGACGCTCTCAGCACGGGTGACGTTCTCCGTCCGCTGTCAATTTCGTGTCAACCACGTGCGCTTCAAGAGGATGGACTGAGCTTCGAGTTTAGCATTCAGAATGGACGGTTACCCCGAAGGGTGACGTTACAATCCCAATGTTTAGGACCGTGAGTTCGTAGGGAGGTGTTGAGGTGGCAGAGTTATTGGATGGTTGGATCACGTGATGAATCCGTACGTGCTCTCAAACTGACAGCAGTATAACAAAGCAGTGGATTGGCTTTGGAACGTGATCGACCATGATGGTAGATATATGCTAGGCTCTCATAACAAGAACCCTCGCCTATAGAACTCTTAAACGCCGAAAACCTGTGGTTCTACACCCACAACTCGGACCTCAGATTCTGCCTCTCCTCAGAAACTTTGTTGGGATGTCCACATGCTTCGCCCTCAAATACTCGCAGACGTTCTTTCCCAGGGTATCGTACGTTGAACAAGCATTGAAGCCTCTGTCCAGATGATCGACCAGCAGGAAGTGCACCGCTCTAATGCCAGGAATCTCAAACCTCTCCACCACACCACCGTGGTATTCCAAATCAAGCATTTGCTTGATCTTCTCAATAGTGAGTAGCGACCGCAGCCAGTCCCACTCGTCGTCGTGCCGCACGAAGAATCCGGTGTTTGCATCTGATGCCTTGTCACCGGATCGGCCCATAGCGATCCAGCCAAGCGGACCGCGGACCGTAGGACCAAAAGAGTCCAGATCAACGGGTTCTTTGGTATCGTAGCTCCACTGCCTTGTTGGGTAGTCGATCGTGTTAGGCGCAACTGGGATGTCTACAGCCTTGTCTTGCCACGGCAGGTATGCTTTGTGTTCAACGTCCTTCTGCGGCAGTAGCGCAACCCAGTACTCGTAGTACTCCTTGCCTTGGCTTTGCCGCTGGTCGTTGCCTAGCGATGCGCCCGGGCATGATTGCAGGAAATTCTCCATGCACATACGGTTGAAGCCCGGTACATCCAGAGTACCCTTCGAAACAAGATTCGGGTCCTTGGTCTGAATGAATATCCTGAAATCGACTGTTGCGATGTCCTGATTCCGCGGGTTCTCTGGGCAGTAGCCGTTGAGCATGAACTTGAGGCAGTGAATCTTCTTCATGTTCTCCTCGCCGATAGAATAGCGAATCTGCCTCTCGGTCCATTCGCACTTGTCTTCGAGGTCCAGGCCGCAGATGTAGTAGTGGAACTCAGCTTGGTAGCCGCCGAAGGCTGTGATACCGACCTTGGTGAACACTGGCGGTGCTTGCCCTTTTACACCGGACACAAGAACACGGTCCTTGCCTACTTGCTCCATCTTCACGCCCTCAAGAAGCGCAACAACATCCGAGCCGAAGTAGCGAGGTCCTTGAATTTCGTACAGTAGCTGACTTGTGCATGTCCCGACGGACATCTCACCACCGGTACCAGGCTCCTTGGTCATCAGCACACTTCCGTCGGCGTTAACTTCGCCGATGGGAAAGCCGATGTTCTCACAGTTGTCCATCAGATCCTTGAAGCCAGAGTAGTAGCCGCCGCAGACGTAGGCCGAGCATTCGAGAAGATGGCCTGCAATGAGTGCGCCAGCGATGGAGTCGAGATCCTTTTCACGGTCCCAGCCGTGCCACCACATTGCTGCGCCGATCACGGGAGCGGCATCAGCTACTCGACCGCATATGACAATATCGGCACCATTGCGTAAGCATTCTGCAACGCCAGCACCGCCAAGATAGCATCTGTAGCATGTGAGTCAGTTTGTGTTCGAGGAAGAGACGGTTTCTAAAAGTGCGGGAGTGGTTAAAGATAGGAACTTACTGCGCGCAGATGGGATCAAATCCCCACTGATCAAACGTGCCGCCAGTGCAGATGTTTTCGAACTTCTCCCCCTGCTTCAGCAGTCTGTTCACCACGTCCGTGACCTCATCGCCTCCAACCCATCCCACCTTCAAATCCAGTCCTTCGTCCTTGATCGTCTTCTCGACCAGCTTGGCCAGCTTCTCAGTATCGCTTGCTCCCGCATTTACGGCGATCTTGATCCCCTTCTCCTGGATTGTCGCCAACGCTGGACGCAGATTCTCCATGAAAGTTGGATCGTATAGGCCCGCAGCGTCCATGACATTGTTCTTCTGATTGGAGACCTTCTCCGCTCCGTGGAGGGTCATGGTACATTCGGACATCCAGTCACCGATAATGCAGTCGACATCGCAAGCTGCGAGGGAAGCAAAGGCGCGTTGGCGGTCGCTGAAGCCGCCGCTGGCGCCGGCAATACGTATGGCGCGTTTCGAGTCGCCGTTCGTGTGACCATTGGCGGCATCATGAGTGCCGTTGGGCGTACCGTTAAGGATGGGTGCCATGGTGGTGGCGGCGCTCGTCTTATGATTGCTGCTGTGAATTGGAGAGCAGAAAAGAACAGGAAGAGAGAGTTGAGTGGACGAGGGAGATGTAATGTTATGGTCCAGTGCAATCGTCAAGAACAAGGCCTTACATATAGCCTCATATGCTAGTCCTTACCTCTTTTGCTCGGGGGCCGATCTAGCCGCGAGCTGCACATCGATGCAGGGTGGATGTACAAATCCGCCGGCTGGCTCGGCCATTGCGTCCGTTCCAGTGCATCTGGCATCGGCCGCACCGCACGCTATCGTCGCTGATGGACGGCGGGGTAGCGGCTGTAGCAGAGCACACCAACATGATTCAGGGTTGGGCGATGTGGAGCAGTTGTCAGTCGTGTCAGTGTCAAGAGAATCTGGAGGTTGATCCGGGTCGGTTTGGAAACCGACGTTCCCCGGTCCCCGCATCCGACGCTCGGGTCATGCCGCAGGGCTGATCTTAGACAAGTCTCGTGATCTGATGTGACTTCTGAACTGTGTGGAATCTGAACAGGATGTTGAACAGGATGTTGAACCGCACTCATCGCACCAATGCCTGGTACGGCACCAAGTGTCAGTGATATGACAGTGTCCTTCATTTTCGAATCCTGTTATACATTCACATTGGTGATACATAGTCATCAACAGATATCTGCGCTCGCCTCATCTGTAGCCGAGTCCTCGCAAGACCTCGTCGAACCAGCGACAAATGCTCCCAGCTTCGTAATGCACTGAACCCCATCCGAATAAAGGCGTCGTTCTGGGTTTGCGGAATGAAAGACAACGCTTCATTCTGATAAGTAATGAGAAGCATACACATGGTTGCGTACGTGCTGAGGTTCCCAGCCCGGTCAGCATCCGAACAAACTCTCCGGCCAGGTTTCGTGGGTGTCACTTACGCCCATATACTGAATTGCAGTCCCAAGTGCCGATTCATCAAGAGTTCTTGGGCTATTTCGCTGCACAGAACGCAGTACTCGATGCAGTCCTGTGTCTCTCTTTTAGCGTGACCCAGTTGCTCGCTCACTTGATCCTGCTCGATCGATTCATTCATGCTGTGCTCAAGCCACTGTAGCGCTGATGGCCATAGGATGACCGCGTTTAGTGCGCTGAACTGCACTCGAAGGAAAGATTTGCGGAGGTCGAAAAGAGGGGCGCCGTCAAGGGGGAAGCGGATAGGCGGCGGCAGATGTTCGTACCACTCGACGGCTTGCTTGCGGAGCTCTGTCGCCACTACGGGTGCGTATATTACCTGGCCGACTAAGGACATTTAGTAACGGGCTGGTCCGCCTTCTAGTCAGAGATGGGTGCGCAATGCATACCTCGGTAGCCAACGACATCGAGTGTTTCTGTAAGCAGTTTCCTGAGCGATGCCTGAGCTAGGAAGTAGAAGAAGGCTTCTTCTTCAGTCTCCGTAAGAGGTAGGGGGACCACTTCGTGGAATTGACGCAGGCCGATTGGATGGGTCTTCAAGATAGACTCTAGCTCGCTAGACACGCGTCAGCCTTGACATTCTCCAGTCGTGGTGGCCCTATGAGCAGAGTAATGAATTTGTGGATGAAGGCAGCCTTGGGCTCCTCTCGGTTTGCTGGGCCCAACCATGCGCGGGCCATGAATCATTCCCCGAGATCTTGGTGCACGGTCGCCAGGCTTGGCGCGATGTCCAGCATGTTTATTACGCTGCGGGCTGGCTGGGGTCGTGCCTGCAGAGACAAGACCCACGCCAGTCGCCTTCCACGTAGCTGGTCCGAGCTACGAAAGGAGGAGCATCTTCACCTTCTCAACTTCATATACGTCCATCCGTATTGAGAAGCCGGATGATAAGAGGTTGTGGCTTGAGGAGGGTTTCGAAGCCTTGAGACTGATGAAGAACGAGAAGACTTACTGTACCAGAATCGAACAAATCCAGAAGATGCGATGAAAGCTTTCTTTTGCTGGTCTCTCCATCCGCTTGAAATAACCCGAACTGAGGATATGCATGCAATCGCGCGCGATCTCAGTTGTAGCATCCCACGCAAGAACAGGCCGTACTGCTAGGTGGAAATAGGAGCTACTGCACTGTCAACATCCTTACCATGGGTTTCAAGCACCATTGCGCTTACGCATAGAGGAGTCGGCATTGAAGGACTGTGATATCTCTTCTCGTACGAGGAGCCAGACGATGTAGAATTCGACTTCCGTGCCTGAAGTAATTTAAGCCTGATAGGAACTCCGCTATAGACAGCTCATGGAACGAAGTCCCCTTGTCCTCAGAAATGCAACCGATAGCAAATGCGAACATCGTGAGGCAGTTTGACGGGTTGGTCTCCAAGAAATGGCCGGCTTGAGCAATCTGTACATGCTGGACCAGTGCATCCGGCTCGATCAGAGGATACCACTGCAAGTAATTCTTAACAAAAGATTGCTGCAGCCTCCAGGTTATCCTTGAGCTGAGTTCAGGATCCGGGGTGGTATTGGCGTCCATGGCAGCATACAACTGCTCTTCTGCGGTCATTTCGTCATCATAGAAATTTTGCGTATCATCCCAGCTGTCAAACTGAATATAATATGGGCTTGTGAAACTGATAAAGGACGGCCGTGCAGTAACAGCCTCGCCAGCGGTCTGTCGAAAAGAGAAGTCATAGTGCGGTACAGACAAGGTGTGCTGATAGTAGCTTCGCCAACCGTCTGCATACGCTCGAGGCCTTAGTGTTAGTGGCCCGCTGGATGCCTGGTTTCAGATATCGTCAGTGCGACCCAAACATATGAATCCATTCACCACCAGGTACAGATCGTATCATGAAAAGATCACGACACCTTGAGAGCCTGGAGCATACTGGATCGGAGCAAAGATGAGGGATAAGACTTACTTCTCCAGCTCTACTCTGGTAGTCCACGGAGTGTCTTGGGATAGATGAAATGGATCCGGGAGTACCGATGGTCTCTGACCTTGCGGACCCAGGATGAATGCTATCTTCCAATCGCGCCAGTCGCTCTTCGATTCGCACGAGTATATCAGATGCTGCTGTAGCTCTGAATAGGTACCAGAGTGGCGGATCAGTGAGTGCTGTTATTATATGGTAATACCGCATCACCGGCGACACGTACCTCTCAGGCGGATTCTGCTGCCGATACACACACTCGATACCGGACTCAGTACAGAATCCGCATGGCCTCTTCGCATCGCATCGCGTCTTCCTCAGCCGGCAAACCTCGCACTGTCCGCTTTTCAGCCTCCCGGTCCGGTCGCGCTTCTTGCAAGAGACATACTGCAACAGCGACTCGCTTTCTTGGATAGTTGCGCGCCGGGTTCAACGCCGCATCGAGCTCGTCAAGCTCGTCCACAGAGTCCTTGCGCTTCGAGCGCCCGTCGGGCATCCTTGCGGTTGCCTGCCCCTACATGGACCTTCCGGAGTGTGTTCTGGACCATTCAAAAAGAGGTCATCAGTCATACTTCGTGGGCGTGAAGTGAATGCAAAGACCCATACCCGCGACGTTGTAGCTCTCCCCATAGTCCCACGAGCCTGAATCTGGGGTAGAGTAGAGTAGCATGGGGTATCTGTGCACGCTCCAACTGAACCCTTGATCCTTGGCTGGCGGGGAACCCTCGTAAGGTTGTTGTCTCCCGGTCCTCCCTCACAGTTGACTTGAACTACCTCCGTGCTCACCATCTAACCGATCGCACCACATCAATTCCTACCCAAAGCTATACTTGGCCGCCATACCAATCACCCGAACAATAGCAATGCAGCTCCATCTCACTTTCGGCACGCAGGCGGTCGGATTACGCGGCTTAGGCTAAAGATATCCGCATGGTCCCCGCAGCAGTACGGCCTCATGCGCCCCAAGTCACTCAGACACAGGGAACTGGCGTACAACCCGTCCCTCCAGCGCAATGGCCAAGGCAATGGTCCCCCACCGCATATCTAGGCCCCTATATCTGGGCACATGGTTCCGCCGACAGCCCACGTAGAACAAATCTCTGCCCCTCATAAGGTATAACTATCCGGTAGCAGTTAGGTTGAATACCGCCGCAACACCCGTACCCGAACCGAAATTCAACATGTCCTCCTCCTTCGAAGGCCGCGTAATCGCCATCACCGGCGCCGCCTCCGGCATGGGCCTCGCGCTCTCCAAACTGCTCTCCAGCCGCGGCGCCTCCCTCTCCCTCGCCGACGTTCAGGAATCCGCCCTCTCCTCCGCCCTCGAAGCCGTAAAAGCCGAATCCTCAAACTCTTCCGCCAAGTTCCTAACCTGCAAGACCGACGTGCGGGACCGCAGCCAGGTCGACGCCTGGATAAAGCAGACAGTCGACGAGCTGGGCGGGCTGCACGGCGCAGCGAACTTAGCGGGGGTGATAGGCCGAAACCACGATTCAAAGGGTGTCGAAGACCAGGATTCGGGGGAGTGGGATTTTGTATTGGGGGTGAACCTCACCGGCGTGATGCACTGCCTCTCGGCCCAGGTGCGGCACTTTTCGAAGGAGGGCGGGAGCATCGTCAATGCGGCGAGTATCGCTGGACTGATGGGGCGGCCGAACACCAGCGCATATGTGGCGAGTAAGCATGGCGTTATTGGACTGACGAGGAGTGTGGCCAAGGAGACCGGGGTGCGGCGGATTAGGGTCAACTGTATTGCGCCGTAAGAAGCCACTCACTGATCTTGACCGCAATACCTCCTTCTGACACTGGCGCAGTGGGTACATACTTACGCCGATGGTCGAGAAAGCGTCTAAGATCAGCGACCAACCTGTAGACACAAATCCGGAGATCAAGGCGACTGCACTGCAGCGGGCGGGTAAGGCGGAGGAGGTTGCCAGGCTCATCGCGTTTCTGCTGAGTGAGGAGTCGTCTTACATCACAGGGGCGGTGCATACCATTGATGGCGGCTGGGTCTGCTAGATACATCATATACTACTCAGTAAATTAGAGAGCCTTGTGGTGTCTCTAGTATTGTTTCGCAGGAGCAACTCTTCATCGTATAGAGATGTTGTGTAAGTCTTTGCTGAGGGTTTTCCTTTCATTACTATTGAATGCATATCGACAAACGCCATCAAAACAGACAGCGCCCAAACGCCAAGCCATAACGCTTACATATTGTGATTCAATGTGTTGAACAGACGAGATCGAGAAGTTGTGAAGCATGCCATATGCCGGGTCAGAATCAGGCAACCGAAGGAAAGCAAGAAGCAGATGCTCAGCAGCACATTAGCTGAGCATCGAATCAGTAGAGCATCATTCACCCCTGGCGCCTGCGAGCCCATGTGGCTGCCGGGCCATGTTAACGCGGCCCACGGCATCGACAGGCGGGTATCGAGCCCTGAGTTCGAGGTCGTCCAGAGGTATGGTCGACCTGATGTACCTGCAGTTTTGTTAGCGGAAATCTGTAGAAAGGTTGGCTGAGGTGCATACTTTTGTGATGCATCTGCCGGTGGCTCATAATCCCACGACTCAAAGCGTCCTTGTGTCAGCGCGGACCAGCACAGCCTCCGGCGCCGCTGCGCCACCAAAACGTCCTCGTGGATGCGCTTGAGATCCCACTTCTGCCGTGCCTCCTCCGCAAAGCGCGCGGCCACTTCGAAGTACTGAGCGTCTTCAGAAGATGCGAGATTGTATAGTTCCAGCGGATCGGCTTCGAGATCGAACAGCTGCGGTGGATCGACGAGAGATGTTGTGTACTTGTAGCGTCCGCGGCGTATCATGACAACGGGTGAGACGGTGCCTTCGCCCATGTACTCACCAAAGACCTCATCCCGAATTGCGCGGCCGACAAGGGAGGGATATAGGGAGTGGCCGTCCATTGGGAGTAGCTCGTTAAGCCGGCCACCAGCGAGGCTGACAAGCGTGGCGGGCAAATCAAGAGTGGACACGCTCTCCCTGACCCTGCGCGGTACGAAGAGCGGCGGATAGTGAATGATCAGTGGCACTCGAGCGCTCATTTCATACCAAGACCTGGAAGTATGGTCAGTAAATCTGACGGAGTGAGGAGGGACGGTCGCGGTCACGTGAGAGAGCCTACATCTTGTACCAGAGACTGCGCTCGCCAAGCATGTCACCGTGATCCCCACTGAACACAATGATTGTGTTCTTGTCAAGTTTGCACTCTTTCAAGATCTTCATTAGCTTGCCAACCTGGTTGTCCACATAGGTGCAAGCTCCGAAATACGCCCTCCGAGCTCGGCGGATTGCTTCTTCCGGTATCGAATTATCCCAAAGGTCGATGCATTTGAGCAGTCTCTTGGAATGAGAGTCTTGCTGGCTTTGCTTGATGTTTACTTTCGGCATAGGGATCTCGACGTCTTCGTACTGTTTCCAGAGATCCTCTGAGATGGCATACGGATCATGCGGATGTGTCAAAGAAACTGTCAGACAGAACGGTCTCTTCGATGGTCCCTTTCGGACGTAGTCGTACAAATACTGCGAGCTCTAAAATGCCTTTAGCTGACATCCTTAAGGGGAAACGACTACCTACGGCAGGTCTGCTCGACCCGCAGTCACTACGGAGTCGAGCACTGGTTAAGTTCAGTATCGAACGAGTGCCTCGGCTCCGTGACCGTGGCTTTTGGTGTTTTTGGTGCTCACCTTGTACATGACTTCCTCGTCAAAATCCAGCTGGTTTGTTCTGACACAGGAACCGGCCTGTAATACGGAGGCCATGTTGTGGAACCATTCTTGGCGCTCGTCCGGCTTGTCCCAGTTGACGGACCACCCGAAATCTCCAGGGTAGATGTCCGGGGTCAGTCGGTTCTCGAAGCCGTGCAGCTGATCAGGCCCGATAAAGTGCATTTTCCCGGCCAAAGTAGTCTCGTAACCTTCTTTGCGCAGGTAATGTGCGTAGGTCGGGATATCTGAGCCCAGCACGGAAGCATTGTCGTACGCTCCGATCTTCGACGGTAGCTGACCGGTCACCATACAGAACCTCGAAGGCGCGCACAAGGGTGCATTGCAGTAGGCTTTGTCGAAGACGACGCCCTCGGCGGCGAGGGAGTCAATGTTCGGCGTCTGGACAACAGATTGCGGGTCATGCATCTTCAGTACTGGGGCAGCCATCTGATCGGCCATGATATATAGAATGTTGGGTTTGACCGCCCCAGCATGCTGAGGGGGCAGATAGTTCGATGAAAATCCACTTTGACGCTCGTTGGGCAGCTCGGCGTGGGGTGCCATGTTAGTGGAAAAGCAGGAATGGCTTGAAGACAATAGACTTGATGCAGAAGAAGGCTTTTAGAACGGAAGAGATACGAGATGTGTCCGCTGAGGTTGGAGCCGGAATGCAGCGGATGTGGTCACGCGACAGATGGAAAGGACCCTCGGACGAGCGCCACTTCGATGCTGCCTGAAGCGTTCGATTGAGGTGAAGCACACGCGCCGGGTTCGCAGGATAGAGAGACAGATAGTGACACGAGGTGTGACAGTGTGGAGAAGAAGAGTGGTGGTGATGGGTGATGGGTGATGTCAAGAGATAACCACGGTTCTCACATTTATTATATATGCCCGGCACGTGTGGGCGGGCGGTGAGGCTTGATTGCGACAATGGACAACGGCAGCTTACGAGTACACGGCTCTCTTGGCGGTCCTTGCCCTTGATAATAGGCGACGGATTGTGAGCACGTCAAAGCAGCTTGAGATGGTGACAGAGGTCAAGCTGGCAACCTGGAAAGCCATTTGATTGTAGGGGCAGATGTTCAGTGCAAGCACGTTTTCGCTTAGCCAGTTTTCGTCATCGGGTGAGTGTCGTGCTCAGGCTGCTGGAAGACGCAAGCGCCCGACAGGCACGTTATATTGAAGCCGTGAGACTGCATCGGAAGATTTGCAAGAAGAGACGAGACACAAGCCAAGTTGGAACGGCAGGAACCATCTGCAGTGTAACTAACCGCCCACATACCGAGATAGCGATCATCACGTGCGGAGCTGCCGCATCTAGTATCGCTATCCGGGTCATTGCGGCAGAGACGAGTTTGGGACGGAGTTCTGCAAGACAGTGCTCCTTTACTGGCAGACAACATGTCGGGTCTCAGACTGCGCTGAGGGCCAAGGGACATGGTGGTGAAGATGAAACCAAGAAAGGCCAGCGGCGTCACTGCAGTCGTCGGCGGGGGCGGGCCGAGCTGGCGCGGAGAGGTTCCCGTGATACCGATTCCCGAGAGCCGACAACCCTGAAAGCACTTGGCAGCGCCTCTTCCCCCGCCCCAGCTGAAGGAAGCCAATCGATGCACCAGTCGAGCGCCAAAGCCGCTGTGCGGAGATTCGATGCTGATGCTGATGCTGATTCCCATCCTGCTTTCCAGCGAATTTCGACCCTCCAGGCCTGCCTGCCTGCCTGTCCCTTGGTCCAGCGTCAATACGAGACGGGCCCCTGAAACAGTCCTGCGACACGTCTCCGGCCTTGGAATCATTGATGTTCGCCGTCGTTGTTCGGTACAACCCCTGCCGTCCCGCTGATTGACATTGCAGTAGCACGCCGGCCAAGTGTTTCATCACCGATCGACCGCCATCAACAGACAGCTGCTCCTTCCCGTTCGCCGTCTGCCACTGCCGTCACACATCACCACTTCTTGGGCCGCCATGCGAGAAGATTGTGATTGATGCCACAAAACTCACCGATGCCCTGGTAGAGTACAACACACTACGCGACACTGCGCTTCCGTCATCCCCGTTGTCACCACCATCCCTATCCCCATCCTTACGCCCACAACCCGTCCTCGCCACTTCGCACCGCACAACAGCCAGGGCGACAGCGACATTCCCGAACACACAGCGAATCGCCGAGATGGAGAGGCACGTTACCGGCACCAACTCCCCGGTCCTGGTAGACGATCGCGGTTCTCCTATCTTCCCGTCCGCTATACCTCCGACGACTGACTTCCCTTACCCTCGCGCAACTCCGTCCTTTGCATCCTCTATCAAACACTCGGACACTGGCATCAATGGATCCTCTGCTGTGCCCACAGACGCTAGGGATGCATCCCCTAACGCAACACCCGGGACAACTAGCCAGACAATGATCGGGTCTCCGCAACTAGACGAGAACTCCCCGACTAGCTCCAGCTCCACTACAGTCACTGCATCTCCGCCGCCACAGCAAGCCGCTCTCGAGCAGGTCCAACCACCGCCCCCCAAGCAGCCCTCGGAGCGCAAGGAACGTCCAGGTCATTTCTCACCAAAGAAAAGTGCCTTTGGGTTAGGTCGAGGCAAGAAGGGAAACAATGCACAGCGTCCTGGAGTGAACAGGGAAGTTACATACAACTTCGATCCGTACTCTGACTCGGATACCTCAAGCTCGAGCCCGAGCTCGAGCTCCGATTCCGAAGATGAGGAATGGCAAGCGAAACAACTCGAAGGGAGGGCAAAAACGGTTCGCGGCAAGGGTGGATGGCTGCAGAGTCCAGGAGTGCCGTCCGAGGCGGAACGCAAAGCACGCAGCAACCGGCAGCAAGGCAGGAAGGACAGCTCGAAGCCATACTCCAGATTCTCTATCAAGAATGACATGTTCAAGACCAAGGGCCACGTTAGCAAAAAGGATGGCAGGCTAAAGATCTCCGTCAACGAGACCGCGAACTCAGGGTACCTAGCTAAGGCGCTTGGAGCGGGTATCAAACACCATCTCGGTCTCGGAAAGGAGGAAGATATCGACGAAGAGGAGAATCCGGCAACTCCATTGGAGGAGCGAGGTGACCGGCCAAACCTTGAACCGTTAGCCTCAACGGATGTTTTCGAGAGAGGGCAGACCACGATACCAAAGCTGAACATAGTGGTAATAGTCATCGGTTCCAGAGGAGACATCCAGCCTTTCCTGAAGATTAGTAAGATATTGAAAGAGGAGTACGGCCATCGCGTGCGCATCGCTACGCATCCTGCCTTCAAGGAGTTCGTCGAGCAAGATTCTGGACTGGAGTTTTTCAGCATAGGAGGAGATCCGTCAGAGCTGATGGCGTTCATGGTAAAGAACCCAGGCTTGATACCAAGCATGGACACAATACGGCAGGGTGAGATTGGAAGGAGGAGAGCCGCAATGTCTGAGATGTTTGAGGGGATGTGGAGAGCTTGTATCAACGCTACCGATGACGAGCATGATGTAGAGAACATAAGGATGAGTGAGTTATGCACCGTCACGTGTCTCCCGCTCCTGACCCCTTTAGGAGTTATATCTTGCTAAAACTTGTCAGTGGGCGATAAGCACCCCTTCGTCGCTGATGCAATAATTGCAAATCCAGTCTCCTTTGCCCACGTCCACATCGCCGAACGCCTGGGTATCCCCCTGCACATGATGTTCACTTTTCCCTTCACACCTACATCCATGTTTCCTCATCCGCTCGCCAACATCAAGAGATCAAATGTAGACGTGAGCTACACGAACTTTATGTCCTACCCGCTCGTCGAGATGATGACCTGGCAGGGCCTGGGCGACTTAGTCAACAGGTTCCGCGTCAAGACGCTAGGACTTGAGCCAGTAAGCACTCTCTGGGCGCCGGGGCAGCTATACAGGCTCAAGGTACCGTACACGTATATGTGGAGTCCGGCGCTCGTACCCAAACCGCCCGACTGGGGTCCGGAGATCGACATCTGCGGCTTTGTCTTCCTGGAACTCGCATCCTCCTTCAAACCTCCTGAAGAGCTTACTAAATTTCTGGAAGCGGGCGAGAAGCCTATCTACATCGGCTTCGGCTCTATTGTCGTCGACGATCCGGACGCTTTTACTCACATGATATTCGAGGCGGTCAAGGAAGCCGGAGTACGTGCACTCGTGTCGAAAGGGTGGGGTGGCATTGGCGGCGAGAAGGGCGATCTACCGGACAACATCTACTTACTCGACAATACACCGCACGACTGGCTTTTCCCTCGTGTGAGGGCAGTCGTACATCACGGCGGCGCCGGCACTACAGCTATTGGTCTGAAGTGCGCCAAACCGACAATGATTGTTCCATTTTTCGGCGACCAGCCGTTCTGGGGTGCGATGGTAGCGGAGAAACATGCTGGCGCGAAGAAATGTGTACCGTACAAGAAGTTGAACAAAGACGTTCTCGTAGAGGGAATTAGGGACTGTTTGACGGATGAGGCTCAAGAGGGGGTGCAAAGGATCGCGGATTCCATCGCGAAAGAGGGGGATGGGGCGGCGAATGCGGTGAAGAGTTTCCATCGCAGTCTACCGCTGCGGGGAGAGAAGAGTATGAGATGTAGCGTTTTCGAGGACAGGGTGGCGGTTTGGTCGCTTAAGAAATCGAACCTGAGACTCAGTGCGCTGGCGGCGGAGCTGTTGGTTGAGAAGAAGAAGATCAAGTGGAGCAACCTCCGACTCATACGCCACTACGATTGGAACGATTTTGACGGACCTGGAGAACCTGTCACGGGAGGTGGAGGTGCGCTTATAGGCGCGGTGACGAGTGCAGCGAAAGGTATTGGGCTTACGCCGGTGAAGATGGCTCAGACGGTCAAGAAACGCAAGGAGCATGAAGAGAAGAAGCGTCGGCGCTCCGAGAAGCATGCCAGAGCCGTTCGTAGCAACTCCACCGGGTCCAATAAGGGAACCTCCTCGGACAAAGACGCTTCCAATCCTTCTGGCACCGACCGTCCCCCGGCCCAGCGGACTTTCACTCAGCTCACGCGGACCACCACCCAACTCTCCGCCGACCCTTCCGAACCTCTGGTGGAAGAACTCGCCCACGAGGCCGGCCACGGCTTTAAGAAAACGGGCGGCGCTATTGCCAAGGCGCCCATGGACCTCTCCCTCGCAGTCGCACAGGGCTTCCACAATGCGCCGCGGTTGTACGGCGACGACACTGTCAGACGTCCGATTCGCATCTCCGGCTTCCACTCCGGCCTGCGCGCCGGCCGCGACGAGTTCGTATACGGCATCTACGACGGCTGGACGGGACTAGTCACGCAGCCATACCACGCTGTCAAGAAAGGCGGCTTGCTACGCCTACCGGCTGGCATCGGTATGGGCATCGGCGGCTTTGTGCTGAAGGACATCGCTGCGTTAATCGGGCCGATCGGGTACTTCGCCAAGGGCATCCACATGGAGGTTCGGAAGAGGCATCAGCCCACCAACTTCATCCGCACCGCCCGCGTGATCCAGGGCAGGAACGACCGGCGCACCCTAGAGCAAAGCCCGGACGAGAAGCGCGAAGCCGAGGAGAAAGCCCTGAAGGGCTGGCAGACGACGCTCGAGCTCCAAGCAGCGGAAAAGAAGCACAAAGAGCACACTGGCCTCTTGACCGGTCGCCGTCACCTGCACAAGAAGCGTCAAGATTGGGCTAAGCACGGTGCCACAGAGAGCGTGGCTACGACTCGGCATGCGATGCGCGCCGACGAGAAGGGCGTCCCAATGGACCGGGCGTTTGCGAGGCACAAGAAGGAGGTGCAGGCTGCGCAGAAGCCTAGGGAGCCGGTTATGGAGGATAGGAGGAATATGGAGAACAATCCAGACATGATGGAGAATGGGAGGGTGTTGAGCGATGCGAGCGACAATGAGCGGAGAGGATAGCGAGTAATGTAAGATGACGATCACGGGGATTGCAACATAAGGTGGGTGATACTATTACTATGGCCCCATGATCTTCACGGATGGCAGAATTCTTGATCGTTTCATTATGTGGAATAGACAGGTCAGGCTTGCATACAGTCGGCACACAGGCATTTCTTTCGAGCGAGGCGTTTGGTGGACACGCGATACCTGTATATGGGGGTCAAAGGCTATGGGGCACGTCGTGCGCAATAATGGCCTCACCGCGAAACCCATGCTTCATCAACCCATTATCTACACTACCGCCTACATTAGGCTGTGAGAAGTACGGAAGAGCTATCTAATTAAACCTCTATACATCTTCTATCTTTATAAGAATTTTGTTATTCTATTAGAAGGGGGCGTGGCGATAGGAAAGCGAAGCACGGTCGGCTAAACATGAGTTTTATAGCGAGATCTCCGCGGTAAGGGTATTATTGCGCACGACGTGTGGGGCTCGGTGGTTCTAGAGCAGCGTCATGTGTTTCAGCACAGTACATGTTACCTTCTCTGTCTATAAAGGATCGTACCATCAGGATAGCAGTCGTTGTAACTACCTAATAATATATCCATCGAGGCTTCTTCTAGATAGCAACAATGTGACTACAAGAAATCGGGCGATCACAGCCAACGATCCTTTGTCGGCCCAATTAATTGTATCGTGCGTATGTTGCTACAGTAGATGGAGCTCCAATCCAGCCTTTTACTAGGTGGTGTTCTCTCGGTTAGCACCATATGGAGACAAGCAAAAGAAATGCCGATATCTGTTGATCCACTTGAAGATGTCGATCATAAGCATCGCGCAAGTGCCGAAACACTCGACAAACAAAATGCAAAAATATCGAAACACAACTTCCGTTGCGGGGAATCTAAGAATTCGATTAGCATACAATGCGTTGTTCCCCGTGTTCGAACTCAGAACTTACCGAACCCCGGCCTTGTCGGCACTTATGATGCTCCAATAAACACCTGCTGAGAGCGACAAATCCTAGCCACTAGACCACAACGGATTCATTTGTGAAATTATATGTGACACATTGCAATATATAGTCACAGTGATCCTAGCAGTAAGGGGATGAAAGACTGGTGGCTGGCTTCTGCTACGGTACAGCTGTACAACCACCGGCATGGATCATGCACTGTAAACCATTTATCCTGTCTGTATATCAAAACTCGTATCTGCATAATCAAACTAGTATATGTATGAATCGGTCTCCAGGGCATCGTCCTTATATGTTTGTTATCCAGCATATAAATCCATACATGGTAGCAAACCATGCGGCTTCACAGCAGTGAGAAGTATGGCAAGTTGTTTTTGACACCAAAAGGAACGTGCTGCTGATTCCCTGGGTCTGATTCTCTGGCGAAACATGTAAGGAGCGCATTGCTTAATTCTACCGCTTCTTGAAGATGGTTTGATGGCTAAATTGTAACAACCACGATATACAATAGCCCGTCGCACCATCCACCGCTCCTCCAAAGCGAGTGGATCTTCACATTGTTTACGATGACTGGAACGCTTGACAGCGACAGAGGGCGGTACGGATGGCAATCATGTACATCGTTGAGGACTGTAACCGACACGCAAAGAAAAAGCTCAAGTGGAGCAGAAAACATCAAACCCGACCGATCCGCGAGTTGAAATACGTGCAAGATCACACAACAGAATGGCCAGGAATATAAAATCCCAACCGCTTACTCCTCAACCGCCGCCACCCCCGCATCCACCTCCACCACCACCACCTCCTCCTCCTCCACCGCAGCCTCCCCCTCCGCTTCCGCCACAACCGCCCAACCCACCACATCCCCCAGAGGAGCCACCGCTCTCTCCACCAGTCCCTGCCATACAGTTCCCGTACACATCAGGCGACTTATTCACATAGTACGGATGAGTAGCGTATGAGCGCCCGTTGCCAGCCGCACAAGGGTCGACACCGTAAGGCACGTACGCGGGAGAGGTCATGGGATAGCCCCAAGCGTAGGTGTAGAAATACTCATTCCTCTCCAGCTCTTTGCGCCCCTCCTTGCGAGCTCTGGCGCATGCTTGATGGTACGCTTTGTCTAGCTTCGCAGCGTTGACGCGCGCCTTGGCTTCGGAGTCTTGGTCGCGGATGGCGTTGTGGGCGGAGATGTGCGGCGACTTCAGTAGGTCTGAGGATGCTGCGTCAGGCGCGTCGTGCAGGTTCTTGCTTGCTGCGTAGCTCTTGGATTTGAAGATGCGGGACAGGGATGAGGTATGGGACTCGCGGACTGCTTCGCAGTACCAGCATGTGCAGGCCGAGTAAGGCTCTCCATATTTTGCTTGATACATTTTGCTGGTCCACGCAAAAGCGTCGGAGAGATCGTTTTCTTCTACTTTGTCGTCGTGGTCAATAAGACTTCTTGCATGCTTCTCGGAGTATAGGTAGTAAGCTCGCGAGGCCAGCTGGTGGGTGTGCCAAGCCAGGTCAACATCTAACGTCGGTACGGCCATTCGACCAGGATTATCTGCCATGATGGCAAAGAAGCGGCCATACTTTTTGATGAGACGGTCCATGGTCGATTGGAGAGCTGGCGAATGCAGCCAGTCAATGTTGTGCATCTTCTCAACAAACGATCCCTGGCGAATGACGGCGCCGACCAGATCGAGAGCGAAAGAGGACGAATTGAACCAGTAGCGACTCATCATACGGCGCATAGCGAACTTTTCCTTTGCATTACGTTTCTGGGGGGCGCGCCGTCTACTTGGCATGAGACGTATGATTACATCAAGATCATGGAGCGACAAGTCTAGTCCGTCCCGGATCTTCTCCATACTTGGCGAGTTGTTTGGGTACAGACTTAACTCCCATGTCTTTTCGAGGTAACCAGATCGAGCTTCTGCCACGAGCCAGTTTGGGAAGAAGCATTGCAGAACGTCCTTCTCGGATCGACCCGGAGGCAGCAGGCCTTCGGTACTCGTGACGGTCCCCGGAAGCGGACAGTCTTGCTCAAACATCAACTCAACGTCGTGTCGAAATTTCTCAGCCCGTAGCACATTGTGATTGTAGTACGTTTTGCAATGTTGACACCGTGCGGCAAAGTCTCTGTCGGCGTAGCCGTAGCCAGCAGTGAACTCCGGTTCGCGCTGTTTATATCCAGCTGTCCATGGAACCGATACTGCACGAGAGCACTTTCCGCACGGGAAAGTTTTCGAATCCTTGTCGTCAAGATTGCGCCAAAACCGGCCGGTCTTCACTTCGAAGCTAGGCTCTGCTGCTGCTGAAGTCACGTACTGAAAGGTGACGTTGTCGATGCAGCCATCGATAGCCTTCCAGGGCAAGCCGGTAGCGTAGAGATCGAGCTTGCTATACCTCCAACAGTCTTCGAAGAAGCAACGAGGGTTCAGCAAGTACGAGTGCCACACCATCAGAACATCCAGAGGCGGCATTGTGTCGGTTGAAAAGGCGATTTCTTTGGCGTCCACTACAAGGCGTATGTGTTTCTGCGCGCCTGCCTCGAAACGCGTTGCCGTGAGTCGATCGTAAGGGAGACCATTAAATATGGGCGGCAAGCATTTCGTCCACCATCTCTCAAACCTATCAACAGCCCGCGCAACGAAGACGGCCCACCTCTTCTCCCTGATACGTGCTTGCACTGTACTATCCGCCTCTAGATATTCAGGCGGAGACGCAATACCGAACAGTCCGTCCTGGGTAGCTACCTCCTCTCGCAACTGCTGGAAAGCCTCTAGAAGCTTGAGATGTGCGATGCATTGATCAGCAGTGGGAAACGGTGTCTCCTCGTTGAGGCTGAGGTTCGCGAGTCTGGCACTCAAACCTGCTGGCCCAGAAGATATCCGTTCAGCAAAGGTTCCGGAATTTTGCTTGTTAATAGGTGACTACCCAAGCAGAGAGGTCAGTGAGATGTGGAAGGGACGCCAACAAGTAGGAACTCAATCAAGGCACACAGCTTCCTGACACTTGGAGAAACGAAAACAGACGATGAGTATCCGAGGTACAAGTTATAGATAAGGAAGCGCAGCACTCACATCCTCATCGGCGGTGCCATCGACCTGATCCGAACCCCTCTGCGGCCCTTCGTACGAATAGTCCAAGCACCCCGACGGTCTTCTCCAGCGGCGCCAGTCCTCAAGGCCAGCTTCGGTAGGTGATTTCTGCTCCACAGAGTATGGGGAAGAGGCAAGGGAGTTATCGCTAGAAGAACTCGAAGATCTATGACTGATGGCGCTATTGCTCGAAAGGGAATTTGTAGTATGATGTTTGAGATGGGTGGAAGCCATCATGCAGGCCTATCTGACGAGTGCTCTTATGTGTTCGGTGTTTGCAGGTCGCTCATATATAAGTTGTAGGAGAAGCACCAAGCAAATAAAACAGAAGCGGAAACCAAGTCTGTAATCTACGGATTGTTCAATCGGGCAGGTGCAACTGAGATGACCATAGCTCGAGGTCATGAGTCGAGCACCCATGGGCAGAGTCCTTGAAGATAGAACTGTTTGCGGAGTTGTGCACAGCCTCAATCAACTCACCGAATGAGAGTCCTTCCCGCCCAAGGCTTTCTCATGATGATGATGCGGTGCTTCCGCTCTCCAACACGCACGTAGACACCACCAGCCCAGCTTGTCCCATGTCTGAGACGCAGCGGCCGGTTAGGTGTGTCGAGATCCTCTCACCGGAGCCAGCCCGTGTGTTCGTATTCGGACGCCGAGAGCGTGGCTATGCTTCTAGAAGAACAATCAAACGATTTCGCATCGAGGCTGAGCCCCTTCCCGCAAGGCATACTTCAGCCGTGCGCCGACGATGTGTTTTGCTTCAAACCAGACAGAATCGGCTGAAGATATAACTCCGATTCCTACTGTAGTTACAACTGAGAATCTCAGCGTGCTTCGACGAGAACCGGTAGAGAGCAGGGAGTGGAGGTCACGTGGCTTGGTCGGCTCATTGTCGGCTTCGGCTTCAGCTTCGCCAAACTGTAACTCTTCATTTTGACATTACCGGATACGATGTTGATCCTCTATCTAAGGGGCGGAGTAGCTATAGATGTGATACCTTCAGCAATACACATACTCAGATCCGTTAATCCACATTGTTCTGTGTAAGACCTCTAGTGATTCTCCACTGCTAGCAAATTCAACCAGTTCATTACCATCATAGCCTTGATCATGTTGCCCTTGAGATCAAGATGCACGCCGTCAAATTTCTGGCTCTGTATGCTCATGTTCCACGTCCCGAGGTGCTGGTTTGGTCAGCTTCGCCACGCTTGGCCTGTTGATCTTGTGAGGCGACTTACATCGACTCCTCTCCTTTCCGCTTCGTATCTCACACTCTCTTCGAAGACCATCAAAGCCTTGTTGCCCTGGCTCACCAGCCATTCGTCCGGCTTTTTCTTGCCCGCCGCGTTGGGCGTCATGAACAGCCTCGGCCAGAACGCTCCTTTCTGCCTCAAGTATGGCAGTCGATCGGACGTGGCGTCGAGTATCTGATCGAGCCAGTTGACTGTCGCCTGGAGATCAAGGTCCTGCCGGCGACATCAGCTCTAGTTTCGCCATTTGACGCTAGCAGACGTTGTCGAACTCACGTTCCATAGCCCGTGCCCAAAGACGAATGCGTAAGGCCTTTTGGGCTTGACTGTGCCGATGGTCTGTTTGAAGCGCTCAATTTCTTCCGGAGGGATGGGAAACTTGACCATCTGCTCGATCAGAACGTCCACGGTGCCAGCGGGGCACGCCAAGCCGTCCGGGTCATTCTTCATGACGTCCGCTGTTCTGAAGATGCCTTGCACTGAGCATGCCTTAACGTTGAATTGGAAGTTGCAGAAACATTCCCTCCTGTGCTGCATCATTAGCAGTCCTCGTTCTCACCTCCGTCTCATTTATTACCAGCACCAACACAGCACCAGACAAAGGAGAGAGTGGAACAGCATACCTCTCCTCATCGCTGAAGTTCCAATCCGTAACAGCTCCGAACCCTAAATCCTTCCGCAGCAGCACATTTAAGCTCCCAACCACATGCCTCATCATGCTGTCCCCAACAAACACCACCTTCTCGAACCTCTCCAGAATCTCACACACCTCCTCTGTGGTGAACCACCTCATATCGCACCCACGAGGCATGTACGGCGCGTCGTGGCCGATACGGCCGCCAGAAGACATGGCCGTAAGCATGGACGTGCGCTCGGTGCATAGAGGCGAGAAGCCGGAGTGGAGATCGAGGGAGGATATGTTGCACAGTGGACGGTACTTGTAGCTTGCGAAGGTGTCGAGGCTGTCCGGTGCGCGGTAGGGGTCGGGCTCGGGAGGTTGCAACGCCGCGCTTGGGATCAGGGTTGCGTTGTAGTCGAGCTTGAGAGGCATACGATGTGGAGTGTGAATCTGCAAGTGAGGTGTCAGCACTGGAGGAACCTGAACCTGCTCGGTCTGCCCATGGGCGCTCAGTTCCGCCCTCTTTCTTTTGTAGCAAGACATGGGGCTGCAATCGTGTTGGAACTGGCAAAAGCTTACAACTGTCCCCTGGAACCAAGACATAACGAACATCCCAAGCACCATCCCCATAGCAAAGGTAGCGGTGATGAGCTGCCCGCGCCTCGTCAAGTGCCAAGGGAACCTCTGTGGAGGCAAGTGTCCCACGGAATGGTCGTCACGCACAGATAACGCTGGGCTCTTCCTAGAGCAACCCAACGCGTTCCTCATGCCTGCGACCCGAAATAGTAGTCGGCTTTCGAGGATCTCTTCCTCTTCAGAGAAGACAGGAGAGTAGCTGGACGGAGCTGACATCTCCAAGGCGAGATCTCCGCTTTAATCCGGCAAGGAGTGAGGGAGGCTGTTAGCTGTGCAACCGGTGGACAGCGGGTACTTGTATGCTGTGAGAGACTTGTAGTATGTTAGGTAGAGCGTCCGCTGTTTTCCCTTACGAAAAAATGAACAAGGTGCCCAATTCAACGTAGCTGCCGAACAAGCTCTTAGTGTGGAAACTGAGACCTGAGCTGGCAGGGGAGTCCCGCTGTACTTTGGAACTTCTCAGAAGCCGTTTGATAAGGGGCGGAACTGAATTTGAACTGATGCGCTCATGGCTTGCCCACGCCTGTGATCGTGAAGAAGTTAGGTAGGTATCCGGCGAGCCGGAAGTAGATAGCACCACCCCTGCCGGGCACCCAGAAGATATCAGTCGTTGGATTAGCATATAAATAAGATGAAACCCCGAGAAATTAAGACTACGAGTCGAGGTTGCTATATTCTTAAAATTCGAAAAAGGATGGTTGACTTCGAAGCCTAAGAGATGGCATAGTATACCGGCCCCCCCGCCCCATTGAGATATATACAAGGAAATCGCCCGCGTTATCACCGCCCGATCCCGTACAACAGCGCAGCAAACATGTCTTTGAACCAACCCGTCCACCCTTTGACCTGCGTGATCGTATTCAGAATACGGATCATCCGTCTGCAAAACAACTCCGCATCCTCCCAATCATCCGCGTACGCCTCCCACACCGCTCTGTCCTCTCCTCCCTCATCAAGCACCAGCTCTCCATCATCCCGTTGCCTCACCTTGACCTTAGGCCCAACGTACAGACTCCTCCCCACAATCCTGCTGTCAGCCACCAGCCGCGTCCCCGCATCAACCACATCTTCGACCTTCCCTGTCCCACCACCCGCCAGCATTACCCGTGCGGAGGTTGGTAGGATAGGGGTGTCGATGAAGTAAGGGCAGAGAAGGTTTACTCGCACTCCAGATGCGAATGCAGAGGAACGGAGACTGCGGAAGAGACCTAGCACGGCATGCTTGGACGCGCAGTACTGCGGCTGGATAGTAAGGGGCATAAGACCGGCCACGCTGCCTATCAGCAGGACATGCCTGTCTCTAGGCGTATTCGCTGGATCTGAATCCGGAGAGCAGTCGGTAGACCCCGGATTGCGGGGAAGATAGAAGAAAGCGAGATGAGTCGTGTACAGTACTCCGGTTATGTTCACGTCTATAACCTTGAAGTCGGGTTTCGACGGCGCCAGGGCGTCGAGGCCAGAAGGTGTTTGTAGAGTGTCGGTTCCTGCAACACCGGCACATGCGATGACGCAGTCGATGCCTCCGTGCGGACTGCGCTTTACAGCCTCTTTGAAGAGATTGACCTGGCTTTGCCAATCGGTCACATCGCAGTACACAAAATGGACACGGGGATTTGAGGTCTCTTTGCGCACGTCCCGGGCTAGTTGATCGGCTTTCTGGACGCTGATGTCGCCGATGATTACGCATGCGCCGTTGGCTGCCCATTTGCGGACGAAGGCCGCACCGAAGCCTGATGCACCGCCGGTGATGAGGATGGTCTTGTTCTTTAGCCATGCGCTGTCGTAGGGGATGGACAAGTCGACTGGCGGAGACTGGCGGATCGACTTTACCATCGAATACTTTTCTTGTTCCGCCATACTGGGGAGAGAGAGAATTGTATGTATGTCGTTAAGGAACGAATGTGCTACACGAAAGCAGCAATCATAACCAAGCAATGTCCTCAGAGATGGGGGAAGGATTCGTAGAAAGCGTAGAATGATTGGATGGCTTCAGCCTCACGAGCGGCTGAGAATTGTAATAATTCTAATACAGCTCGCTGTTGACGGAGACCCCTGTATCTACAGCACGGCTGTCTTCCAGTGACGAGCTTACGCCTCGAAACCACTTACTGAGGTTCCTGCTGCTGTTCTATGAGAGCATGAAACGACAGGAGGGTGAGATGGCAACAGGCTTGGTAAGCTCCCAGGAGGGTCACGTGAGGCTCTAACGCTCCGAAAACGGACGGAAGTTTTCAATTCAACGACAACGCACGTGAGAAGCAGAAGTATTTAAGGTGTAAATTTAACAAGTCCGCCTCAGAACTCTCGAGAAGACGAAATTGCAGCATCGTCCGTGAATCGCGAGACTTATTAAACGTGTACGAGCCTCACCTTCAAACTACTTTCCTTGTTGATCAGTCTCTTCAACAGTCTCCCTCACTACAATTTTATAGCTATCTCTAGATACTCTACTTGAACCCAGAAAAAAACCGTAGCTTGCTACTCCCCTTAGTCAAGCCAGCGAAGAAGATATATAGATTTGCGGGGTTTATACAGCGCTACAAAAAGAAACCCTTTACGCCCGTCCAAGGCTTTCCACCTCCGGAATTGGGCTCAGAATACGGAACGTGCCAGACCGACATGGATCAATCACCACAGCCAGGACAGAGCGAAGTTGTGGCAACGCTGTTCTACAATCCACCGCGGCCTAAGACACAGCAGCCTAACTCAACCTCATGCAACTTGACGAATGCGCTGTCTACTGCCTCAGTAGCACCCACATCTCAAGATGGCGGGTACATATCCCAAGACTGCATCGCCGACTTCTACAAGATACTCAGCGCCATCGTCACCGAATTCTCCCATTCGTCCGCGGCCGAGCGACCTCTGGACAATGCAGACTCCCCGCGCGTCATGGAAATTCGATTCTCCCTACCAGACACCACCTCCACCTGGCCTGAAACCCTCAGCAAGCAAGACGCCATCACCCGCTTTGAGCATACCTGGAACATCGAAGCCGTCTTCCAAAACGCAAGAACATACTCCCTTCACAAACAACCCGGCCTCGCAGTCTTCGACATGGACTCGACCCTCATCCAGCAAGAAGTCATCGACGAAATCGCGCGCACGCTAGGCGTCGAAGCCGCCGTCTCATCCATAACCGCGCGCGCCATGAACGGCGAGCTGGACTTCGAAGCCTCCCTCCGCGCGCGCTGTGCCCTTCTCGCTGGGGTGCCTAGCACCGTCTTCGAGACGATCCGAAAACTCATCACGCCGACGCCCGGCGCGTTGGACCTAGTCCACGCGCTCAAGAAGCTGGGCTACAAGACCGCCGTGCTGAGCGGCGGCTTCACGCCCGTGACGGGCTGGTTCGCGACGCAGATAGGCCTGGACTACGCGTTTGCGAACCACCTCGTTGAGGGCGACGACGGGAAGTTGACGGGGGAGTTGGAGGGCGAGATTGTGCATGCGGAGCGGAAGCGCGCACACGTGTTGGAGATTGCGAAGAAGGAGAGAGTGGAGCTGGAGAGGGTGCTTGTGGTCGGGGATGGTGCTAATGATCTGCCGATGATGGGGGTTGCAGGGCTGGGCGTGGCGTTCCATGCGAAGCCGAGGGTGCAGCTGGCGGCGCCTGCGAGGCTCAATACGGAGAGTCTGCTGGATGTGTTGTATCTTTTTGGGTTTTCAAAGGAGGAGCAGGAGGAGCTGCTGAGGTAGCTGGTGTCAGCCGGCTGCTCGCATGTTGGTCACGGAGTCGTAGGGAGTGAGGTTAATGCTACTAGCGTCTGGCGGCATGTTCATGATCGTTTGTCTTGTTACGCGGTTGACAGCTTTGATGTGGTCTTGGTATTCCATGACTTCTACCTCTTCTTCCGCATTTGACGCTTCTTCTGTGTCCGATGGTCTCCTAGTCGAAATTCACGGCGTTCAACCATAAGGTATGACTCTGCATCAGAAGTACGATACTCGTTAAGCGTGGTGTTGCGGAGCCAGGGCACTGAAGTCACGTGCACTGACAAGCGAATTTCGCCAAGCCCCACACAAACCTCAACCTCAATCGTGAGCGGAATCCAGTCAGGCAAGCCGACGACCGACAACCAGCACCACTCGACAAGATGGTGAGTGGAGAGAGAGAGATTTCATTGCATTGCCCAGTACCGATTGCGACCTTTCCATCCGAGCACAGCCTTCGGACACAACTGGACCGTACGGATTGGGTGCCTGCCGTTTCAACAATTGCTGGAGCACTCGCCTGGACTGGAGCCCCTCCCTCTGTATCAGAACGCACTCGCGATACTCCGACGGCAACGCTCCCTGGCTTTTCTGGCGACTCTTCTACACCACGCATCGATTGGCAGCGAGCCAAACATCCACTCTTGCGTTTCGCGGCTTTCGACTTGCGCGGTAACAGAAGAACCTAACTAACACCTCCAAAAGGGCGCCCTCAAATACATCGAAGAGCTTCAAAAGAAGAAGCAGTCGGACGTGCTCCGATTCCTTCTCCGTACGTAGACCCCACCCCCCCGCTCTCACAACTCGCTGACCCAGAAACAGGAGTGCGCTGCTGGTTCGTCTCACCCTACACTGATACCACTCGTTGAACATGAGCTGAGAGTGTATATCCTGTAGGGAGCTGCGCCAGCTCAACGTCATCCACCGTGCCAGCCGGCCCTCTCGCCCCGACAAGGCGCGCCGCCTCGGGTACAAGGCCAAGCAGGGCTATGTGATCTACCGCGTGCGGGTCCGCCGCGGCGGCAGGAAGAGGCCTGGTAGGCATCCCTTATCTCCCGCACCGCGAACCCCCCAAAGCCACAAGACTAACATCCTCTTCTCTCCCACACAGTCCCCAAGGGCGCAACCTACGGCAAGCCAACCAACCAGGGAGTGAACCAGCTCAAGTACCAGCGCTCGCTGAAGTCCACGGCCGAGGAGCGCGTCGGACGCCGCTGCGCCAACCTGCGCGTCCTCAACTCGTACTGGATCAACCAGGACTCGACGTACAAGTACTTCGAGGTCATCCTCGTCGACCCGCAACACAAGGCTATTCGCCGCGATCCGCGCATCAACTGGATCGTCAAGCCTGTGCACAAGGTATGCATTTCTCTTCCAAGAGAGTTTTGGGCGGGGCTTGAGGGACACAATGGCTGACATGATGGTGTTTTGCAGCACCGCGAATCCCGCGGCCTCACCGCAACGGGTAAGAAGTCGAGGGGTCTGGGCAAGGGCCACAAGTACAACAAGACCACCGCCGGTCGCCGCAAGACATGGAAGAGGCACAACACGCTTTCTCTCTGGCGCTACCGCTAGAGGGTGTGCCAGCGCGGTGGGATGGGTTGATTGGCTGGGGTTGTTGCTTACAGTATGTGATAGCGCAAAAATGGATGTTCCTGTGCAATGCTACGCTGTTCTCAATGACTGTTCTGTGACCGTAAAATGTGGAAGATATGTACGAAACTACCTATATGACCCCTTACAAGCGAGCGCTGAAGCACTTTCCGCGCTCTCTTAAAAACCTGCCCATATCAGAAACCGCCCGAGTCCACCGAAAACGCCAGATATCTACAATCCCATCTCCTCTTCCTTGTCCACTCACCCATCTAGCCCCTTCCAATCAACTCCCCCCCTCCTCTCCGCCCCCTCCCCACTAACCAGCTTCCCCTCAGAATTATACCTCGGCTCCGCCTCGCCGATGCCCTTGAGTTCATGTCCCCAGCGGCCCGCGCCGTCTCCAAACACCTCCTCGTGCCAGTCCCCACAGACCTCGCTCCAGCCGAGCCACTCGGCGCGGTCGGTCCAGACGCCGCCGTGGCCGCCCCGGGGACCTGTCGAGGTGGAGGCCGAAAGGAGGGCGGCGGCGGGGCCGGAGTGCGCGCGGAAGTAGTGGCGCAGGAGGGACCGGGAGCGGGGGTGGTGCCAGAGGTTTGTCCAGATGGCGGTGCGGTTGAGGGTTGTCGTCGTGAGGGCCGCCGGGAGGCCGAGGGCGCTGGTCGCGGTGTTGGGGTGAGTGGAGAGGTGGATGGCTGCGGGGATGGAACCGCTGGAGGAGGTTAGCAGCGGGAGGGCGCTCCAGGGCGTGGAGGGCGGGGGGAGCGCGTCGAGGTGGTCGTGGATGGGTATCGTGGTCGACGGGATCGAGGTTGCAGCGTCGGCGGCGGGAGGAGTCGCGAACGGGGGCGGGGAGTCGAGCAGGGATGGCGGGAGGGAGGTGGAGGAGTTGGTGTGGGTTGTGAAGGCTAACGAGGGTGGAGTGGAAGCGGTGAGCGTGGCGAAGAGCGTAGAGGCGTAGTCGAGCACGATGCGGTACTCGTAGCGGTGGTTTTCGGTTAGGGTGAGGTTTGTTTGCGTAAGGGTTGAGGGCGAGGAGAAGCCGAGGCGTTGGGAGAGCCAGTCCTTCCAGTGGGCGGCGGCGCTGCGCGTGGACTGGTGGATGGTCAGCCTCTACTAGTCGTGAACGATACTGTTGATTCAGATGCAGGGCGAGCTGAGCAGTTCTTGCTCGCGACGGCTCGGCAGAGTGTGGCTGTATTGCCACTCTTCATACCTGTCTACGAATTGAGTTCCGTTTGTAGTTCAGACCAACTTACCTGGTACATAAACTCCCTAGTGTGTTCCTGCTCTCCAAATATTTCCGCCAAAACATACTGGTCGTCTGCGCCATGCTGAAGATGGTATTGCGGTCTCTTCATGGCTTCCTCGTAGAGGGCTGTTAAGTCCTCAGCAGGCCCCATAACGGTGCCCGCATTCAGATATTTCGGCCTGTTGAGAGGTATTCCGGCATCCATCGCCAGGCCTCCGGGCACGTCCTTCGGCACTGGACACTCCGGCACCGCCTTGCACGCTGTACTGTTATCCGCATTCGGCCAGCACGCAGTATCCGCACCAAACACGATACTATGCCTGAACCGGGGAAGCCACGGCTTGCCGTCCATTGGGCCATGTTTCCTTTGCGACCGCTCGTTAGCTTCTGCGATAAGCCTCTGGTACTCCTTAATCAACACCTCGCTCGGCAGCTGAAACCACACATCGTAGCCATCAATTATGAGAACCAGATCCTCGTCCGCAACGTTGTTCTTGGCGTCTTGGAGGTAATCGTAGACGCCCCTGATCTTGGCGGCATTGCGCTCCTGATCTGCGTCCTCGCCACTCCACTCTTTCTTCCAGTTTATGAGCGTCGGAGGCGGGTAGTCTAGGAGGAAGGTGGAAAGGACGGTCTTGCAAAGGTCGGGCGAAGCGGTGGGAGCGAGCAGGAGGAGGTGCAGGGATGGGGCGGGCTTTTGCGGTAAGCTGCTGGAAACGGCGGAGCTATTCGCGCCTTCGAAGCCTAGAGTGCCATTGGAGGGCTGAAGAAGCGATGAGTCTTGCTGTGAGTTCGAGTCGGCGGATACGGAGGAGTCGGATGTAGGTCGCCAGTAATGAAGGCGGTAATTCGATAAAGAGGGGTACTTTTGAAGCGTCTGGGGAGCTTGGATTAGCTGTGATCGCAGGCGGAGTATCTGTATACCTACTTCCGAGGACGGCTGCCACAGGAAGCCGAGTGCTATTAGGGCGAATGCGGCCACGGCGAGTAGCGATCGGCCTCTGCGTCCGCGAAGCATCCGGAGCAGTGCATGAGGCATACTGGCGGAAGCATGCTGGGAGGGGGAGAGGTTATCGGCCTGCATGGCGGCCAAAACGGGACTGATATAAGGAAAGTGTTCTAGTAAACGAGTGCCTGGAAGATCGAGTCCTGCTCAGATCTGGCGGGGGGGGATCCAAATGAGAGGGAGGATCCGAAGATGGGGATCTGTGGGAGTCAAACTGACAGGAGCAGAGACTCGTATCGACGGGATGTCAAAGGAGTGACAGGTGCTGGAGACGCACAAGAAGGCACAGCTGAAAGACGGGATGCATCGCAGGGCACACCCAGCGCGTCTCCTTAATCGTTGAAAAAGAGCCGCCTCGTAATCGATACCTAGGTAGACGCCCATCGAGCTCCCATCCCAGCTGATCCCCCTGCAAGGACACCGGCTAGCCGCTTCAGCCTTGCCGCTTCGGCACTGGCGTAGCACAAAATAGAACACATCTGCAAGGCGGCCGCCGATCATGGCGTTTCTTGTACTGAGGGGTTGGCATGGTCTGTAGAGCCTAGCCAAATTAAGTGTTCTGTAAGACTAGCGGCTGGCATCACTAAAGTTCAGTTTTGGCACCCGCGAAACCCAACCTTGTTTCATCTCACAATTCTACGATTACTTCAATCATCATGGGTAAATATAGCAATTATATAGATTTGAAGCTTTTCGCTATAACGTGATACGTTTCTTAATTGAACACGTGAGAATAATATGATGGCTCAATAGAATGAAAGAGATAAACGCTTAGTTGACAGACTTTGACACGTTTTACGGGGGCGTACTTGACAGATTATGCCAGACCGTCAGTACGCCCAAAGGGGGTATGGAGGCGCGGGCGGGGTCAAAAGGTCTAGGTCTCTTTGATAGATCCTGACAGTGCTGGGCAGCTCAGCAAATGGCCACGAATGCCTTTGTTCAAGAATATGCGATGCTCTGTGACCGTATTGTTCTCTTTTGTCCAACTGCGGCCGCAGGTCTATGAGACATTGTAAAGGCGAAGCCAATGGAACGCAAACCACGGCAGCAACAGTGACGGGATGGGTTTGTAGCTAGGCTGAAGGTATCTAAGGCCACCCAAGCAGTAACAGAAGTAGGCGATCGTGTTCGAACTTCAGCGGCTTTGTTGCCATAAGCGTCCGTTGCATCGCGGTAGCTACACATTGCTTCTTCAACCACTCCACAGCCCAGCGCACGCGCCCCACCTCTCACACCTCTTCCTCCCTAGGCAACCCCTTCACAAGCCTCCTCACACCTCTCTCGGCATACCTCAGCGTCTCATCCATCCCCAGTCCACCAAGCTCCTTTCTCTTGCCGCCTTCCCCGGCTGCCTCACTTCGCTCCCCAAACCCCTTGGCTACTGCTTCATACTCCCTTTCCTCACCGACACCAACCTCGCCACTTCCCTCAGCCCTGCTATCAACGCCCAAACCCCGCCGTATCCTTGTAAGCGTCACCCGTCTCCCCAGCTCTAGCAGCCGCCGCACTTCGTTTTTGTCGGCTTCCCAGCGCGCTTGTTGCGCGGAGAGAGCAGCGGGAGAGAGATTGGGCAAGGCGGTTGAGGCGAAGGTGGCGACGGCGGTGTCGTAGTCGGCCAGCAGAGCACGGGAAGCTTGTAGGATAATCGTCGCTCCTTCTGTGGAGGGGGTTGTTGAGGGGGTTAGGGCGGAAGACAGGCGCGCGTGGATGGTGGTGCGAAAGGTGGTCGTGGCGGCGGAGCTGGGAGAAAGGTGGGTGGGTTAGCTGGAGTGACTCTTCAGCGAAGGGAGGGCTGCGATGATGTTGGAGGTAGCGGAGCCAACAAGGTAAAGGCACAGCCAAGGTGTAGGTGTAGTGAGCTTTATATGGAAGCAGACACCCAAGCGGAGGTCTGGGACTAGGACTTACGCTCTGTCCGCATTGTCTAGCAGCAACTTGTCCAGCGCTGCGGACTCCGCACGCAAAGTCTGCCGAAACTGCTCGACATGTGCGTCATCGCTGCTCGGAGCGACGCCTCGTACGTGTGCTGTCTTGGTGCTAGCGCTGCGTCGCTCCAAGTCAGCTAGATGCCCGGAGTCGTATCACGCCAGGCGCCGCGAAGTCAGTATACGTACATATATATACAGCTGTTAGTCAACGCACGAGAGTGGGCGTACCGCGCATCCTTCTCGCCTCGACTCTCTGCGTTCACATCCTTAGAGACTTCCTCCTCTTCCAGGGTGGTGCTCACTTGCCGCGCGTTGCCACGCCGTTGAGTATCAGAGCCATGGGAGCGGCGTGACCGGGAGGAGGCCGGAGGCTGTAGCTCCTCTGTTGAGGATTTTCAGCTGTCAATATCATTGATGCTTGTGAGAGAGATTGAATGGTACCTTCTGCTGCGCGTTTGGTACGTGGCTTTGGCATGAATCGAGATATGGAGCTGGATACAACGTGGATGTGGCGTGCTGCGAAAATTCCCCACTTGACTTGCGGAGGTGGAGACTATCCTGTGAGATAAGAGGATGGGACCAGGAAAACAGGTTTGCGGAGAGGTTGTAGCTGCAGCCGCGGTGTGAGGTCAAAGGGTGTAAGAATGCTGGGAGCATGCGTCACTATCGCGCTTCTGAGGGCATGTACACATTAGGGAACACCACGGTTTATTTTTCTTGAATTAGACAATGGAGTCGACTCGTATCATGGCTTTAATGAATGTCAGGAAAGTCATCATGTGACGTACCTTTATCACGTTCGCGAATGGGTCATCTCACGGCGCTTGCGCGTGCCTCATCACCAACTCACAGGAACACCACCCAAGAAGGCAAGTAATCATCAATCTCAGGCTATCTCCTACCTACTCGCACCTCCCCGCAGAGAGAAGCTTTCCGCATGAAGACCGCCGATGAAAACAAGTCACAAAGCAGCAAAGCTCCAGATCCGCTACCCGTAACCCCATTCCCAGTATGCAAACCGCAGCAATCTTCAACCTTCTCAGAGAGGATCGCCGCAGTACAGTCATAGCCATCGTAAAGCCCCGTCTCTGAAGAAAAGGAAAATCAAAACCGCTTTTCCACTTCTCCACCGCCATGCAAACATCCACATCCAAGTCGCCGTCTTTTGTAGGGTTTTCGTGTGCTGTGAAGGGGAAAGGGGTGCAAACATCTAACGCATCCGGGCCACCGACTTTTCTGAGATTGTCGTGTACAGTTGAAGGGGGAATATTTAAGCAAGCATCTGCAGAAACGAGGCAAGGGTGACATCAACGGAGTGTTAGTGCTGTGAGAGGGAAAAAATGTGCAACCCAGAGCCTCCATGAGTATTCAAAAGCTTCCGCGCTTTCGTGGAGTTGCCGAGCGAGGCTGCTGCGACTCCATCGAGCGGTTGAGTTGAAGCAAGAGCTGAGTGGGGTAAGATGTTGAACAGGAACAGCAGTATGATGGTGAAAGAGGGAATTATCTGCAACTCAGACCGTAGTCTGGAAGGCCGTGAGTTGAAGCAAAGCCGAAAGTGGTGAAAGCAAGTTTGAAACCGTTACGCCCCCATTCGCTCCAGGCAGGAGAGCCCCGCAGGTGCATGAGCAATGCCCAGCCTTCTAGCAACGGTGAGAAACGACATCAAGTTACGTCTCATGCGAGGAGTCTGAGCGAGAAACGGTTCGTTTGTGGAACCCAGACGTGATGTGGAGAGAGATTTGTTCGATCCTTTCCGAAGCGTAGATCTTGACGGTTCCTTGCGATGCTGTGAGAGCTTGGTAAGTGTACAGAGATAGTATCCGCACGAGAAGTCCCTACTGCGGTCTAGCCGCAGTGGTGCGCCAATCGACGTTCCAGGGATCGAATCGATTGATCGGGCGAGCCGGCGGCGGCGGCAACGGATGAGCTTGAGAAGGCTGCTGGAGCCAAGCCGGGATCTGGAATGCGGGCGGATGGTGATGTCCGAAATTCGGCCAGTTTTCCTGATGGTTCTGAGCGCCGTAGCGCTGCTCCTGCCCCTCGGGTGGACCATACCGCATCTCCGACGCCTGGCGGAGGGCTTCCTGGTTGACCATGGGATGGTCAAACACCCGTCGAGGAGGCAGTCCATCCGTAGTGCCATATGGTGGAATGAGATACGGACGCTGGCTGGCGGGAGGGATGTTCAACACGCGAGACGTCAAGGGAGACCTGGTGGGCAGATCACGAATGGCGTGCGGAGAAGCAGTGAAAGCCGCAGGGTTGACAGCAGACATCCAGATGCGCGTCTTGTAGAGCTTGAAGAGATCGGTGACGAGATCGTTGAAGTTGATGTAATTATCGGCGAAGTAGAAGAACGTCAACTTCTTGTAGTCGCTGTTGCCGAAGTTAGTAAAGTCAACGTGACAAACACGACCCGGACTCACGCTTGGTATTCTGCATCCAAAATCTCCATGACCAAGCCATGGTCGGCGACCTTTTGCTGGCAAACACGCTTCGCCTTGGCTTCGGCTCCTTCCTTCTCACGCAGTAAAGTGATCTCATGGGGCTGCGCAAGTCTACGAATCATCTTCGGTTTGAAGTCCGTCTCCACATACGTGAGTTCTGGTGGGAGGCTGAGCTGAGAGCCAATACCGCCGTTCGTTCCATTACGGCTGGCTTCTGCATTGACGACGCCGTTATTGCCGTTCTCCTGAGCGTGACGGGAAAACATCATGAGCCAGCGGTAGTTGTCCTGATGGCATTCTTTGCGAATACGTTTGCCTTCGGCAATGGTGACGTCGACGGCAATAACCCGTCCCATGTCGATGCCGCGATCTCCCTCAACGATGACGATATCACCCTTTTTGCACTTCAAGCCGGTGCTCTCAAGGATGTAGAAAGGCTCGCAGCGGTTGCACTTGAAGGTGACCATGTACAGAGTCTTCGCAGATCCGGGATGCACATAGTAAGCGTTCGCCGCGAAGGAGGGCGGATCGTATGCGCTCGAGAGAGCTTGTGCGTGGAGAGCCATGGGCCCGTGTCCGCTGAAGTAATTGTCTACGAAGCCGTCATGAGTATGTACTGCTTGATCTGGTTCCTTAGTTCTGTGGACGATGGACAAAGCGAATTCATTATACGCACCCTCAATACCCGTGCCAACAACTCCGTGTTGGTGACCGTTGACCGGAAAGTCACGCGGTGAACCGGAAATTCCCAAGCCCTCCTCCTCTACCTCTTCAAGTGCGTCGGCTAAGGAAGACATCGTCAGCGCGGTCTGTCGCTCTGCGGAGGAGAAGTCGGCAAAGGAGTGCCGGCGGCTCTGCGGGACTTGAGCTGCGGTGCTCAAGGGGTCGCTCTCCTGATGCAATGCGGTGTCGTCGATAGAGTTGGATGTCTGCCACTGAGTACGACGGCGACGGATGTTGCCCTCCACAGGCGGCTGCTGTTCGGCCGTGACAAAGCCACCGTTTCCATTCATGTGTTCGATGGTGGCCGAGGACGCGACATCGAGCGCGGCTGGGTTCTCTGCCTGGCTCACGAAAATGGGTGAGCGCGACGCGCCAGTGCTGTTCGGGGGACCAAGAGGGTTGCGAAATGGAGCCGGTCTATAGTCTAGCGACTCCTGTACAGCGAGGCTCGTCGGCAACCTCACACCGGCCGGAGAGCCATTTGAGCTGTCTACGTCATCGTCCTCGTCTTCGAACAGGTTTCCGAGAGTCGCAACAAGTGGTGTGTCTGAGCCCTTTGACAGGCGGTGCCTCAGTAGCGGCATTGTGCCTTTCCTCAAACGAGCAAGGGCAGGATTGACGGCGTTGACAGGAGCGATTGAAGACTGAGGATCGTCTTCGAGTTGACCGACAGAGTATGACAGGGATCTAACGTTCTTTCGCACAGGATGAACGATGTTATAGGGCTCGTGCGTGAGAGGCGTGAAGGGGGTAAGAGGAGTGAGCGGAGTCAGAGAGGGAACGCGTGCGATTTGACTGGAGGATGACGCAGACGTGAGCGAACGCGTTAAAAAGTGCTGCGCGGGCCCGTTCTCCAAGGTAGGTGTCGTGGGCTGTGAGCTTGCTGAATTGCCGCTGAAAGAGAACTTTCGCTGCGGAAAGTCTTGATTCATCCAGGAACCGCGACGGGCGGGAAGGGGTCTACTTCCTGTGCTAGCTGCCGAGTGCATGGAAGCGGACATAGCATGTCCACGATCGTCGTCCGACGCGAGAGCGTCGGAGTCCGGGGTAGCCTGACGAGCGAGCATTGCTGTGGTGAGCTCTCGATATTTCGCGATTTCGTGATGTGCTGTGGTAGCCTGCGCGGCCAGGTCAGTGAGCGAACGCAGGATTGCGTGCATTGCTTGTTCGTTCATGATGAAGTGAGACAGGAACCAGACAGTGGGACACAGAAAGCTCAGAGAAAATTGACAAAATAGAGGATAAACGCTCAGCGCAAGACAGGTGTTGAAAAGATCTATGCTGGTGTTGACTATTATCGGAACCGGGTAGCAAGGTGTAGTGATATCCGCCGCCTTGGGATTCTCCGGTGTCCCCTTGAATCCAAGACAGCATCAACCCCATCTAGCAGCCCTGAACCAGTGAAGTACGCTCAACAAACGGAAAGACAACGGATCCAGGCCAAGAGCAAGGACGGAACTAAGCCTCGTGCCCGTGGAAAGTCCTCTGATACTGTTGAAAGTCCGCTGGTGATTGCAAGAGCTACTGTCCCGCCAATATCACTGAGCACGAGAGAACGACCTGCGGACACAGCAACTATCGTGACGAGGACAATACCGCCCGGCAACAACACCGAAGACGCTTTTCGAAACGAGGAGCTTGTTCGCTGGACGCACTCCATCGTGACGGACATAGTTGCCAGCGCTACCACGTGTTGCAAGAGCCAGCAGGTCACTCGCTTGGACAACGAGGGAGAGGGCAAACAGCGATAACACGCAGCGAAGCAAGAAAGATCCACAAGCCCAGCAAACATGGACAGATTCTCTGAGCGCATTCGCCAGTTGGAGGAACAAAGCGCTTCGCTTGCATGAAAGTACGACAGAGCTCCGCAGGCCTGAGCCGCTAATGGCGCCTTTGCTCTCTCACTTCATTACCCATAAGGAGTAGGACAGAGTTTAAGAGGCAGTAGGGACAAGAAATCCCATTGCCAGATGTGCGCGAAAACCGAACTATAAGAACGACGAAACAGAGGCGGTGTTGTAGAACTGAGACTGAAGAACACCTGTAGAAGACAACTTCACTCACCGAGATAGGAAACGTTATCAATTACGCGGATCGACCTCTCGATAGCAAATCCACTCTACTTTTGCTCGCGAAGTTACTGGGTATTGTCCTGGACTGTGTCAGTAAACGCCTCGTACGCACACCGCCTCCTCGTCTTCGCCCGACACCGAGATAGCGTCGCAATGTACGCAACACACGCTTGAACCAGCCCGCATCGCTGAGAGAGATATCTCTGTCGTTCCACAGCAAGATACAAGCTCGTGGTTGATGCGGTTTGGGGAAAGGAGGTACGGGAATACTGAGACGCTGAACGGACCGTACCTTTTGGCCGGCCAATCTATGAAGAACTCGAGATTATGGACGGTCGTTATTGGTATAGAACAACTGGAAGCCGAAGTCAGCATGCACTCGTTAAGCAGTGTTGTAAATCAAAGACGCCGGAATCCTTGGTAACAGGTCAAGACCACGGTCCATCGGCTGGGTCTAACGGTTCCAGCTATGATATCCGCCGCAGATAGTTCAGGCTCCGGAGGTTGCAGTGGCTGCTGCTTGTAATATCCTCAGTGCGCCTGGGAAAGGTCCACCGGTTCCGGGAAGGCCATAAAGCAGAGGTCCGGACAGCCATAACCTAGGGAATCGACCGCAAACACTGATTCGAGAACGGCGCCTTGAGCTGTTGCAGGCTCGTATCTGCACATTCGTTATACAGGATAGCCGTGTCTGGTACTCGGAACTAAAAGAGTCCTCCTGGGGCAGTTAAAGACGGGCCTCCATCGTGTCGGAGACGGCACTCAAGAGTATCAGTGTCTCAGGAACAGCAGCAGCATTCAAGCCGGAGGAGAGGCAGTATGAGAACCCCGATCCGCTCGTGAGCTTGCTACGACGTTCTTGCTTCACAAAATCTGCATGCCGTGCTGCAACGGATCAGGGGGAGCCATCGTCTTCAGCCCTGGCTGCCATGGCGGCGTCTGGCAGATAAGAGCAGCAACGACTGCTGTTCTGAGACTCGGTCGCGCCGGCTGTAGTAGCGACGGCCGTCCAGGCATTGCGCAGGGCCGTATGCAACAGGCTGGACGCGGCGGACACCGCAAACTCGTGGGGAGGCTCTCCCGGACAATAACTGCAGCTGGAGACAGGCCGCACTGAGTCGGATTGGAAGTGTGGGTGGTGACGAGGCCCGAAAGCTCCAGTAATCCCAGGCGTGGGGCTTTGTCGGTCGGAGACTGCAGCAACAGCATAAAAGGAATGGTATACCTAAGAGATGATGCCTAAAATGCGCCCCAGTTCTCGAACCGGTCTATCCCTATTCTTGAAGGCTGCTGGAACAAGAAATGTCTAAAGATGCGATTCACATGGGGGCATGGAGTCGTGATGGGCCGTTTGTGCTGGAAGGCATGTATGGACCAAGGAGTGTGGGGAAGTTGCCACACTTCCAGTCTAAAAGGTCCAGAAGCCCGCGGAGATGGTGAGCGGGAAGTATCGATGCTGAGGATATCAGAGGCGTCGCATTGTCGCCCGTTGGCCCTGAGCGACAATGGAGCCTATTGACGTTTGAAGGTGCGAAGGAGAGGTTGAAGGAGATGGGGACGTTGGATGTTCGACGTTCGACGTTCTCTCGTGCGGCGGGTTGACCCTCGTTCCCAAGCTTCTTGGGGGAGCTAGGATGGGAAGCGGCGGGCGCGTCAGTGCGTGGGTGGATTCGGTAAGCGACTGGCCCGGGGGGGGTTGATCGCAGCCGCTGAATCACGTCTCGATGGTAATGCTCTTCCAACTCTTCTTCTCTACAGTTCGACAAGCTGCGAACCCAGAGCTTTTGTACCGCGGGTGGTGTCGTGCTTCAGTGCGAAGGAGCTCACAACAAGAGGTGGTCAGGGTCTGCGGCAGCAGCACTGGCAGCAGCACTGGCAGCAGCAACGCCTTTGAGGCTTTCCTGCAGCTCAGCACGGTCCAGCCATCCGCTCAGGGGCCCTGGTGAGCTGCTGGGCTGGTGGGCTGTTCGAAATGCGGAGAAGACCAGGCCAACAGCAGCCTAGCCTTGCACTTTCTGGGAGAATGCAAAGGCTTCGTGGAGCAGAACTGCACCCCGCTTGCCTCGAAGCCCCTCGCTGAGACAGCGCGATGGTAAATCCCGCTAGAACATCGGCGATCGGCCACGCCTTCCGAGTGCCCTTGGCCGTCGAAGCCGTCAATCACAGGCGAGACAGCTCATTGCTAGCGTCCGTTGCCCGGGGTTGCCTGCATATTCAGGGTCTGCGGCTGCCACCTCGTTGCCCAGCGTGAGGAGTTTCAGCAAATCGCTCCCGCAAGACGCTGCTTCGTATTCGAGTCCTGTGTAAACCGGAGATGGTTCCAGTGACTTGCGTCGAGACCCGCCTGTGTCCTCTTCCTCTGGCGCCGTCCACATCAACATCACCACACAATGGCAGCAGGACGCGGCCGAGTTCTTCTGGTGTCACGAGCACCCGTTGCCACTCTTCCCAGCTCCGTGGAGAACCTCATCAAGTCGGAAGGGTTTGGAGATCACGCGACTTTGGATCGCCTCGTACATGATCTTCCAAGCTCCACGCTCAGGAGTACACTCGAGTAAACCTACGCGGCGACGCTTACGGACGTGTGACCGTAGGTCCGAGCTATCGTCGCCTTGCAGTCCGCATATCAACGGTATTCCGGCACAACCCGTGGGCATCGTGGACATCGTGAACACATGTTGAGATCAGTAAAATGCGCTCGCAGCCATGGCCACAGGACGCTCAGCTTCTTCCTAAACTGGCCTGCTCCTTGCTCTGATGCTGACGTGCCGGAAGCTCAGAGTATCGTTGGCCCGACATCAATCGATCCAGCTCGCGATGCATCGGTTTTCGTCGCGACTTCCCCGCTTGCGAGCGTGTCACTCCACATCTCGCCCACGGTCTGCGGGAATTACCATCCTGTGGACTGGGTATGCATGATATGTCGTAAGCCATTGTGAGGTGTGTTTTTTGCTTCCCATGTTTGTATCTGTCTCTTCGCTCGTGGTATCGACCGAGTCAGACTCAAAGCTCTCATGTCGCTCTCGCTGCCCTGTTGCCGAAGCTCTCGAAGAAGAATTATCTCTGCAAGACGCCCGGATGCGGCCAAGTACCTCCTCCGACAGCCATCGAGTGGAAGTGGCCAAGCGTCAGCTCGGACGACGTGTTTCGCCGTGTAGCTGGTCGCTGAACCGACTCAGGAAAGGTAGCTCATCAACTCTCAACTACACCGAATATCGCTAGTTGCTGCGAAATCTTTGACGCGTAAAGATCGAGGTGAACCATGTGCTGTGAGGGTGCTGAATGCAAGGGATGTGGTCCAATCCAGACGCGTCCAGAGGAATGTCGCCATACCGGATAGATCTTAGGCCCTCGGCCGTCCTCCAGGACTGTGGCGAGCTTGTACATTATCACGCTATCGCTAGATCTTCCTCTCCGTCTTCCTCTGCGCCTATGTTCTTACCTTGAGAAGAGTCGGACAGCGATGTGCAGCCTACTGCGGCTTTGGATCTGGGCCAAATGGCCGCGGTGGCGGCAGCATAAGCCCCCGGGTTGTCGGCGGCTGTGGTTGTGGCTGCTGCTGTTGCTGTTGCTGCTGCTGTTGCTGTTGCTGTTGCTGTTGTGGCTGTGGCTGTGGCTGTGGCTGTGGTTTTGGTGCGTTGGTGGTGTCGTAGGCACCGCGTCCCATTTTGGTGGGTTGAGATGTGTTGTGGAAGGGGGGAAGAACGGGGTCACGCGAGATAGGAATGACTTCACATCGATGGGAACAACCTCATCGAATTACCCGAACGCCAAATCTGCAACACTCATTACGAATAGTCTCCTCGATCTATCTCACTCAGTGCAAGCATTATCATTGTCATTTAGTTGATCGATCATATCGTCTCTCCAACAGTCAACACAGCCTGGCGGTCTACCTGACGCAGCTTCCCCTCCTCTATAGCTTCCACGCCATTCGCACGAGGTTAGGGAATGCACGCAACCCAAGCGCCGGAGAACTAGCGGCAGGAGATCAAGACATCCAGCATGAGGGATTAAGGTCAGGGAGGATCACGATGACATATATGAAGAGCTTTGAGGCACAGGATCCACGAGCTGGAGCGCGGTTTTTTGCTACCTTGTAGAGCTATACATTCGACGACGGACACAAAGTCATGATTGCAAAAAGCTGCCAAAGTCCAACATAGGAGAACAACCGCCATCGCCGCTCAATCCATAGCCTCTTTGACCGCATCTCTAGCCCATCAAACCAGCAAGCTCAACCGCTTCACTCTCTCCCTACAGCCGTCCCATTCCTGTCGATCCTCAGAAGGATGTTCAAAGTTCGACGGCCATCGTCCACGGTGTCCTTATGCATCCACGTCTTCGATGATGCCATCATTCTTTAGAAGCATCATCTTCTCCAACTCTCTCCTCATGTACTCGACTCCGACCGAGGGAGCTTTATACGCTTCGTTTAGGTCGTACGGCCAACTGGGAGGAGTGCTGAGACCACGAGGCGTTAACAAGTCTCTCAGAGAGACGAAAGTGTCCCCTAATTCTCTCAGAGAGACGAAACCGCTCCTGTTCGGCTCTAACGGACGCTCGGGGCGAAGATCTAGATGTGCCAGGCCCGAATATGCACGAATCCGCATCGTGAGCTCCCTACTCTCGCGCAGTGACCGCTCGTCGCTCAAGTGCAGCTTCAGACTGTGGATGAGTCTTGTGCCCCATTGGCTTGATCTCCGAGTACGTCAGCTCCTTCTCCTCGCACTCGAAAACGTTCTGCGAGTAGTAGAGCTTGCGGCAGAACTCTGCGTCGCTCCAGCCCACGACTTCCGGGTCCGTAATAAGCCTGATCCCCTTGCACTTCGACTGAGATGGTTCAACCAGGAGCGGCAGCGGCGTGGTGCTACAGAGTGCGAGTTTGTAGATCTTGGTGCGCAGCTCGTAGGGGAGGGAAGCTGTGGTTTCGATGGCAAGATTTATGTACCGAGCGGAGCTGCGTTCTGCTTGCTGCTGGACCAAGCGCTGGCGCCGGGATACGGATACGTGCTGCGGTTTTGTCGTGGTGGATGACCAGCTTGGGTGAGGCGAGGACTTCGGCTTCATCGTAGAGGTCGTCGAGAGCAAGGTGAGCGAGACGGATTGTTCTGACTTAGAAGCTGCAGAAGCTGTCTGCTGAAGCCGAAGTGAGGGTGCGTGACTGTTTTGTGGCAGTCCGAAAATCAGGAAGAAGCTGTTTATGAAGGGGATAAAAATTGCTCGGGTGACGCCGAGTTTGTCGTGAATGTATTAGGCGGACGCGCTTCTGTCATTCACTTGGACTCTCTGTCACGTAAACATCGCTTCGGGATGTGAAGTCACTGCGCCAACCCTTGGAACAAAGCCCAGCTACCGTGGAAAATATGTGGTCAATACGACATGCTTACTGTATCCCCTTAGTGAAAAAACTACGGCTCGAGTATCTGCATCGCGGAACCAGCCCCGAGTCCCTTATAGGTATGGGAAGCAGAGAGCCTCATAGCCCAGTACAATTTGCATCAATCCTGTCCCCATCAACGAGCTGCAAGACCCGATCACCTGACGCAAATAGCACCATCGAATCCGTGTCCGAAGAATACTCCGGCCACTCAAACCTCTGGCGCCGGGAAGTAGCAATGACAGGGCCGGCGCTGGGGTTCGAGGCAAACGAGAGCCAGAGAGCTGGTTGAATTGTTTGTTAGGACGGTGTTCGTAGACTCCTCGGACATGAAGAGCGGGGGATTGAAGAGTGGAGGTTAAAGAAAGCGAGGATGAGGAAGTAAGACGAACCTTGCATCGTGTGGCTCACGTCGTACTCAAAGGGTGTAGACGGACCGTAGAATTCGCGGTCATGCGTGCCGAATAACAGGGGCAGCTCGGCTATGACACATATCAGTCACGTTGATCAGTGGGATGGCAGCATATATCAGCTGAGATCAGGCCGTATCTCGGTTGACGGAAAGGTCTTACCGCTGTGGTATGCACCCATGAAGGCGACAGGCGCGAGATTCGAGAAGTTACCGGCATATTGGTAGCGGTAAGTCGGCAGGCCAATACGTTCGCGGTTTCTAGTAAGTTTAGAGCGAGAACAACAATAAAGTTTAATGGACAGTGCCCCTACCTGACTCCAAGACCAACAGGACATGCGATTATGCTCTGCGTCAAGGCGAACAATGCTGCGGCACCGGGGCCAGCCAGTGTGAAGGGAACGAAACCCGCACCTTCATTCTCATTGCTTCCCATGATAGCGGGCTGTTGGAGGTAATCAGCACCTGATCAAACGGAAGGTAAGGTTTGTGCGCTTACGATCTTTGCCACCAGACCCCTCAACGCTCTGTCCGTGGTGTTGGAGAATACGGTCACGTTATCGCTTACTGGAACAAAAGCGATAGATGGTCTGGCCCCGCTACCAATATAGTTCGAAAGTGCGCTCTGCAGAGTGACTGCAGGCACGTCGCGCACGCAGGCTAGTCCAGCATCAGAGCTGAGACCTCGACAGCCAACAAGGCCGGCGAGGAAAGTAAAGTTGGTTTGTGCATAGTCTGCGCTGCTCCGAATGGTAGCGGAGCCAGAATCAGCAATCAAGCTGGATACGATGGGATCTTCCGGATAGGTATAGCCGTAAGTATCGACGCTGGCGGCGCCTGCTGATTGCCCTATCTACTGCTTAGCGCCAGAACTCTCTTTACAACCGACTGACTTACCCCAAAGTGTTATGCGCGATGTATCACCGCCGAAAGCGGCTATATTGTCCCTCGTCCATTCGACACTAGATGCGGCAAGTTGAGTAAACACCCGAGGCGATCTACAAGATATTGGACTTACGCCATCCTTTGATCAAGCAGTCCCACGTTTCGGTTTTCCAGCCCTTTCGCATTCGGGAATCCAAAGACGTTGACACGGTAGCTAGGGAACAGTAAGCATCGAGAGTGCGAACATGCTTGTAGGAGACCTACTTCATGATTACGACAATGTGCGATTGCGTACGCTGAACCCATGTGTCCGGAATCTTCGCAACCGAGTCGGCGCCGCCGCCCGTGAAGCCTCCTCCCGGAATATACACAAGCACGGGAAGAGGTCTCCGCTTCCGCCTGTGCGAATCTTTGACGACCGGCGCCCAGATATGGACGTACAAGCAGTCTTCCGATTGCCCTCCGTTGATAAGAAACTGCGGTACTACTTCTGTGTAGATCGTCGAAGCGTTGCTAAGTTGCTGCATGCATGATGGTGCAAAGGCGGTCGCCTTGATAGGCCCGCCTTTCTTCTTGGGCTGGGGGGGCGCAAACCGCAAGGCTCCCAGTGGTGCTTCAGCGTATGGAATACCGAGGAACTGGCGAACACCGGGGGTTGAGCTGTTGATGAACCCCTGGACTTGACCGGCGGTGGTTTCAACAGTCAATCCATCAAAACTGGGCTCCCAACAGCTAACATCATGGGCCAATACAGTAAGAAAAAGGAGCAACTGTTTGAAATGCATTCTGGAGCTCCACCGTCTCGGACTTGGACACGAAGCTCAAACGAAGTGGATCTTATGACGAATGACCCAAGAACAACAAAATAGAAGGCCTTCTTGTACGAACGACCCGCGACAGCAAGACAGAAATCCTTAAGGCAATAGGTAACCGTGCCATTCATATTAACACCTCCGGATGCTAATATGAACAGCACGGCTAAGCTATCTGGCAAAACATTTTACCTTCCTTGACCTCGTGGCTGATCATGCATCAATTAGAGGAGGCGGACTTAATATTCGTTGTCAGATCGGCTCGAAGATTGGAGGAGAAATTCACAAAGACTTGAGGTTTCCTTGTCAAGGATGCAGGAGCCGCATGAGCCGAGCCGCACTTCCACAGCGGGGTCCCCACACAGCACTAGGGCATTCAGCTTCGGCTTGTAATCGGCAGTTGCAATTACCTAGGTACCCGTGATTGCACGTGAGCTGAACATAAGCTGAAAGTAAGCTGATAGTAAGCCTCAAACTTACAACGCTATCTGAACGTAAGACCAGCATAGAAGAAGTTGACGCAATCATGGCAACCGTAAAAGATCCATACGCTACGACGCCCAAGATCGACTTCAACACATCGGCCGATGGCTCAATCCTTAAGGGCCAATCCGTGCTTGTAACTGGAGGTGCCAACGGAATCGGTGCGGGCATTGCCACTGCAATCGCTGAGGCCGGGTGAGTATGTGGCCAGTTCGAACAAGTCCGTAAGGCTGAAAGCTGCTTCCGGTAGCGCCTACGTTACCGTTGCGGATATAAACCCGACAGCGGGAGAGAAACTTGTTTCCAGTTTGGCAGACAAGGACCTTCAGTGAGTTGACAGTTCGTCTATGCGTTGCACAAAGTAACCTCGGATCCTTGAACATCTCATTGAGTTTGCTTTTGAAGGAACTTTGAATATTATATAGATGTAGTTTGGCCGGAATAGGTGCGCAATAGAGGGTTTAATAGACAGAGTCAAGTGGATAGATGCCTCGGTGTAAGAAGCGTTGCCGAAGCTGCCCTTTACAGAAGAGATTCTCAAAGTCATGATCATTCCCCTGGCATCCAACGAGACAAACGTCTCACTAAGTGCTATCACAGCGTCCAATTCTGCCACACAGACGTAACATCATGGTCCTCCCAGTTGGAAACCTTCAAGCGCGTCCTCTCCTTCTCGCCCTCTAAAACCATCGACATCGTCGTCGCCGTAGCGGGCCTATCCGGCATATCCCTCCGCCACTGGCTCAATGCCCCGCATACCGATGGCAACAGCGAGCCCACGCCGCCGCCCACGCGCGTCCTCGACGTTAACCTCACGGGGGTGTTTTACACGATGCATCTGGCATTGCACTACTTCCGCGAAGCCGGTATTGCTGAAAGTCCCGCGCCCTCGAAGCAGATTGTCTTCATGTCTTCGTTGGCGGGCTACTTGGCGCTGCCGATGTCTTGTGATTACCAGGCCGCCAAATTTGGCGTCCGGGGCCTGTTCAAGTCGCTGCGGACCAGGACGGGGGTGCTTGGGGAAGGAAAGCCGATGTTGAGATGCAACTTGATCGCGCCTACGTTTATCAAGACGCAGATGACGGCGATGCTTGAAGAGCCTTTGAAGAAGATCGAGATTCCGATGGCTGAGGTTGCGGATGTTGTGGATGGGTGTATGAGATTGGTGACGGATGAGGACGTTGTTGGTGCGTCATGAACAGAGTCTCTCCTTGCACCATCCGAGTGTTCTGTTATACGGTCTACCATGGCTGACTGCTACACGCACACAGGCCGCGCCATAGCCATTGCGCCAAGCCGCGACGGCAAACCCGGCAGCGGAAATTTTGACCTCTGCGATGATTACGAGGGACTGGATGGGGGAAGGGAGACTTTGAACAAGATCAGAGACGGGACACTGGGCGGGGATGCATTTGCAGATCTGGGTGTGATAACCGATGGACAAGCTTACACTGCCGCGCGGAAGTAGCATGGCTCTTCATGTAGGATCAGACAAAACGCTCAAGATTGTGGCCGAAGTTGAATCGCAAGGCTGACTCGTTGGGCAATGAAGGTGTATTCGGACTCGCAAGACTTCGATTGCGCTTGTGAGACGTCCTGTGGTTTGTGGCAGTGGGAATGGCGCATCAGGCTTAACGAGAAACGAAAATTCGGCTGAGGAATGGCTTGCAGCAATGGGATCGAGAAGTCAGACGCGTATGACTCAAATATAATAGGAGTTTGTCCGGTTCGCTAGGGTGATAGCAAGTTTGACGGCGACGCACCCATCGAACTCATGTCTGCGTAAACCTAGTAGAGCAGCCTTAGGTTGAGTACAGCCACGAGTGACATCAGACAGTATCCCATAATCCCGTTGCCCTTTCTAGACCGAACTCTTCCCTCCAGAACCGGCTTCTTTGGTTGCCTTCGATGACTATGTGGTACAACACAGCCTTGCCCAATCCCGTCCGAGGTCTACTTTGGCGCACCGCCTGTGAGAGAACTAGACCATACTTCATGGGGCCGCTGCGGCCTGACAAGGGCACTGACAGGATCAACACACGCTTCCCAGTGCGCTGGCAGGATCAGCGGTGATGCACAAGTCGAACCTGCAATCGCATCCCAGGCTGCAACGCTGCGAACACCTTGCGGATGGCACTGCGGATGCCTGCGCAGGCAGACCTTGGAAAAGCGGTGGTCTTGCTGGTATGCGCCAGCGGGCTCTGTTTCATGCGCCTTAGGACTAACCTTGACCTGGAAGTCGCTTTATCCCTTTGAGCCCTCAAGCCATGAGCCAGCGGCCCAGACACCAGCAAGACCTAGAAGCGTGGAAACACCAATGGCCTGCTTGGCCCAGCCATCGTCTGCCGCGACCTTTGCTGCGCCTACGGGCTTGCTCCTCGGTATTTGAGCCACTGGTTCCGCCGGGTCCACGCCAGGCAGTACAGCGAGCCCTGACGTATTTTGCCTCCTCCACTCCCTCTCAATCATCTTCCTCAGCTGCAACAGTTCCTCCCTCCACTCCGTCTCGTTTCCCAGCCCGGAACTGCCGTCCTCAACTTCTACGTTCTGGACATTGCCAAAGAAATCCATGACCAGCCTCTTCCTCGCCTCCTGTTCTCCCCCTGGAAACAGGTCGTACCGCACACCCGGATGGCTGTGAATCTTGCTCTCATCATAGCTGTCAAATAGATCACCGAGCGTCTTCTTGCTGCCGGGTTCGGTGACTTGAGTCTCGAGGAAGTCAAGGTTGTAGTAGGTGTATCGGTCTATCACCGCTACGCCGACATCGGCGTCCGCGTGGTGCGAGTACGAGGATTGGTCGATCTCGGAGGAGCCGGTGGCGATGATGGAGGGGGAGTAGAGCTTCGAATACATGGTGTTGGCTTGGCAGGTGTCTATCATAAAGAGCATTTCGTGGTATCTGCGAATCGGGCATTGTCAGCGGGGACTCCTTATACGCGGATTCTCATAATGTATTGGAAGAATGAATGCGTACCGCTTCTTTTCCCACATCTGCTCAAAAGCATCCGCGAGATCGAACGCACTGATCTCCTCCGCATCCTGAAACTTCAGAAACTCATTCCCGCCATGCCCAGTCATGTACACCAAGATATTGCTCCTCTCGTCCGTCATCAGCCTCTTGCTCCTCGGCATGTCCTCTCCCACTCGATCCGTTAACAGTCTGATGAATGCCTCCACCGTGACCTCGTACCCCCTGTAATCCACCTCGATGTTGTCGCCGTAGAGGTCCAGCGCGCGGTCGGCGTTGTTGTAGACGGTGCCCGGGAATGCGTTCCGCGGGTTGCAAGCCATATCATCGGGGAGCATGAGGATGATTTGGGAGTCGGGTATGCCGAGGCGCTTGACAGTGCGGTAGAGGGAGAGGACATTTGCAAGGTGCCGGTAGTTAAACCAGAAGCGGGAGGTAGAGACTAGCACGGCCCAATTGGAGGTGTGTTCGGCCGTAGAGAGGCTCAGAAAGAGTAGGACTACAAGCAGGAGGCATGTTTGGAGGGTGCTGAAGCAGGCCATGAGGAGTGCTGCGCGACACGCTTGAGAATTGTCACGGCTCGGTGACGGTACTTAGTTGGCGGACGGGGCTCAGCAAAAACGCGCCTGAGACATGCTTATAGCTTGTGGGAAACAAGTAGATGCCTAGGTAGTGCACGATTCTTGATGCTGCCGTCAGGTCGATGCTGGCGGTATTGGATTACGGAAATCTCGACGTCACGTGACAATTGGCTGTGAAATCATTAAACATTAACCCACCGAACAATGCAGATACAGCTTGATGTAACATCCATAGCATTTTAGTCAGAGCAGCTATCGCATTTCGAATGCGATAGCATGCCTGTTCATAACCTTCTAGCATGATGGCTGAAGTTACGCACATGAAATAAGGCTTCGTTGATCAAACCCAGCGGCCCACCAAAGCTACCGTTCTCCATCTACCCATCCAGACTCCCTCATGGTTTCCTCCGCTAATGTGCCCGAACCATGCTCTAGTCCCGAGGATCCACAGAATGGTACCAAGCTATCTGCAACGCGTTCTCTGGTCGGCTCATCATCGACATCTCCACGTACTTTTGCACATAGGAAAACCGAGACGGAGATCGGCCTTGCCAGCCTTCGCCGTCTAGCGCCCTTCGGATCAAGCTCGAAGCAGTGATTTCTGCTTTCTTGACGCGTAGCTTCGTGAATGGTTCCAGCAGCTTCTTGAGATACCTCTGCATATAGCACGATCTCACATCCCAGTCCTTGAGAAGCCGCAGGCGGATCGTAACGGTAGACAGCTTTTTGGCCTCCTTCAGTCCATGGATAACGTATCTGACGCTGTCCAACTCGTCTGGCTCACCATGCCGCTCACGCCCGTCCCCGATGTTCAAATCGATCTGTAACTTCCGGGCGTTGGCCATAAGCGGAGCATAGACCAGCGGCTTTACACGTGTCTTCTCAAAGCTGTGGCAGCCTTCGACACCAAAGCTCACTCCATTAGAGTAGATTCGAATCGCCGCTCCCAGGGTTCGGTAGAAGACGTCTGAAGCTTCGCACATGATGAACTTGTTGACATGGAAAAGGGCGGTGCAGTTCAAATTGCTCTTCTTCCGACAAACAACTTCGTCTTCGTCATGATGTGGTATCAGGTAGGCGTAGATCTGGAGGCGAAGTTCCACCGGCAGCCTCATAAAAGGGGAGCGAGGCCGCCGAGCCTGCAGAGCCCGCTTCGGGGTTCTCACTGACGGCTGGGCCGGCACGGCCTTGTTTGCGATTGGTTTAAGCGTCAATATAGGCAACTCGCGGCGTTCTCCACTCTTCTCGTGGCCGATGAGACATGTTGCAGCTTCGTTCTCCTGGTTTACCTAGTCAGCATTGAAATGCCCTCTCCAGATCTTGGAAGAAGATTGTTACCTCCGTTGGTGTCTTCAAGACAACGAGGCACTGCAGGTTGCGCGGCTGCGCGTTGGCGGTTAGGGAAGATTGATCCGACACAGAGTCACCCATAATCAAGCCCGCCGTCAGTTTGGATTGCCTGTGGTGTTTCTCATCTTTGACGTGATCGTTGGCGCTTGCAGCAGCTTGGCTTTCTCGCTTCGGCAAATCAGTCATGTGTGAATCTGTGAAGATCTCTCGCACAATAGAGACCTACACCCACCAGCGGCTCCGATACGAGGTACGAGTAATAGGGAATCATCGGATAAATGGGCAAACCGTGATACTCACTAGATGCCATCGAAGCTGTCGATTGAGAAGGATGGTGAGGCAAAGAGGATGAGAGTCGCACATAGTGGACGGCGCGAAAGTGAAGGGTTACACGGCTTGTGATGAAGGATGACGTCAAGTAATCAAACAGCGACGTAGGACGCAAGCAATGCGGAGTTGACATCAACGCCGATTAGCTCGGAGGGCTGCTTGTCGAGAAAGGTTTCAGTAGAAGCTACAACGACAAAGATGCGTGTTCATAGCGCGTAGTCGTTTGCACTGTCCTTCGCCGCATTGAAAGCTCCTCACAATCCTGGGGGTGGATAGCCAAAAGGACAGTCCACGGATTTGAAACACCTTGCATGATCGATGCATTAAAAAGCTGAATTGCTAGGCATCTTTTAATCTCTATCGCATGGAAATGGTCTAGCTGCTCTACAATTGATAAGATCATGAGCCCAGTTTCATGGCGAATCAAATTGAAATGTTATGATCGTGAGATCTCACCGTTTTCCAATAGATAGAAGAGCACAAGGGCTACGCCGCGAAGCAATCCTCTCATGCTTGATAGTGCGTGCAATAGAGCAATTTGTGAGATGTGGCTGAGGACACCAGGAAGTTCGCGGCCATAACTGAAAACGGCTGAACACAAAAGGGATTTGAGGATGCCAGCCAGATGTACCGCAAACAAAAATAGCAAAACTGTACTACCGAACCCTAATGGATTCAATCGACTGTAGTACAGAAACCCCGTTCGGATTTCGGGATTTTTTCTCCAACGTGAGGATCCATATGCGTCCTTGCGGAGCTGGAGATTCAACGATGGGCGTTAGGGGTTCCTCCTTGGACTCGAACCGGCGGACGGGGAATTATTTCCGAAGAATACCCACACACCCTTTGGTGAATCGAGGAAACCGGGTCCCCTTACGACTTGGACACATGGGAAATCGAGCTTTGCAAAATATAAAGCCTAGGTAACCAGCTCCCGCGAAGTGTGACGGCCGCTCCTTCCAGTTCGGTGCCGGCGCCGGGTAAATTGCGTACCCATTCTCTCGCATGCCCGCACTCGGCCAGTCTCACACATGATGCCCAATGCCCAGCTTCCGCTGCAGTTGACAACAACGCGCACCGACTGTTGGAATGTTTCAACAGGATGATTAGGCCATCCATCTGATGTGCCTTATGTAGGTGCTCTAACGTCCCATGCACACCAACCGGCGGGAAGCTCGTGAAGATACGGAACCGCGACGCCACTACGCGCTCGTTGCACACCGACGGCGAACTGTCGTCAGCGGTACACATATCGAACATTCGGAATATGCAGAGGCACAGATAATGCGATCATCGACACGGACGTGACAGGAACGAACACAACCGCATTGGGGGAGGGGCGAGAGGTCCGAAGAAAAGAGCGAAAGAGTGCGACTACTAGAGAATGGAAGAAGAGGTGCCTGAGCTTGGCTTAACGAAGACGGTGAATGGGAGGTGAAGAACTAAGCCGAACGAAAGGGAGCTTCGCCGGAGAGCCGCACGCAATAGGGGGCTCCCGCCTATGCGTGCGTCATCTGATGGGCGCCTCACTTCTTGATGATCATTAAGCCGTCGCTGCTTACCGAACTCAGGGTGAATAGAGCAAATGGCGGACGGTGGCTGAATCTGGGTGATACACCCTGATGGTGCTGATGCGAAGAGGACGTAGCTTATTGTATATCCATACGCTCCCAGCTTGCTTCGCCTCATACGGCTCTTTCTTCTTCACTGAACTCTCCACCATAAGAAGAGAGAGAAAGGCAAGCCGCGCTGCAGATATTAGTCCAGCAATATAGATATCCGTAGCCCGTCTTTTCGAGGTCCATAGTGGGAACTCCTCTTGCACTGGGAACGTATCACAACCACCGGTAACGTACCATAAGTCGTGAGCCGCTTTTCGTGCGAACTTCTACTCAGAGATGTCTCAATATTTCGAATATGTTGCCTTAACACATGAGTCGAAACCATCTGCCTGCACTTCATCGGTCCTTTTCACGCTATTCATAGCTTTAGGAGGTTATTGAGAACAGAGATAAAATTCTCATTCTTTCAGTTGAGGTTGACTCAAGCTCGCGCCGATGCCCGTTGAGATCCATGCAAATCCATGCAAGCGAACCCCTAACCTTGCAGCCACCAAGCCCGTCCGGGCAGCTCCCGATGATGCCGACCCGCCCATCATCAGCGGCGCTCACAGCTCCTTCGAACACGCCGTTGCGTCACCGATGTTTGGATACGAGCGGCGCATGATCGCCTCGGTTCTCCGATCAATGATTGTATCTGGACCCCTCTTCTTCACGGGACCGTTCTGCGGCGCGGCTTCGTTAGACCCGGGGCTATACTAGAGCTGCTCGTTAGGTTCATAGAGGATGAGGGCCTCGTAGAAGGCTGGTGCGGCGCATTCCTTTTCCTTTGCTTCAGACCACCCAAGAGCGTCATACGAAGGATTCACACAGCCACCTCCTCTTTTCTCAAATTTCTATATAGCAATAGATACATTTTATCCCGACTACTTCCTCGTACAACTCGCGGGCTCGCTGGCTCGCTGCCCAGCTCACCATAGCTCACAATGCCTACCACAGATGAGATTACCCAGCATGACCATATGCACGCATGGTCCTCAGCCATCAACAAGCCCCAAACAGCTCAAGAGGTTGACGCCGGAGCTCCGCCCGAGAAGTCTACATCTTCAGGCTTACAGAAGACCTCGTCCGGCCTTGAAACTACCCGCCAGCGCCTCGGCCTCCACCCCACCGCACCCATTTCAGAAGATCACGATGTCGCGCCCCATCAAGACCTTCTCTGGAGTCGCGTTCGACTGACCCTTCGAGAGCCATTCGCCGAGTTCTGGGGTACATTCATACTGGTGCTATTTGGGAACGCAAGCGTGGCCCAGGTACTTCTAAGCCAGCGACTTGAGACAGCGCCCGGTGCCAATGGCTTCGGGGAGTATCAGTCAATCTCCTGGGGGTAAGCAGCCCAGCAATCAAGCCAGACGGGAGCTGAAGAACGCACCGGCTGACCAACTGTAGCTGGGGCTTGGGCGTGATGCTCGGCGTGTACGTCGCAGGCGACTCCGGTGCCTACCTCAACCCCGCCATCACCTTCTCGAGCTGCCTCTACCGCGGGCTACCCTGGCGCCGCTTCCCGCTGTACTTCATCGCGCAGATGCTGGGCGGCTTCGTGGCGGCAGGAGTGCTTTACGCAAACTACGTAACGGCCATCGACGACTTTGAGGGATACGGCATTAGGACTGTCCCACCGATTCCGACGGCTACCGCGGGGATCTTCTGCACGTATCCGCAGACGTTTTTGACAAAATCAAGCCAGTTCTTTTCGGAGTTCATTGCTAGTACTTTACTTATGTTTGTCATCTTTGCGCTGAAGGATGATAGTAACAACGGCGTTAGTAAGGTGAGTCTGTAGCAAGCTATCTAAGCGGCTTCAGTGACTTACAGCTCCACTAGGGCGGCGGGAACTGGTTTCCTCTGGGTCTCTTCTTCCTCATCTTCGGCCTCGGTGCCTGCTTCGGCTACGAGACCGGCTATGCCATCAACATGGCTCGAGACACCGGACCACGTCTAATGTCCTACTTCCTTGGATACGGCTCAGAAGTTTGGTCTGCTGGAGATTACTATTTCTGGGTGCCCATTGTGGCACCGTTTCTGGGTTGCGCGTTTGGTGGGTTCTTGTATGATGTGTTCATCTTCACCGGTAAAAGTCCGGTCAATACGCCGTGGATGGGGCTTAAGAGGGTGGCGAAGCCGAATGAGGCGTGGAAGGCGCATAAGGCGCATGAGAGAAGGGTGAAAGAGGAAGGGATCGTTTGAGAGGCATTTTGGGATTTATCTGGTCAGGCCAAAACAGGGTTGGATAACAATGATGCCTCTTATGGGATTGTAGATTTATATGGTGCTTATCGCCTCGAAGATTAACGTTCAAGTTGTACCAAATCCCCACCGCTGCACGTTAGGTACTTTCTGCTCTAGGTATCGCCGGCTACCAGCAGCGCTGGTCTTGTCACGGTATGCGGATAGAGTTGCACATATTTCATAGGCCGATGGTCACCAATCAGTTGAAGACATGTTACATCTTCAGCTGTAGGAAGGAAATGAGGAACCGTATTCATTGGTAATGCCCAAAAACTTTGTCGTCCTCGCAGCTCGTAATTGCTGAGCATGATCCAAAGCTATACAAAGCCGCAAATTGGCTGAAGCTTGTCCGGGTAAGACCACCAACTGGGCCTCAGCGTAAAATGGGATTTTCACGACTGCTTGCTTATGATGAATGCCAGAAGGGGTCGGACTGAACCTGGAAGAGCAATTGCTGCAGTATGGGTATCGCGATCGATTCCGGGGTCGCGTCCCGACGTCATGCCGGCGATTGGTCGCGATCTGCCGAGAAGCTTAACGCGACGCGACTTGACTGTTTCCACGACACTGCAGTCCTCCAGCACATGCTACATCTTACACACCACAGCTATACCATACAAGTCCACCAACGCGTATGAGATTGCAAGCTGTATAAGATCAATTCCTTCCTTTCACATCTCCTCCGAACACCATGTACCTCCCACGAAACCTCATCTCACATCTCTACAACCACCTCCTCCGAACACACCATCAGCACTCCCCACCAGTCCTGATCCTCGTGGCACTCGAACCAGACGCTCTATGCGCCTGCCGCATCCTTACCGCTCTCCTAAAACGCGACTACATACAGCACAAGATTCAGCCCATATCCGGTTATGGCGACCTCACGCGTGCGGGCGAGGAACTCATACAACCTATGCGAACGACAGACGGCGGAAGCGGAGGGGTGGTTGTATGCCTAGGCGTCGGAGGCCTTGTGGACCTCGAGGCTATGCTCGGACTCGAAATTGACGAAAATGGCGAGGGCGGAATGGGTGGTGTTGATATATGGATCGTGGACGCGCGAAGGCCGTGGAATCTGGCCAACGTGTTTGGAGAACAAAGTCTACCCCAGGCAGACCCTACGCAGTCTGATCTCGTTGCACGAAAGACCTCTGGTGTAGAAAGAGGCAAGATTTCGCAAGCGTATAGGCCTGGAAAGGGCGGTATCATCGTCTTTGACGACGGTGATGTTGAGGAAGAGTTGGGTGGAGAAAGAGAGGCATGGTGGGCGCTTGCACAGATGCCGGAGGTTGACGAAGATGATGGCGAGTCTGATGGCTCCGACTCTGAGCAGGATGACGGCCAGGAAGACGAAGACGCGCCAACATCTGGACAGCCGACCAAGAAGCGTAAATCACCGTCAGATCCAGACGATGAGACCCAGAGTGAGGATGAGAATGAGAGACCGAGGCAAAGATGGAGAGGCAATTCGGTATGTGTCTGGCACCGCGGGTAAACAAGTCCAACGGCTAATGCTCCCTTTAGTCCACTCCCATATCATCACCATCTCGACCGCCACGTCGCGGACTTTTGTCAACCTCACTCGATCCATTACATTCTTCCGACCTCTCTCGATCCGGATCACCCGCCAGTCGCTCCGCTTCTCCCTCATTGCCCACTACTGCAAAGCAACCATCTGCACGCAATCTCCGCCGCCGGCTTCTTCGTCTTCGCCGGAAACATGACGCTGTTCTCCAGTCTTACTACGAGCTCGGCCACTCCTACTCCGAGCCCATCTCCTCACTCATGTACTCGCTCGCATCCGAGCTCGGTCGAGAAGATAATGATCTCCTCTGGCACGCCATCGTCGGGGTAGGCAGCCTCGAGCTCTACGGCCGCACAATGCGAGGCGTCGGCCTCAGCCCTCTATCAGCAGCTGGCGGCTCCTCCGGCTGGAATGGTGACCGCGGCGAGCGAATACGCGCCATTCTTCGCGACGAAGTCCGGCGTCTCAATCCCACCGATCTTAAGGATATTGCGCGCGAAGCCATGCAGGGTGAAGCAGGCGGTGTGATACCCACGCATGCACGCTCGCCCACTGACATGTCCATCCGCCTCTCTCCCGAACCTCGCTTTTTACTCGTCCGCCACTGGAGTTTGTATGACAGCATGCTGCACTCACCCTACCTATCCGCGAAACTGCACATCTGGAGCGACAACGGCCGCCGCCGCCTGCACAAACTCCTCGCCAAGATGGGCGTGAGCCTCAGCCAGTGCAAACAGAGCTACACACATATGGACATGGATCTCAAGCGTGGGCTACGTGAGAGACTTCTCAAATTCGCTCCGGTTTATGGCCTCGATGGCCTGGTACCGCCGCCAGCAACTCGCAGCGGCGGGAAGGAGGGCTGGGGCTTCGTGCGTTGCTGGGGCTGGAAAGCGTGTCTCTCTGCGCTGGATGTTGGCGTCGTCCTCGGCGCTATCCTCGAAGTCGGCAGCAAGCACGACACAAAGACAAACGCCGTTGTCGACCGCCGCACCGGAACCATCACACCAGCCGGCAGCGACGGGCCCGAAGAAGAAGAGTCAGGCCACGAGGAGATGGTGCAGCGGTTTTGGACGGCGTACGACGCGCTGGCTTCGATCGACCGGCTTACGGCGCATATACCCACCGCGCAGAGTTTGCATCGCGCGATCCTAAGGACGGGGACCAGTCTTATTGAGAAGAAGCAGATTCGACATCTGCGCGCGTTCCGCATCGCGGTTGTTAAGGAGGGCCCGGATGTGCAGCTGTTCACGCATGCGGGGGCGCTCGTGAAGCTGGCATTATGGATCGGGGAAGCGATCGGGGAGATGGAGGGCGTGAGAGGCAGGAGGAGAGGCGGAGAGCTCGTGCTCGCCGGCCTGGACGAAGCGAGAGGATGTTATGTCGTTGTGGGGCTGGGAGGTGGAGGGGGCATGGTGAATAATGAGCGCGAGAAAAGGCGCGCAGAGCGGAAGAAGGAGAAGGAGAAGAGGAAGGAGGAGAAGCGGAAGCAACGAGAGGAGCGGAGGAGACTGCAGAGGGAGCGGCAGGCGGCTAATGGGGAGCTTGATGATGAGGATGAGGAGGAGGATGAGACGGAGGAGGAGAGTAGTGATAGCGACGAGAGTGAGGACGAGGCGGAAGAGAAGAAGGAGAGAGGGTATGGGAGGAACAAGTTTGGTCTTGCGTTTCACGAGGTCATTGAGGAGACGGGTGCAAAGGTCAAGGTTGATAGCTTTGAGCACTGTGTCGTTGAGGTTGGCAAGGAGGACCTCACAAGCTTTCTAGAGGCCTTGAGCCTGAAGGCTGTTGTAGGGTAGATGGACCAATCAATCGTTTGCAAGCATTCTATCCATTGCATGCTATCATTGATAACTACCCGAACAAGAGACCTGCAACTGCCTGAAGCATCTGTTCGTGAAACTCTAGCTTCCAAGTTTCATATGCTGAGGCCAGCTACATGATAGCTTTCATAATACCTAGGTACCGACCTTACTCCGCACGCATCTACCCTGTTCTTAGCGGGGGCTGAGTAGGGCTGAAGCCAAGACGGCCGTGGCTGGGAGAAGGCGCGTGCGTGCCGGGAGGCATGAATCAGGTTCAGGTTCCGTTTGACGCGGATCCTGAGGTTTCGAATGTGTGCTCTCTCATGCAACACATCATGGCAGACAGATACCACCTCAAACACACGATCAACTACTAGCGCAATCATTCCACCATTCCACAGTCAGAAGTCACGCCTCCGAGAAACGCGGCACAAAGCACCAACACTGACCGGCTGCCGTCAGCATCCGTTTCCGAATCCTCCCTTTATAGAGCACCTGACAAATCCGCCTCTCTTCTTAGGTAGTCTCATCAACTCTCTTGCAAGTCAGAAATCAGCAAGGTATTGCTAGAGTATCAATCGTTTAAAGCGCTTTCAAAGCACCCTCATAAGCACAGCACTCCTTGACACCAATACACCAAAGTAAGCCGCGCTTCGCCAGGGATTGGTCTTTTGATATGCTTGAGAGGGAGGGAAATCACCATGGCTGAAATCGAGCAGCTGGAAGTGCACAGCAGGGTATTGAGCCCCCAACTCCGATGCTATTGGGGCATGAGGCAAGCTGCAGTACTGACTGTATCTACTGAACAGTCTTACCTGATCCGATGGGTCAATGTACCGTCCGGCCACACCATCTCCTGGACCATACAACCGCACAAGAAGTCGCTCAACTTTGGAGTTTTCAAGCATCCCGGAGGGCACGGCGGCCTCGCTCCGAATCTGCCTCCGTCTAGCGCGACACTTGATCCTCCACCAACGCCAGGTCTAGAGAATGCTACGCGCCCACGGGGCATGTCCAACGCGGAGTCTCGGAATGACAAGAGCAGGGTTATAGAGAAGCTGCAGGCTCTCGGCATGAAGTGCGTAGCGTGGGCTGGAAAAGTCGAAGCCGACAAGGCCTCGACGGGCAAATACGACGTACCGGAAGGTGAGGGCGGCATGTACGGCCTGGTCTTCGACAACACCTTCTCGAAACAGGTCTCAAAGACGGCGACTTTCGTGGTCATGACGTACCCAACTTCAGCGCCGCCGAGATCAGGTCAACAGCTGCGCGTGTTGCAGGCGCCGCCTAACGCCAGCACAATCAGTCTTGCTGCCCAGCGAAGCCCCGGCCTGCCAGCCATCAGCGACTCGACTGAATCCTTACCTCAAGAGACCCGACACGTGTCTGCGACGGAATCGCGGCCGAGATCTGCAGCCGGGACGGATACGGACACTAGAACTGCGCCGCCATCCACATGCTACACTGGGGTTTTGTGGAAGAAGCGCAGAAAGAAGAACCAGACTCCTGCCAGGAGGTTCTTTTCGCTGGACTTCACATCCTCGACACTCTCGTACTATCACAATCGCCATTCCTCCGCTCTTCGCGGTGCCATTCCTCTAGCCTTGGCTGCCGTCAGCGCAAATGAGAAGACAAGGGAGATATCGATCGATTCGGGCGCCGAGGTTTGGCATCTTCGAGCGAGCAACAAAAAAGATTTCGATGGCTGGAGGGCTGCGCTGGAAAGGGCAGCTAGGGCTGCGGGATCGCTGGATTTCATACAGGATGAGCCTTCCACAGAACTCCGACCCGCCGATCAGCCAGTCAACCCAGCCGAAGAGCGGGAGTGGGGCAAAGTGGAAGCTCTTGTTGGCCGTGTCGCCGGGACCAGAGATGCTGTACGCAGACTAGCTAAGGACACGGACCCGAAATATCTGCCGGCTATGGCTGGCATTGGAGCACAAATGTCGAATGGCAGCAGCGCAGCACCGAGCCCATCAGAGACAGGGCCACAAGAGTACTTCAAAGACGAAGGGCAACACCCTGAGAAGCTCCCCTTCTGGAAGCGGAAAGCAAGCAGCTCCCGTGAGAGCCCGTCTGGGCTTTTCCGCCGAAGTCTGTCAGCTCAGCACGCTGTACCGCCCCCTTCGAATGTACCTCCCGTGCCGGCGCTTCCGCCTGGGACCATCAGCTTGCCAAAACGGCAGCATCGTCACAGTCAGGTCCCACCAGAAGATAACGTGCATGAGCGTTGTATGGCGATTCTGCGTGATTTGGATACAGTGGTCGAAGAATTCTCTGCATTGATTGCTGAGAGCAAGGCGAGGCGCTTGCCACCTGCTACGCCGGCAGTCCGGAACAGTATCGACTCGGGGTCATCCGACGAGTTCTTCGATGCGCCTGACGGAGAGACTATGCGGTCGCAGATACTCACTATGAGACGTGACAGCGATGAAACTGAGGAGAAGCCTGATGAAATATCAGAGGACGGATCAGACTCGAGCAGCGGCGATGAAGGCTTGGGCAGCTTCGACAGGCAGGGCCGGGAGGGACAACCGTCCCTGTTCCCGCCGAAACCCAAGTCGCTTACACCATTACCGCTCGACCCTGTGCCCAGGCGGAAGACCGTGCCGTCATCTAGAGCCAGCCCACCCAGCCTCATTGGGTTCCTCAAAAAAAATGTAGGGAAAGACCTTTCGACAGTCGCCATGCCTGTTTCAGCGAACGAGCCTACATCTCTCCTCCAGCGCGTAGCCGAACAGCTGGAATACTCGGAACTTCTAGACGCAGCGGCATCAGCGCCTGTGGAGTTCGGAGAGCGCCTTCTCTACATCACCGCTTTTGCCATCTCCTCCTTCTCCAATTCACGAGCAAAAGAACGCGCCATCCGCAAGCCTTTCAACCCAATGCTAGGTGAGACCTTCGAGCTCGTCCGCGAAGACAAAGGCTTCCGCTTCGTCGCCGAGAAAGTCTCGCATCGACCCGTGCGCATGGCATGTCAGGCCGAGTCTGAGCAATGGACATTCCTGCAAAGTCCGATGCCGGTGCAGAAGTTCTGGGGCAAGTCCGCCGAGCTCAACACCGACGGCCGCGTGCGCGTGTTCTTGCATGCCACCAACGAGCACTACAGCTGGGTCGTCGCGAAGTCCTTCCTGCGCAACATCATCGCAGGCGAGAAGTACGTCGAGCCTGTCGAGACGATGACGATCGTTAACGAGACTACGGGTGCCAAGGCATTGGTCACGTTCAAGGCGGGTGGCATGTTCGCAGGCAGGAGCGAGGAAGTGACCGTCCAGGCGTTCGGGGAGGACGGCGAGAAACTGCCACTTGGCTTGATAGGCAAATGGACCGACCACCTCAACCTCACTAGATCGGGTGCCGATACAGGCAAGACCATCTGGTCCGTCGGCGCCCTGGTCGACGATCCGGCCCAGCACTTCGGCTTCACGACCTTTGCGGCCAGCCTCAACGAAATCACGCCCGTCGAGGAGAATGAACTCCCGCCTACGGACAGTCGCCTAAGACCCGACCAGCGTGCCGCAGAGAACGGAGACCTGGACAGGGCGGAGGCGCTCAAAGCTCGGCTGGAGGAGAGGCAGAGGGCGAGAAGAAGGGTCATGGAGGAGCATGGCGAGGCGTGGCAGCCAAGGTGGTTCGCTAAGGCCAGTCCGGAGGGTGAGGCGGAGGAGGTCTGGCGGTTGGTGAGCGGGAAGGAGGGGTACTGGGAGGAGAGGAGTAGGGGGGAGTGGTCGGGGGTTATGGACGTGTTTCAGGGTTAGAAGGGGGTGGAGAAGAGCTGTAGCGGGTGTGAGCTGTTAGCGAGAATACCATTTTGTTGATTCATTCGCCTGGAAAACTCGCTTCTCATCTTTCACAAACCCGCTATACTCCCCCCGGTACAACTCGGACAAAAACCATAATCTATTCCAGCACGTGAGTCCGCGAAGGCGTGCTCCTTATCGATAACACCCATCGCGTCCACCCACCGCGTCCACCCACTGCTGGAGGCACATGGCATTGAAAGGTAAGTCGGCCATCGCCTCTTCAATCGCGATTGCGATACAGGAAAGCCCACCATGGCCGTCACGATGAGCTCGCAAGCATCCTTTGTCACAGCTCGCGAAGCACCCGAGTCCACCACCTCTCAACCGTCCAGCGAACCACGCTCCCAAGCCGCTCAGTCAATACCAGACACCCCTCTCCAACCACTTTACCGTCCTTCTAAGCCCCTAACCTATGCCGTCCGCAGCCACATATCCGTGTACCTCGAAGGCTCAATGTGTAAGCTACCGCTCACCACCCTAGCCGGCCTCAGCCCCCTGTTCCTCCATCAGGGAAAGTCCAGGAGCTGATGCGTCAACACGTGTCCCGCAGACCACGAAGCCTTTACCTTCCTGACACACCTCCTCAATGCCGGCACTGATATCTCAACACCCCACAGGCTGTTTCCGGCCTCCATCCCCCCGCCGCAGTACCTCGCCATGGCGGCAACACTGGCCGTACACCCCTCGCTCACCACGCGTACCGAAGACCGAGAGAAGCAGAGCGCCGCCAACTCAGCACTCCGCTACCTCCGGCTCGCCAACCGCGTCGTCGGCCCCCTCAACTCCGACCTCAGCGCCGCCTTCGCCTTCACCGAGCCCGGAAGTCGCACAGCGCGACGGCGTCGAGGCAGAGGCGCGGGCCGAACCGAGAGCCCTGACGAGGGCAGCGATAGCGGGGGCGCGAGTATTAAGAGTAGGTATGCGGAGAGAGACTCCGTCTTCGCGCGCGGCGGCGACTTCTGGCAGGTCGTCGGCTGGGCGTTCAACTGCTCCGTGCTGCATCCACGCCGCTGGCAGCGGTGGAGTTTGTGGTTGGAGATGGTGCTTGAGGTTCTGGAAGCGGATCTGGAGGCGCGGATCGCGAATGTGGAGGAGGCCACGAACAGAGGGGTTGTTTCGGGGGCGGAAGACACGATTATACAGAGTTTGGTTGTGAGGTACATTGAGGATGCGGGACAGGGCAGGACGGCGTGGCGGCGTATGATGCGCGCGGTGCTGGCCGATGGGAGCAAGAAGGCTGTTAGTGAGTTTGGGGAGGTGTGGGAGGGTGAGGCGAGGGAGCCGCGGAAGATGGAGGAGAAGAAGGCCAGGGCGAGGGAGGTGGATATTGAGGGGGATAAGTGGGGGGATTATGATCTTAGTGATGAGGAAGATGAGGTTGTGAACGGGAACGAGTCACATCTTCGGGTCAGATCATCAAGAAATTCGACACGGCATACGTCTGATCATTCCGAGCAAAGCGACTCCGAAGGGCTCAATGAAGAAGATGCGGTGAAAGAGAGCAGCTCGGAACATCTACTAGGCGGCCTAGATTCGATTCTGCTACGGCAGCGCACCATGGCTCTGGTATGTCTTCATATCCCGAATATCACAGAACACCCAGCCACTCACTTACTCTCAGCTCTCCAAAATCTCCGAACTCCGCCCAAGCGCCCTAACCCACCAAGGCGAGCTCTTCGACGTCTTCACCGAATTCCTACGCCCCCTCCCCCTTCCCACCTTCAGCACCATCCTTACAACCTCCGCCCTCTCCCCCGCAACCCTCGCATCCCTCTGCGCCAACCTCCTGCTCCCGCTCATCACCACCGCACCTCCCAACTACAACACCCTCCTCCTCTGCCAACCCGACCTCGAGCGCTTCTTCCTCCCCGCGCCCGCGAACGGAAACAGCTACGTCGACAACGCGAAAGTGTCGCTGCTGCTGCAGACAATTGTGGTGCAGATGTTCGCGAGCGGGAGGATTGTCCCCACAGAGGCGTTTGGGGCGGCGGTTGAGGAGGGGGTTAGGGCGAGGAGGGAGAAGGCGATTGGGGATGCTAGGAAGAGGGGGAAGGGGAGGGAGGGGGAGGAGAAGGAGGCGAGGGGGGTGTTGGAGGGGAGTGAGAGGTTGTTGATGGTTGTGCTTGAGGTTGTGGAGTCAGGTTAGTCGCTTTGCTTGCATACGTTGCTTCTCATGGATTGGCGAAGCGATGAAAGCGGTAGCCGCAATTGTCAGCCTCGTGCACTCAGGCTACCAGTGATCGAAGTCTGGCTTGCTGTATTAGCTCCCTTGTCTCCCTTTGCGCCGTGCTCAAATCAGTTGCTTTTGCTTCATATATATCTATACACACCTAACCATACCATAGCCGCAGGAATCAAACGCAACCGACCACCCCCTTTCGATCCCTCGGACTCAGACTCGCCTCTTTCGTCAGTCCCACAGCTATCGTTACCGTCGCAGTCGTCTTCTCTCTCATCTGTTATAAGCGAGCTCGAGGATGAGGACGACGACGAAGATATGCTAGATGAGATCACAGTCAGGGTACCTGGTTTGTGATCTGTTATTCTTACTTTCGGGCCGTGGGACTGGCGTCGGCGTTTGGCTCTGGTAAAAACACTGCGCGAGGAAGATCTGTCATACGTCGACGACGGCTTCTAAGAGGCGTCTGGGGTCGGAGCAAAGAGATTCTGTTGGATACCAGCTTTTCCAAGTCTAGAGCACGACATCCCTGTCATCCACAATTTCTACAACACGGTATTCCTACAGATTCCATTCTACTACACACCCAAGTCCGACCAACCTCTTTCCAAACCCCTTCACAACTTTCCCATCCAGCGACTTCCCTCCCACCCCCAACCCTGCTGCCGCAACGCGTGCCCCCTTCATCGCCCAGTAAACGCAGAAGTGTTCTCCCCGCTCTGCTTCGAGCTCGACAGGCCCGCCGCCCCGCCCTCGAACGTGCTCTTCATTGTGTCCTCCTTGTCGCCTTTGGAAGCGCCGAGGTGGGGGCCGGACGCGTCGCTTACGCCGCTGGGTTTGCTGTTCAGGGAAAGGTTAGGTACTGATCGCTTCATGAGGATGGACGAGCGCGAGGGCGGGGGCGAGGGGGACAAGTAAAGAGGAGGGGAGAGGTGGATAGGTAGGGTTACTCTTTGCCAGTGATCTTGTCCTTGATCTCTTTTCCGAAGCTCTTGACTTCGTCTTTTGAGGCTTCCGCATTGGAGCCATGCGGCGCACCTTGCATCTCAGGCATTTTTGGCGGTGATTCTGCTTGAGAAGACCGTTGAGGCTTATACGATATGGTAATCTTCGATGTTCGAATTCGCGAAGTGTGTAATGCAGGTTTTTTGCCCTTGCTGCACTACCACGTTGCTTTATACTCCCATTCTGGGCGCTGAGGTCACCTAGAACTTAAAGAGGAGATCCCTGGGGCGGGGTAAGAGCCGCGGAAAAGCTCCTGTACATGAAATACATCATACGCGCATCCCAGGATGCTAGCAGGTTGCAAGCAGTCGCGCATCACGGGGTCAGTGTTGGTGTTGTTGTTCTGATGGTGATTGGAGCGCGTTCTGGCTGCGTTCCGGCGGTCCGACAACCCCATAGAGAGGGCATTTCCCAGCTGATATCACTGCTGTTCAATGCAAAAAATCGCCAGACTAGGCGATACGAAGAAACGACAGTTTTATGAATGCATCTTTTCTCGTCGACAACGATATATCTAGGTGCTCTAGCCTTGAGCTAGATTGATCATGCTTACTTCTTTTCTACCCCATCATCACGTGACAGGCAGAATTATCATTGATCCGCTTCACGGTATCCGCGAACTATTTACCAAGACATTGATTCTGCTATGCTCACTGTCCCATATGCATAGCTTGGCTGTGTGCTCTGCGCCCCTTAGCATGTCCTGGATGACTGCGGCTCAGATCCCCTCGGGCTCTATGTTGGTGTACGAGAACACTAAAGAGAGCGTCGCTTGTCTAACTAGCAAGGCAAAGAAGATCGTAACCAGTCAGAATCTGCGAGCGGACTTGAATAGTAATGACGGCAGTCTATCGGGTATGAAGAACCAAGGATTGCGAGCCCACTTTAGGGGGCATGACAAACTCGACATCCAGTCGGACATATATCCAGAACTTCCTTGTGTGGAATGAGACCCCATTGCGTGATGCCCTTCGAAACGTGTGACGCTTGAGAGAGGCCGAGAAGGCACTCTATCAGAGTCAAGTCGAGCAACAGGTTGACGGAACAACCTTGCACTCGATGAAGAATATGGCACAGCGCAGCCGACGAGCACTTCGTCGAACTACGCCCTGACACTTGCCCAGTCATCCCGCTGACCTTTGTGAATTCTGTGCCAGAGGTCCCCTCCCAATAGCCGAGACCTTCCCTCGATCTAACCCGCACCGTATCACGCCCCAGCCAACCTCGCCTCCGTCATCTCCTTCTCCCTCGCCGCAATCTCCCGCAGCTCATCCTTCGTACTATCGAACCTCCCGGCGACCTGATTAAACGGGTTCTCTGGACTCTTCTCAAACTCCTTCCTGATCTGCTCAATCTTCTGCTGCCGCCTGAGCCCCTTCTCGTCCTTCATCTCGTCCAACCGCCGCTCCTCGTACGCGGTATACGCCGCTTTGAACCTCCTCTCGGGATGCCTGTCAACCTTGTCCTGTGCGCCGGAGGCGATGTCGAGGGCGTCAAGCGCGTCGTCGATATTTGTGGCGTTGAGGGCGCTGGATGAGCGGGTGGAGGAGGCGGTGTCGGTATCGAGGGAGGCGAAGGCGGAGTCGATGCCCTTGGTCTTCTTCTGCGCGGTTTTGGTGCCTGCGCCTTTAGGTTTGGAGGGCAGGGCCGCTTCTTCGGCCTTGAGAAGGGCGTCCTTTTCGGCTTTCTTGCGGGCGGCCTCGGCTTGCTTCGCTGCTGCGGCTTCACTGTTGAGGTGTCAGCTACTATACCCGATCCACGAACATGGTGGGAGTTGGGATGGGTAGAGGGAGCTTACGCCTTCGAGTTCGACTTTGCGCCCTTGGACCATTCGGCGTCTTCTTGTGCTGATTTTACTTTGTCTGCCGCTGCTTGCTTCTGGGCGGCGGCTTCGGCTTTTTTGGCGTTGCCGGCGACTTTCTTGGTGTTTTCGCCCTTGTTCTTGGGCGCCATTCTGTAGATGGGAGTGCGCGCTGTTATGTTGTTTAAACCTAAGGTCTTGGAGGCTATTATGGTGGAAGACCTGCTGAGGGTACTTTTGTGGAGCTGCTACGTGCTGAATCCGGCTGATAAACCGTCAAGGCTGGGTTTTGTTAAAGAAGTTGCCTGTTGTGGCGCTCAATGCGGATATGGATGTTTTTGGCGGGGCAAAATCAGGGTCTGGTGGTCGAGTCAGGATTCAAGAACGCACGTGAAAGCCTGGCTTCTCTTCTTTGTCAGGGCCAAGATTGCGGTATGAAGAGCAACAACACACCCTACGTTGCCTTGACTCTATAAAAGTTGCCACTCGAGCAATGAGAGCTCAAAGTGGGTGTCCACCATAACACAGTTACTCGTACGGCAGATGTCATCCGGATATGCCCGCTGTCGGTCGTCAGCCTTCACCATCTAATCTAGCCATAGCATCTGGCGTATGGAGTGCCCGAGTGATGCGAGAAGAGGGTCACGCTTGCAGAGTAAAGTTTGCTGCAGCGCCAAACGCAATGCCACAGGTTGTCTTTGCGCTGCCTTCGCGTAGGGGGTATTGTAAGTACAACGCGCCAGTGGACCTCCAGAATCCTGAGAAGGGAGGTCTCCAGCAACAATGGAAGCCTCACCTTCAGCGCCCAGTCATAGGTACCCATGTCCAAGCCATAATCACGCCCATCCGAGGCCCTTGGGTCGGATCCATCCCTCTAGTCTGTCGAGAAACTTCGTCCTACAGGTCACCTCTATTCCCATCATCCCGGCCTCCTCTCCACATCCGACGCCGTCCCCACCGCACTCTCCTTGTTGAACCTCGCCACAGCCGCCAACTCCCCCGCGCCCAGCCCCCCCGAGATCCCCGGAACCTCCCTCCCCTCCTTCATCTCCCTCTCCCTCTTCTTCTTCTGCACCAGATGCCCCTTGACCCCCTTCAAATACTTCACAGCTGCCTCGACCAAATCCCGCGGCTCCTGCGACCGCTTCAGCGCCTCTAGCATCTCGCGCACCTGCGTCTCGGACTTGATGTGCGGACACACGCGCGCCTTGCCGAAGTGTGCGAGGCCGCAGAGGTTGCAGTGCTCGGTTCCGGCAACTTTGAGGGGGCATGCGCCGCGTGGATGCGGGAGGGAGCAGGCGCGGCAGGGTGGGCCGCGGTAGGGTGGCTGTCGGGCGTTCGGGTTGCGGGGGTCGAGGGGTTGGTACTGGGGTGGGAGTGTCGGAACGGTGACGCGTTTGAAGGGGGCTGGTTTGGGTTGGACGGGCGGTGGTGGTTTCGGCTGCTGGGAGCCGGCGGTGCTGCCCACGATGCCGGAGGCTTTCTGCGCGGGCTGGAGGGTGAGTTCGTTGGGATCAATGGGGTCTCCTTCATCGCCGCTGGCTTCCGCTTCGGGCTCGGTGTCTACGGCTTGGAAGTCGGTGTCGCTGTCGCCGGCGCTGCGACGGGCCTTCTTACTGGGTTTAGGAGGAGGGATCGGGATATCTTCGATATCGTCGACGGCGTCGGGAACTGCTTCGCCGGATGCTTCAGGGGGCTCATTTGTGGCATAGTCGACAGCCTGTTGTTGTGCGCATTAGCCGTCTGAGTGTGTGCCTATGTGTAGGTAAAGCAGACTACTTACCATTCTTGCCCGCTTGCCCCGACCCATCTCCTGCTGTCTCGCAGCCGCCTCAGCCGCCGCCTGCCTCTCCCGCTCCTGCAAGATCCATTCCCAAGCCGAGGGGTCCACTTCCCGCTCATCCTCTGAGCCCGGCAGAGAATCGGCAAGGCCGCCCGTGTTGTTTTCCCACACTCTAGCGAAGCTGAACTGCGATTCAGCCGACTTGTCGTCGCCGGCCTTAGTGTTCTCAATCTGACTGCGATCGAGAAGCTTGTCCACCGATGCGCCGTCATACTTGATCTCTAAGTCTGGATTGTCTTCTGCGAATAGCTCGGCGGCGCCGTGGCGAAGCACCGATTCGACATCCTTTTCTTCTAGGTCTTCGGCATCAAGTGACTCCACCACAACGTGATCAAGTGCCATCTTCTTGCGTCCTATCTGGATGATCTTCTCCTCGACTGAGGCGCGAGTCATGAGCTGGAAGCATAAGACTTTCTTCTTCTGGCCGATACGATGAGCTCGAGAAATTGCTTGGATGTCCTGATGAGGGTTGAAATCGGGGTCTAGGACGATGACAGTGTCTGCAGTGGCGAGGTTGATGCCGACACCACCGGCGCGAGTTGAGAGCAGGAAGGCGAAGAGAGGCGACTCGGGTGCATTGAACTCGTCAATGCGCTTTTGCTTCTCAAGCGAGCCCATGGTACCGTCGAGACGCTGATAGCGCATCTCGAGGCCGTCGAGGAAATCCTCGGCAATGTCCAGCATGTCCAAAAACTGACTGAATATGAGCACCCTATGTCCCCGCTCCTGAAGCTTGGGCAGCAACAATTCGAGCAGCTGCAGCTTGGATGAAGCCTCAACGAGATTGCGATGCGAAACGGCAGCGATGTCGGTCCGTTCCTCAATCTCTCTGCTATATACGAACGGATGACACAAACACTTGCGAAGCTGCATCAAGATATTGTTTAGACTCGCCCTTTCTTGCGGCCGCAACTTGCTGTTAGATGAGAAGAGCGCACGCAGTAGCTCAGGGCTTTTCGCAAGGATCGATTTGTACAGCTTCTTTTGTAAGACGCTCATGGAGACGGGAACGATGATCTGAGCCATTGGTGGCAAGAAGCCAAGCACTTGAGCCTTGGTTCGGCGGAGGATGAACGGGCGAATGAGGTCGTGTAGCTTCTGGATGTTCTCCTTGGTCATCTCGAGATACTCTTCTTCAAGAGCTGAGGCGTTGATGCTGTCATCAAGGAACTGGAGGAGATTGAACAGCTCCCGGGTATTGTTTTGCAATGGAGTGCCTAAAATCCACATGTTAGCATCTGACGAAAGAGTTAGCGAACTACTTCGACCGCCATACCTGTCAGGAGGATCCGGAAAGGTATCTTCAACGCGTTTAGGGCGTTGTACAGTAGGCTCTTGTCGCTCTTCAAGCGCTGGCCTTCGTCAACAACCAAACCTTGCCAAGGAACTCCCTTGAAGAACTTGCGGCAGCTGTCGTCAGCAGCGGCATCGTAGGACGTCACGACAACGTGGCATCTCAGATCCTTGCTCTTGTTCGGGTACATCTCATAGCGGTAGGCAAGATCGCGGGCAGCAGCAGAACCGAAGTATGTGACGACGCGGAGAGAAGGAGCCCAAAGCTTGATTTCACGCCGCCAGTTTGCACATGTAGAGTTGGGCACCACGATGAGAAACGGCCAGCAATTCTGGTCGATAACCTGGTTAGAGTCAGTACAGCATCGCCTCATACGGACAAGAGACTGACCATGGTAGCGAGGAAGGCGATGACCTGAATGGTCTTCCCGAGGCCCATCTCGTCAGCGAGGATGCCGTTCTTCCTGGAATACCATTGATAGTAAAGCCAGTTAAGACCCTCCAATTGGTAGTCCATCAGCTCGCCACCAACAACATTTTCCGGCTGCTTCTTCTTTTCCAGTTTAGTGAAGGGTTGGCTTCTAGCTTTTTCCACACGAGTGCTAATGCGCCCGCCCTTCGGAATCCGGATGTACTTCCCCTTAACCCAATCCTTGTACGCGGTCTCGAAATCTGACCAGCGCTCACCATCTTCAGGCGCCGGCACTTTCTCCCACACGGCGTCTTCGTAGCCGAGACCCTTGTACTTAATGAGGGCTTCGTCGACTTCCTTGATGCGGGCCAGGTCAATCTCGATTGTGCTGACATCGACAAAGCTGGTGTACTTGACGTCTAGAACGATGTCAATCCGCAGAAACTCTTCCGGGATAGCATCTTCCGTTCGCATCTTCGGCGGCGGGTTTTTCTTGTAGAAAGCTTTGCGCATCGCCGGTGCTGTTACGCCCCAGGTCCATGCTCCTGGCATCCAGGCTGCACGGAAGTAGGAAAGCTTTTCCCACTTGATGAGGTAGTAAACATCATCCTGATCCATGGCATCGACGGGAGTTCCGTTGGTGTAGGATTCAACATCACCAGGTCTCCAGGCAATGAGGCCAGATACCTTGGCAGGCATATTAAGACAGTCCTTGCACTTCCAGTCGCGGCAGTATTCGCTGAAGCGATACTGTGCGCGTTCCTCATCGTCGTAGTCGATGTCCATCATGTGAGCGGCCCTCGAAGGTAAATGATGGAAGTGAAAGGCGCGCCAACATGTCATGCAGCGGAAGAAGACGTTGTCTACATTGTTGATCAGATCTGGGTCGACAGGAGTAATCGGGTCGGCCCCGCCATTTTCATCGCGCTCTTTCTGTTCCTGCAGCGGCGTCTTGCGTTCACGAAATGGGAAGCAAGACGCGCCAGTTTCGTTGCAATCCTGGCATTTGGCATGGTTAGGAGCGGTGCTGTCGCGCTTTTGAGCGATGTTGACACAGCGACGGCATTGCAGAACGAAGTCCTCCTCCCCAACCTTGGTAACGAGATGTTCGCGGCCGGTGCGATGCCCTATGCAATTCTTGTGGTAAGCTAGAATGCAGCCCTGACAGTAGATCAAAGGACCCGCGTTGTTGCCTTGACCGCAGGTATCGCAATATTGAGAGTGGCGATTTCGAAAGTCGTCCGTGCGAGGCAGTTGCTTGAACACTTCTCGGGTGCTCACGACCTTCGGCTTGGATGGCTCAGGCTCCGACTCCGATTGATAGATATCATCCTGGCCCACCTCTTCCATGTTGTTTTGGTGGCGAGTTGTGCGATCGGACTTCCGCGTCCCTGCATGTGCTCCGTCTTCTGATTTCGGTCCCCGAAGAATGATCGTCTGGCCATTTCGAGCCCTGCGTTTGCGCTTGCGAGAGTTGGGAAATACATCGGACTGCAGCGTAGGAATGTCGTCATCATCCTCGCTTTCGTCTTCGAACTGTTCATCGTTCTCGTTTTTGTAGCTCAAACGTTGATAGACAGCTGCACCGCTGGAGCGGGTAGTCCTGCCGGTGTCCCTGGCCTTTTTGACTCGCTTTGAGCTGCGGCGAGTTGAAGCTTCTGATGAGTCATTGCCAGAGGAGGTGTCTGCGGACACAGCGTTCGTGCGACTTCGTGATGACCGGCTAGCAGTTCCGTTATTGCGCAAGCGGGAGCCGCGAGTCTTGCGAGTCTTGAACATCCCAATGACGTCATCCTCATCCGCATCGTCTTCGTCAGAGGACGAAATGACAAAAGAGACTGGGTCTACGAAGTTGGCATCGCGAGTCGTCCTGCGGTTGCTACGTAATTGGCCGACCATGACTTCGTCCTCGGCTTCGGTTTCAGAAGTGTTGGGGTTCCGGTTATATGCGTCAAGCGCTGTTGGTCCGTTATCGAGGTCGAGCAGGTCCTCGAATGGCACCTGTCGGCAGATCAGGCGTCAGTGAGTTGTTGGAGACGAAGCTTCGTGAAAAGACTCAGCAGACTGAGGATAGGCAGTTCCAGATGCACAACGTTGTGCTATATCTTTAGATATGATGAGATGTCGATGAATAAAGATGACTCAAGATATTTGGTGGTTGTGTTGAAGAGGAATGAAGACGAGGTGAAGACATAGGTTGATGGAACAAGTAAGAGAACCTGGAGGCCTCCAACAGATAATGTAGCCACGAGGGAGACAGCGAAGCGAAAAGCCGATAAGTGAACCTACCTCTTCATCGTGCCCATCCTGGAATCGCACTTTGTACACTAAATCCCCCGTGCCTTGGGCTTCACGGAGGACCTTCTCGACGACTGTATCTCCCTCAAAGCGTACATATTCCTCCGGATTACTGATAGGCAGCACCTCTACAGCTACCAGAGTCCTCTTACTGCCCATAGGCAGATCTTGCGCCTCTGCATCTTCGTCTAGACGCTGGCCTGCGTGCTCCTCTGCCTCCTGCTCCTCCTCCTCTTGCACTGAAACAGCATCGGATACGAAAAGTCCAGGCGATCGGGATTTGCGTGAGCCGCGCTCAGTACGTGCCCTTTCTCTTGACTTATCGCGCTCGTTGGCTGATCGAGCGAACGATGTTACGTCTGGGGTGCTACTGCTGGCAGTGCTCCGCACCATTATGATCGTGGATGCCAAGCAGATTGTCGGTGCGGCTCTCTGTAGGACTTGCGCAAGTGTGTAGTCTATAGGTCTCAGACCGAGCGGCGCGCGGCTCAGGTGCTGTGTAGCTGATCCCTCGCAGGCGTATCAGGCTTCAGGGCGGCATCTGCACAGTCTTCTCATACAGATCCTCCGTAGCAAGTGTTGAGGGCGTTGGGCGTTGGAAGTGGTAGAGTTGATTGACTGGCAGACGCGATGTAAGTGATCCGCGAACGCGACGACTGGCGAAACGTGGAGATTGATTGCGGCGCATGGACCAGCTCGACCTTGACGGAAAACTTCCCGTCCGCCAGAGGTGAAGACATGTCACTGTCATGAATAGTGCGGTTTCATCGACCGGCAGAGCTTTGCATAGCACGCTATGTCGACTACCAGTATTAACGCCATCTGTTGCCAGACGCTGCATCTCAATCAACTCAGGCATCGCCCGCGGGCTACGGAAATCAACACGGCCGGATGACAGGCACCGGCGGCCTTCTCCATCCACAGCTTTCTCAGGAGACCGACCTCCTCGTCGGTCCTCTGATCGCGGAGGCTCAAGGGCAGGAGCTTTTCCTAGGACGGAGCGAGGCCAGCGCGAAGATTCCAGGCTTTTCAGGGGTTCTAGGTCCGAAACGTCAAATGCTCAGTATAGCCCAGATACAAGACTATCTAGGGGGAGGGGTAGACCAGATGCCTCAAGGCAACCTGAGCGGAGCGACAGACTGGGGGATCCAGGGGCACCAGGGCGCAGCAGCAGATTTAACTCGCACGAGGATTACAAACCTGGCCCATCTAAATTTAGAACTTCCAGTGCTCAACGCATTCGAGACCCGAGGACGCCTGAACGGAGTAGTAGGCCAGATACCTCAAGACTGCCTATGGGGAGCAACAGACCGGGCACTTCGGGGCTACGTGAGCGGAGCGGTAGATCTGAACCACGCGACAACTACAAATCTTCCAAACCGTCTAGACCTGAAACATACGATGCTCAGGACAGTCCTATGTGGATATCAGAACAAAGCAACCGGCCGGATACCTCTAGGCCGCCTAGGCGGAACAACCAACCAGAAGTTACAGGCGCTGCACCCACGCGCCGTAGCCCAGGAGATCCCATCCCTATACCGCACACGACAGCGGCCTCGCAGTTCCTGTATGGCGCTTCCGCTGTCCTTGCCGCCCTGAAAGCGGGAAAGCGAAAACTCTACAAGCTGTATCTGCACCAGCGAGCAGCACGAGACGCGGATGGCGATAGTGCCTTCCAGATCAAGCGTCTCGCCGAGAAGGCCGGGGTTGAGCTTGTGCAGGTACAAGACGACTTCTTACGTGTTATGGACAAGATGGCAGACTGGCGTCCGCACAACGGCTGCGTACTTGAGGCCTCGCCCTTGCCCAAGCTTCCTGTGACCGGCCTCGGCGAGGTATCGCCTGGCCAGTCAACGTTCGCGGTGACCGTCAGCCACCAGTCGAAGGAGGAGAGAGATATCAATGGCTCCAACGACAAGATATCATATAACAGCCACGGATGGCGGCAGCCATTTGTTCTCCTCCTTGATCATGTCGTTGATCAAGGCAACCTAGGTGCGGTAATGCGCACCGCCTACTTCCTGGGCGTCGACGCCGTCGCTATCAGTACACACGCTAGCGCTTCTCTCACCCCAGCGGCGACCAAGGCATCTGCTGGTGCCGCGGAAGTCGTGCAGACCTTTGCTGTCGAAAAGCCCAACGAGTTCGTTGAGATGAGCAGGAACAACGGCTGGCAAATCTTCGCCGCTGAAGCGCTCGAGGATCCCAACTCTCCTAAAGAGCGCTCGGCTGCAGATTCTCAACAAACTCCGCCTTTCGTCGCACTGCTGAAATCGCGACGCGGCAAGGTCCGAATAATGCCCTTCAGAACACCGCTCGCGGAACAACCCTGTCTCCTGATGCTTGGTGGCGAAGGCGAAGGACTGACTAAAAAGTTGCGAAGTCTAGCACACTATGAAGTTGGCATTCCTTCCGTACCAGGTAAGAAGGATGTAGGCGTCGATAGCTTGAACGTTAGTGTCGCAGGCGCCCTACTTTGTATGGAGTTTCTGAGGAAGCCGGCCGATCTCAAGACCCAAGCTCTTCCAGACACCAGCAACGATGAGCAAGAGAAGTTATTTGATGTTTCTCCCGCGTCCGCTACTTGAAGAGTTTGTAAGACATTGTACTATAGCATGGGAATGGCGTTTCTGCATCACACCTTCGCATAGCAAAATGTAGAGAGCGTCAGGCGTGCGTGGCCGCTATTAATCTCATGGTCCGACACAACTTCATTTTGTTTCTCTTCGATACTTACGAGCTTGATGTTTGGTTCAAGTTACTTCTTCTGCTTCTCGCTAATGTAATCCTATCAGCACGAAGTCCTAGAAGTCTTTTCGTTCTTATTTTGGGCCACTCAGAAGAGTGAGGATTTCATACTTCGCCAAGTATCGTGGGATTTGAGTTTAGCGTACCGTTGGAACGGTCTACCCCACCACCCACCAAGGTTCAATGTCCAAGCGATGCTCAAACGCGTTGAGGTCGCACTTATGATGCAGTCGCTACCGAAAGTCTATGTCGAAGAAGTGCCTCGAATGTACATTTATTCCTTTCCCATCACCTACCTATTCCTTCGTGAACCTCCCACCCACTTTGAGTCGCAAGACTACAACTCCAAAACACATTCTCAACACTCACCCGCGCTCGACCTATCTCCAATCTATCAATCTCTCCCTCCATCACCAAGCCCACCACACACTATGGATTTCACCATCACCTCGATCACCATCGACCTCTCCCGCCGTCCTTCTCCCACCCGCGTCCGCGCCGCAGCAGTCTACCTCTCCGGCCTCCACGCCTCGCACCACCTCCGGCTCCACGACCCCAACGAGGACACGCGCGTTTTTCACGTCGAGCACGCGCTCAGGCCTGAAGCGACCGAAGCGCAGCACATCGAGTACGTAGATACCAGCTCCAGCAGCGCAACAACCTCCACCGGCGCGACCACTCCCAGCGGCATGAGAACTCCCGGCGCCGACACCGACAGCGCCAGCATAGCCAGCGATGCCAGCAGCGCCAGCAACGCCAGCCCCACCCCCTCCTCGCCCTCCAGCACCGCTCCCAACCCCCCAACATCGCCCCGCCTGCCCGCCTCATTCACCATCCCGCCCGCCAAGCCTCCAAAGGGCCCCCACGTCACATCCGCCGCCGACACCACGCCCGGCGGGCGCGCCCATACGTGGCTTCCGATGAGGGAGCGGGTCAAGGCCGAGAGGTTGGCCATGGCTGAGCGCGTCGCGCGGCGCGCTGCTATCGAGGCACAGGGAGGGCCGGCACGGTCGACGTACAGGTTCGATAGCTTGGTGAAGGGGCCTTGGCAGAAGCAGTTCGTGGGGCCGTCGGTGGAGGAGGACTACTTTTCGTTGGAGGGGGTTGCGGGCCCGTCGGGGACGAGTGTGGGTCCGTCGGGGACAACGGCGGCTGATGCGCAGGGGGAAGCTGCGCATGGAGGAGATTCTGACGAGGAGAGTAGCGAGGGCCCTTCGGATGGCAGCGATTACCCTTCGGATTTGTCGTCAGCGGTGGAGGCTGGTCCGAGCAGAGATGGTGGGAGGCCGGGGACGCCACATCCGAGGGTTGGTAGATTGGAGAGGGATAAGGATAGTCTGAGCTTTAGGATTGAGGAGTAGGGTGAGAGAGGGTGGCGGTGGACTTGATGGTTGTCATCAACAATTTGTTGATGGTGTGGTACGCGCACCGGAGCCCATGCCGCGGCTTTTTTGAAATTGGCAGGAGCATCGTGGGAGTTGGTGCAGTTTTATAGGAATCAAAAATTTACATTTGATGTCTGTTCGCGGTTCCTATTGGTTGTTCTGAGCGTGTCTGATCCTCACCATCGCGCGTACAGAGTCGTTGTGACGCTGAATCCATTGCTGAATTCTTCGTTCGAGGATACGAATCAATCATGTTTCACTCGATGATAATCTTACGAAGCCTGGTGTCGAATGCGAATCCCTCAAAGTCCGGTGCGACAGACCGTCCTCCACCTGGCCTGGACGAGCGATGCCGGGACAGCCAAGCGCCGCAGCGCTTGCGCAGGTCCGTTCCGTCTCATCAGGTTATTCACATCAGCTGCGGGCATTCCTCACACTACTGAAGTCGAATCGCATCCGCATCAAATAGCAGATGAAGTGCTCGCGATGGAAGCGACAACGCCTGTCGACTGGCAGTCTGATGCCTACTGGCGGACTCGACGGCTGAGCCCTGCGCAACTCCATATCCATGATATTGAAGTAAAGACCGCGCATTCGAGCCCGTACCCAAAACTCGACATCAATGAAGTGCTCCCTTCATCGCTGCTTCCTGATCTGAGAGACAGAGATCGGCTGAGCCGTGTGGTCCATCTCAGACAGCTTCCTGTGTTTGGCGGAGAGCTTCTCCGACTGAGGACCCTAGCTGGCGAGTATGGTTGGATGAATTGCCTTCGAATTAATGACGAGAAACACCATGATGCTGAGACTAAAGATGCTACGCAATGCCGGTGGATGTAAGTCCAGCAATGATGGCTCAACAAGCTGCAAGGCGCTCACCACTGGTTCAGCCATATCGCAAGTAAATATACCGAATACCTTCAGGGGGTCTGTACCACCATCATATATCAAATTCTCGAGTGTCGCTGACGGCATCTTTCAGTGCTTGTTAGCTCTTTCGGACTGGGATAAGGATCATGACTCGATACTGTCCTCGTTTCGCCAGCTTGAATACTGCATTACACAGAATGAGCGCTTCTCCAAGCACGGCAGGTACTTCACGCCATTCATTCAAGATCTCAGCGCAGAGACCAAACACTCCACAAGCTGGACCAGCGGCGAAGGCCCGATGCTTATCAGTATTCCTTTCTTGGACTGGACCGTCAACGGCACCACGCCCCCTCTGCGCTTCCAGATCGACCCTCGTGAAGGCTACCAGTCAAGTCGGACCTCCTCTCACTTGGTCCGCTCAATACTCCAGCATTTCTACCGCCTAGAAGACACCAGCGACCGAGAGCACCACCAGGTTCTCAACAGACACAAGCCCTGGGCCACGGACCGCGAGCTCGACCTCAAAGTGCGCCGCTGGTACGGGCACCACCCGACCGGTCTCAACGTCGACGAGCTATGGATTCTTGTAGTGGACTCGCGGCACATAGTCACCTTCTCGAGCAACCAGACGTGGAAATCTTACTGGCCGCCTCTGCAGTTGCCGGCCAGAATTGCGAGAATCTCCTTTCGCGAGATTCGAAATAATTTCTTTCGGGATAGTAATCGCGTCAGCGAGTATACTGCGGTGAACCACGTTGTCGCCTGCTTGAGTGGCGCGGTGGGAATGCTGCATCGGAGCTTCTGGATGGATATGATACTTTGTCTTACGGATCGCTATGCTAGCTATCTATCCCACCTGGTAGGTCCCTTTGACTCCGTCCCATCGAACATGCTCCCTTCTAGAAGCCGTTCGACTACAATAATAAGAAAACTGAAATCAACGGAGTGACCAGAAAACGTACTTATAACTAACACCCGATGCAGCAATACAGGCTTCTCCGCGCCCCAAGCACGAAGCTCGTGATGGATCTGCTCCAGGTGCAAGAGGAGCTGAACATTGTCATCCAAGTAACTCAACAACAGCTGGACCTCATCTCCCAAATACAGCTAGCGCTGAACGATACCGGAGATGCTACCCGGGGACGCTTGTCAGTCGGAAGCAGGCGGCCATCGTGTGCTTCCTCGTCTGGCTTGAACCCACCGAGCATCCATGTGGAGCCTGATACTGGATTGCGCTACGGAGGTAAGCTTTCTGGGTTCTAGACGTGCGAGCGCCATGAACCAGATGCCGTGTAGTGCTTACATGTCGATTTCATTTTGTTGTCAATGCGCCTACAATCCGAATGGCATCTGCTTAGATCTTGGACAGCCTTGTGATGCCCGCTTTTTGCACGATTGCTGACATTCCTGAATAGAGCACCGTTCGACCAACCTCACTGATCCCTTCACCCAGCTCCTCGCGAATCTGGAGCGCGAATACGTCGACCTCTGCGACCTCCGCGATAACAGCAACAATCTCGTCAACCGCACCATACAGCTAGTCAATATCCGCCTGGAAGACCACGGCAAAGCCATCCTCGTCTTCACCATCGTCACTGTCGTCTTCCTCCCACTGTCGTTTGTGGCAACATTCTTCGGCATGAATGTCTCCGATATCAGAGATATGGAGCATACTCAGCGCCTTTTCTGGATCGTCGCAGCTACGGTAACAGCCGGGATCGTGGTGCTGACCACGTGCTTGGCATTCTATGGTGGAAGTATCTACGAGCGATTCTTGATGTGGAAGCAGAACCGGAGGCAAGCGGCTACGTCGGCGCCACGTCATACGTCATTCACGAGGGAGACGGAGACGTTTATTGTTCGTGATATCAAGAATCTACTTCCTTCGTACGCCAAGTTCGACGAGAGACGGAAGGACAGGCAGGGATAAGTTTGATTGGAGACGGACACGCCTCGAGTTGCGCCATAGCAGAACCGGCATGATCTCATAGGAACCGGAAACCTCAGAATGCCTTGACTCCGAAACATCTTCCCTGGAGCAGTCTAATAAGCGGCGAAGATGCTGGTCCTGATTCTGTTACTAATAGCATCCGTGCCAGCTTCACCAGGCAAAGTCGGCAGAAAACCAACGCCGTGCCGCTTGTTTCGAGCTTCTCCACGATGGATTCAACCGGAGTTATGTGCAGCTTATGATGAACTACGCTGTGTTTGTTGGTCCGTCGCCTTCCACACGCAAGTCGAACTAGCGAAGCCGCTAGCTAGTAAACCAGTTTGGGATCTTCTGGCCTGGTGGTTTAAAGTTGTCCATCTTGGAATGAAGACCTGTTCGATGAACCACCAAACAAGGTCGCTTCCAGAGCCGTTTGGTACCACAAGACAGAGGTCTTGCCCGCCGGGTACGTGCATAAGTTTCTGTTTGACCCGCGAACTTGGCGTGCTAATACAAGCTGCATAGCCAATACCTGTCGCGTGGACTGTTCCAGCGGCCAGTCGCACAAGATCGGACACAGATCACCACAAAGGTCAATAACGGAATTGCGAGCTGTCAAACAATGCCGCGGCTTTCTCAGGTGTCTCTCATTTCAATTGAGACCTGCAAGCTCCGGCCGCTGCCCAGCAAGCTACAGTGCCTCTGCTGTCTTATGTTGGTGCCGTGGACAAGTGATCGAGTCTGTTTGTCTCATAAGCGTGGCCGTCCTTACAATCAGAGCTCAGCTGTACTTAAACATGTCTGGTCTCACGCACCTGGGAAGCAGTATCAGACACTCAAACCGTCGGGCGCAAGGTCTACTTATATCCTGCAAGATACTTTCTACAGGGTACTCCAAAATCCAACCTCAGATATCATAGTCGCGAACGCTACCCTACACAATCGTCTGCAATTCACAATTACCAACGAAAGCTCAAAAACATACGTTGCCCATCAGCAGTATGACAGCCACCGCTAGCTTCACTCACTCAGTATCGTCAGCCCCTGGCCATGCGCTTCAGCAAAGACAGCCCCGCAGTCGTTGGTTCATCTCTCGCGGTCAAGGCGTTCTAGTACCGGTCATTGCTGTTGACGAGCTTCCCCATCAGATCAGTCTGTCTGACGTCCCTCGCAACATCAGCATGAACGATGTTCGCGGAATGGAGTGTCTTGGTGAATATCCTTCTACGGGGGCAGTCTATAGCCTGGAGCCGCAGGACCCCTTGATTGCATCTTCTACGCCCGGTTCAGCAGCTGTTCGCCCGGCGCAAAAGCAGTACCAAGCTCCGGACGCAATGGTCCGGCAAAGTCTGGACCACCTGCGCCAGATCACCAGGAGAGGTAGGCCCGCCCAGTCGCTGGTAACGGCTACTGCACCAGTCATGGGGCAGAACGAAACAAGACCTCCGTCTCCAACTCTGTCCTGGCGCCGGGGACAGCCATCAGAGCAAGACCAAACACAGGTAAGACGGTCTACTTCCGCACTGAAAAGATATGCTGACAGGATCCATCAGGCCGTCATCGACGCTATCGTCGGCGCAGATCCATCCGCAGCCGCCCGCATCGGCTACGTCCGCCCTCGTCCGCCGCCCCCCTCAGGCACCGAGCCGGACCCCTTCAAGAAGAAGTACTGCACCTACTGGATCCGGACCGGCGAGTGCGACTACACCCAGCAAGGCTGCCTCTACAAGCACGAGATGCCAGACAGGGAGGAGTTGATGAAGATCGGCTTCCGCGAAATTCCGAGGTGGTGGAAGGAGAGGAATGCGGTCAAGATTACGATGGATCCTATCGCGCTTTCGAGCAACCGCGAGCCGAGCTGGATGCGCAGAAGAATTATGGAGGTTGATGATGAGGCGTCTGATGCTGACTCTGAGGACGATGAATTTGGGGATGGCGGGCCGACGCGTGCAGTGGTTCCCAGGGGCCCTGTTGCAGTCATGCAGCCTCGTCAGCGTGTGCCGGCGTCTGCGTCGCAGCGACCGAACACGCCAATTGACAGCAAGCAAGCCTTTCAAGTACGGCTGGATCCCAAGGAAATCAATGAAGCTGTTGTGACGGCTCAGACAATCATGGACCAGCAGCGTCAAGCACTTCCCAAGACAAGCGCCTCCGCAGTCGCAGACGACCTTCTGACGAACTACCCAGCCCTCGTCCCTCTACCAGGTTCGCCGCAACCGCAGCCTCAGCTTGTCACGCCTCCACCGACACCAGCCAAGCACGTCTCTGCAAGAACCGAAACCACTACATCTCCCGCACCACCCTTCTGCAAAGGCGCCTTCCTCCCCGCCGTCGATCCTCCAGCCCAGCGTGCCCACACACCCTCCGCATCCCCCGCCCCAACATCCACCCGCGGACCCAACCCCCGCATGATCCCCATCGCCGCCGCCGCCGCCGCCTCCCCGTGCGCCTCCTCAGCCGTACACCCAGCCAAAGACCAGCAGCAACACCCCCCACGAACCCCCGCAGCAATCAGCGCCCTCATCGACAGCATCCCGCTGCCGCCCGGCTCTCCCACAAAATCCACACAGCGTGCGCCTGTCACGGCGGCAGCGGAGCCAGCGCCAGTCGCGGCGCTCCTCCCCTCGCTAGCGGAGGTGAGCGAAGAGGGGAGCGGGGCGAAAAGCGCTACCACGCGTCCGACGGCCCGCGAGGTTGCTGTCCAGCGGAAATCCAAGCCGGCGATCCCGCCAGCGGCACGCGGTCTCTTGGCGTCGAGGCACGCGCCTGTGAGTGCGGCCGTGGGCGTGGCCAAGGAACGGGTCACGCAGCCAGGGATGCGGAGTACGGTGCGCAGTACCGAGAGCAAGGGCAGTGCTGAGCGAACTGCTGCGAAGGGTGCTGAGAGGAGCGAGGTGAGGCAGAGGAGCGAGGCCAGGAGTGGGGAGAGGTTCAGACGGGGTGCTGTGGTTGTGGCTTCGGCGGCTGCTGTTGCAGCTGGGGCTGCAAGTAAGGAAGCTGCTCCCAAGCCGAGGGCTAGGCGGCCGGCGATCCCGGGGAGTGTGTTTGAGAGGTCGGAGGCCGGGAAGGTTGTTGCGAGGAACGTGAGGAGTTCGCGGCTGTGAGGTTTGGGGAAAGTCTGTTGGGAAAGAACAGGAGCGTGAGTGAATGAAGGGGGGTGTTCGGTTTAGAAGGGAAGGAAGGGAGTTGTCGGGTGGGTGCCTCGGGCTTAAGCGGTGTGTTGCGAACTAGACCGGTGGGACGGGGGGTATCTCGCAGGCTGTATTCTTGATGTTCTGCAGATTTGTGTTTCCTTGGTTGACTGTTCTTGTGCACGCGTTCTCTGCCGCATATAGACAGCTCTGCAGCGTCCTTTATCAATTTTGAAAAACACCTGTTCTATCGCCCACACGCTGAAGCGACCAAAGTGAGGTGGAGCTTGAGAAGCGGGTTGACATACGTACATGCATATCGTACAGCCAATATCGTACAGTATCCTACAGCCATATGACACATGCTAAACTCTATACCCTTTCGCTGACCCAGATAGCCGCCCTGCAGCCCCCTCTTATAACATTCGTCAACAGCTCGTATGGCCGAGCCACTTTTGCGTCGTTCTCGACCGCGTGGTCCAGATGCTCGAGCTCTTCGTCCCTGATTCTCCGCAGATTCTGCAGCAGCTCCTTCATATCCTCCCCAACCTCCTCTCCCCGCTCCTCCATCTGCTTCTTCCACTCCAGCAGCACGCGCACCTGCTCGTTGTAGTGGCTCCCAATCTCCGTCTCGACTGCCTCCGTACAGGCCATGGCAGCCTCCTTGCCCATCACCGCCGTCGTCCAGCCTAGGGCGGTGGCGGCCACCTTCCAGACCGGGTACATGGCGGTTGGCCTGATGCGGTGCTTGGCCAGGAGTTCGTTAAAGGTCGCGAAGTGGCCGGCTTCTTGGTCGTGCATGTGCTTCATCAGCGGGCGGAGGTGCGGGTGCGAGCGGACGATGGGGGGCGTTTGCGCGGTGTAGATGAGGACGGCGGCGAGCTCGCCGGCTTGGTTGACGCGGAGCTATTGGTCCCATCAGATACGGGCAAAGCCATCAAGGAGGTAATGCGGCTTACGGCACGATCGAGGAATTTGCGCTGCTCCGGACTCAGCGGCTGCCGCTGCGACCCAGCTCCATCATAGGCGGATGCTTGTGCTTGGTCTTCTAAAGTAGCGGATGCCGCGGCTGTAGCTATCGACCTCCTCGCGGCGGTACTGTGGTGTTTTACAAGGCAAGGCGCAAAAGAATTACAGACGACGGATCTCTGCTGCAACAAGGAGCGGCGGGCCATCGGCAACGGATTCATGCTCGACACCGCGACAGAAAAGAATGAAAATGAATCACAAACGCCCCAGGAACAGATTCGATATCTAGCTTAACTATGCGATGCGGTACTCGTACAACTCATGACGCCCCCATCGTCACTCATAAAGGCAAAAGATCGAGCTTCCCGTCGTTCGGAAGGAGTCGGCGATCTCGGCGGCAGAATGCGCTAACAGAACAAGCACGGCACAGCGGCCTGTGTCATGTGATGCAGACAATCAGTCACGTGTAATCCCCCGAACGCAGGAGATGGCTGCCGTGAGGGCTGACTTCACTTCCCTTCCCTTCCCCGTTTGTTTGTATTCTGTACGCTGAGCTGAATAGACCTGCCAGCCCCTGTTGTGCCTATTGCTGGCCATTGTATAATCAACTGTTAGACCTTTGAACCTCGCCATCTCGTGTACCTGCCTCCAACGGCTCAACAGAGCTCTCTTCGATACCTGCCGAACTGCTGGAACACCGTGCTCCCTGAATCGCTGAGTGGGGCGCGTCCTCAAGCTTCCTCCCCCCCTATCAGCACTACAAAGACCCCAAGTCACCATCACAGTCAAGAAGAACACATTCACCGTATTCAAAAGGTCCAGGCAAGATGTCGGACGTCGAAGACCACGACCTGGACGCCGAGCTCCTCGCTCTAGCCGAGTCCGACGCCGAAGAAGTGAATGATGGCAAAGTGAGCAGGTCTCCTTCGCCTCCTTCACCCGCGGACCTCCCACCCACCGACAACCCACCACAATCTCCCGTTCGACGCGGCGTCGCTCAACGCAAGATGACCAAGGCACGCAAAGGCGGCGCGAAGAAGCGCAAGAGTGAGGAGTCTGAAGAAGAGGGCGAGGCGTAAGTTGCTCTACTGTTTAGACGTTGAATTGCCGCGTATCTGGTTGATGGCGCAAGCTCACGTCCTGGACAGCTCCTCGCCGCCCGCATCGCCCGACTCACTCGGCTCCGGCGCCATGTCCGAATCCGACTCCGACCGCGCTCCCGCCGACGAGAGCGACGACGAAGTCATGTATCCGCTAGAAGGCAAATACAAATCCGAAAAGGACAAGGCGGAGATCATGCAGATGTCCGAGATCCGCCGCGAGGAGATCCTCGCCGAGCGCGCCGCTGAAGTGGAGCGAAAAGCCCAGGACCTGCATCTCCGCCGCCTCGTTCAGGACCGTGAGCGCCACGAAGCGAAGAACGCGGAGAAGAAGAAACGCAAGGCTGCTGCTGCAGATCTGGATGACGGTCAGCGTAAGAGTAGCAGGCAGAAGACGAAGGCGAGTGAGCCGCTGGAGGCGTACAAGAGGCAGCGCGAGCAGAAGAACGCGTCACGGAGGCGGCAGGATGATCGAAAAGACCGTGATCGTAGGTCTGGCTCGCGCGATGGAAGATCTGACGTCGATGCCGAAGGGGAGAGTGAGGTTGAGTGGGATGATCGCCCGGCCCCTCCTGTGCGTGAAGAGCCCCCGGCGGAGCTCAAAGACTTTGAGCGTGTCAGAGTTGGTAGATCTTATTTCGCGAGGGTCTGCTTCTACCCTGGATTCGACGAGGCTATCAGTGGGTGCTACTGCCGTGTCAGCGTCGGCATCAACAGGGAAACGGGTCGACCTACGTACAGGATGGCGCGCATCAAAGGTGAGCACTGGTACCGATGAAGTTGAGGGCATCAGCTCACTCTCATGTAGGCTTCACCGTCGGCAAACCGTACCCCATGCAAGGACCAAACGGAAAGCCCTTCATGACCGACCAGTATGTCATCGCAGCTCACGGCCCGCACGAGAAAGAATGGCCCTTCGTCGCCTGCTCCGACTCCAAGTTCACAGAGGCAAGCCTATTCAGTCTTGCGCTCCTCACTACGCCCTCTAACAATCCTTACAGGAAGAACTCGACAAACTCAAGCGCACCCTCTCAGCCGAGAACATGAAGCCCCCCACCCGGACCGCCCTCTTCGCAAAATGCGACGACATCAACGCCCTCATAAACCACCAATGGAGCGCCGCAGAGATCCAGACCAAAATCGAGCGCCAGAACAAGCTCATGCACCTACTCCCCACCAAAGCGCCCTCCTCGGACAACCCCAACGGCCTCTCAAAGGCCCAGATCCAGGCCCAGAAGCTCGCGGAGCTCAACCGCGCCAACCGCAAGGCTAACGCCGAGGACATCCGCAAGGCGCAGATCGCGGAACGGAGGCGCGAGCAGGAGGCCAGGGCTGCGGCGGCGGCGAGGAGGAAGGCGCAGATGGAGGAGGAGGCCAGGGTCAAGGAGCAGAGGCTCCTGGCTGCGCCGGGGAGGGAGCTGGATGAGCTGTTTGGGAGCGACATCAGCAGGACGGGCACGCCGGCCAATGGTGGTGTCGGGACACCGAAGAAGAGAAGCGGTACTCCCGCCAATGGTGGCGAGAAGAGAGAGAAGAAGACGGGGATCCCGACGTTTAGGAAGAGGAATATGGATGATGACGTTATTGCTTCGATGGACTTGGGGGTTGATATCGAGATTTGAGCTCGGATTGCGGGCTTGGGGTTGTGGTTGGCTTTGGCTTTGGCAGCGAGCGGTGCAGGCTTGACATGACGGAAACCTGCCCTCTAGGGGGCGCAGCCATTGGCAAAAGCGATGCTCTGAGCGTTTGGCGGATGAGACCTTGAATTGGGCAGAGATTGGCGGCTTGGGCGATGCTTTTCGTTGTGTCTCGGCATTCAGGTATCTGGCCTGCTGGCAGGCGAATAGCATCATGGAGCTAGAGGCTCAGGTAGGTGTGAGCGAAGACACTGTTCCCATTCTATCTCCGCCGCCTGTAGTCCCAGCAAGGGCAGGCTTCCACATTGAATCAAATCATCTCAGTGCAAACTCGGTTTCGGCGAATGCCTGTCTTGGTGTTGAATCAGATCCATCTCAGTCCAGCAGCTCAGACGATCCCGGCAGGCTGTATGGGCATATTCGCCCTGCGCCTCAGACCTGCGCGGGTGAAGGCACTCTCCACGTCTAGTCCTGCCGCAGTTCAATCTCGACAAGTGTCTGCTTCCATGTTAGATCAGATCCATCCCAGTGCAGCTCAGACAGCCCTTTCGTCTCATCAGAGGGCTTCCGCTTTGAGAAAGCTTCGCTTGTCGGCCTCAGTCCGCGCAGCAGCTCAGCAACCGCCTCGTTCTATGGAACCGCCATTCTGAGAAGACTTCGCTCATCGCCAGCCTCTTCGCAAACGGCCTTCGGTCATGACGGTCGTCATTCATGAGCGATTTCCGGCAGATGTTACCAAGTTCACTTCGTCGCCAGCCTCCTGTGGGTTTCAAAAGTGAAGTCTCTGGCCCGAGCTCTCTATTCTCTCGCCCGCGGGCCTATTGTCACTCACGATGAGGGGCACTCTGACAGCCGTATTCTCTCGGAACACTTCGTTTAATCCTACCATTCAGTATACCGCCTGCCAGCCTCCTCTTTAAAATTTTCGCTCCGCTCACTGCCTATTTAGCCTGGCTCTTCGCTGCCTCTGCTTCCTTTCGCCTTCATCTACTTCCATAGCATCTTCTGCCAACAAGCTGCTGTATCTCAATTGCTACTCCACCGCTACAAAGCACTCATCTTCACTACTTAGCTACACACAGTTTTCTTGAATCTCTTTGACGCGCTATCTACGTCTTTCAATCTGTTTCCGTCCGGCTTCGCCTTGTCCAGCAGCGCTCGCATACCGCTCGTCGTTGCGATTTTGCTCTGAACGCTTACCAGCCATCTCATTCATTCCGCTATCGCTTTACCGTCACTAACACTCCTCTCAAAAACGCAGTAAGCATTGCCACCGCTCACTTCTCCGCTGCAAACTGAGCTGACCTGATATGACAGAGCTTCATCCATCACAGCAATGGCTCCCAAGGCAACTTACTTCAGTGCCGCCGACGATGCTCTCCTCATCGACCTCAAGGAGACCAAGAAGCTCTCCTGGAAGGACATCAAGTCTCACTTCCCCAAACGCACCAAGGGCACCCTGCAGGTCAGGTACTGCCGCACCCTCCAGCATGATCGCAAGGAACGCATGGCCGCGTTCGCCCATGCGAAGAAGCCGGACGTTACCAATGGAACCGCCCAGATGAAGGCGGCTTACCGCGTTACTAAGACCGTCTCTCCACCGACCAACCGCGACCACCTCAAGCGTGCTGTCAAGAACAAGATCAAGTTCGACCAGTTGCTGTCTGACGCCGATACCGTTACCGACGCTGGCGCTACCGAGGAGAAGGCCGCCAAGGTCGACGAGGTCGACGAGGTTCACGACGCTGAGGCCACTGGCTTCAAGATCATCGACACTCCCGCTGAAACCGACAACGCTGAGAAGAAGGTAACTGTCACTGAAGCTACCACACCAAAGAAGATCACCGACAAGAACGGCAACACCGGAGTCATCACCCGCAGCGCCGGCGCCTCCAAGGCAGTCGTCACATCCAAGACCCCTGCCGTCCTCCAACCGAAAGTCACTCAATCCAAGGTCACTAAGAAGACCACCACCAAGTCGAAAGTCACCAAGAAGAAGACCACCAAAGCGAAGGCCAGCAAAGCGAAGAGCACTCCAGCCACCAAGGCCACCGTCACTCCTACCAAAGCAACCAAAGCTACCAACTCATCCATCCCCTCGAACACTCCCCTCACCGACGCAGCTCTCATGCAGCTTCTCGAGCCGCCCGCTCACCACACCGCGGCGGACCCCCTCCTTGTGACGCCCCGCATGGGCAAAACATTGCGCGACCGGTTGACGAAGGCGGAGCGCCTCGCCAACGCAGCTGGCAACGCAGTATTCAGTCCCGATGGCACTGTATCTCATCCCAGGAAGGACGAAGCGCGTCGGGTCGCCGAGGCCGCGAGGAAGGCGCTGGTCGCGAGTGCGCAGAAGGCTGCGACTGGGAACGGTGGGAATGCCGGTAAGTTCAGGTGTTGTTCCTTTTGCCTTCCGCCTCGGGTTTTCAATTCACCCCACTTCACCACCTCACTCTCCTCTCTCCTCTCTTCTCCTTCTTCTTCACTCTCCCCAACCCCGTCCACCCCTCTCACACCCGCCCCATCACACCTCACTAACAAACACCCCCCTCCCAGCAAGCAACTGGATCCCCCACCCGCCCCTCA